TTCTTCATGGAAGTCTCCCGTTTTTTTGGATTAAGCTTTGGTCACAAATCCATCTTCTTTACCGATGTGGCAAATAATCAATCGCTTACCTTTTCCTAAAAATAATTCATTTTGGACACTTTAAAACCGCTCCCATTAAAAACCCAACAAAATTATTGCTTGATTTCTTATCTCGATATAGTTTAAGCATGTTCAAAAGCAAAAATAAAATATAATTTTAGTTGAAATTCCTCGTCTTACAAGTATTGAAAAATATGTAGGTGTCAGCTTTGCAAACAATGCCCTGAACACTTGAGTCAGTCGTCAGTCCTTCCTTGCACACAGTAATACCAGTATAAATCTGATGCCAACTCTGTACTCTACGGCCAGCCACCGGGACAGCCTGCATACGGTCTCCCACTCCACCCTCTGGTTTGTCATTGGTTTTGTGCAAGGGCTCGACCTATTCTGCCCAATAACAGCGATGCTCCCTCTCTCTTGAAATATATCAGTATACTGATCACGCAATAATCACGCGATGATCACTGTTTTGGTTTTTAGTCTTTTTCTTCCATACATACATAATATCACCACCAGTCAGTTTGAGGTTAAATAATCCTACAGCGGTTTTACTAAATTCATTCGATCAAATATGTATCTTTTAATTAGCTTCATCTATTCATATTTTTTAAGGATCGATATTTAGATGCAGATTGTTCCACGATGCACGTCTATTTCAAAAGTATTTCACTAAACGACTAGATACGAATCCCCAATAGTTACTAATACGACTAAATATATTTTTTCTAAATACTTCTAATTATTGACCTACCTGTGATAGATGGATAGATGAATTTACCTACAGAATTGGATGCAAAGATCTGAAGTTGGTATTTTCCATTCTAGGTGCCGTTAGTTACAGTCATGCAAATTGATCATCAATTACGGGTTTTTCTATTTAATATTCGACTCAAAACTACGACTTTGGCTATTACATCAGTGATGAGTAAAATTTTTCGATACCTCACATATCGTGGAGGCTTCTACATTGTTTAAATAGGGTGTCACATTATTCTGTAGACATAGAAGTACCACGTATGTTTAGACTCAAAATATACTAAGTGACATATAAATCCGAACACCCAGTTTAAATGGTTTTATTTTAATAAAATTTTGTATAAGTACTTAATGAAGTATAATAAGTAAATGATAAAAATTTCAAAATGATTGCACTGCTTTAAAGCCCTTTGACCTTTAATAATGTGTGGATGCACCCTGATGTGCTACGCATTCTCCAACGCGCCTAGGCATGCTTCTGATCAGGTGGTCAATGTCCTCCTGTGGTATCGTGGTATCTCATTCCAGGCAACCACCAACTCCTCTCGCAGTGCTTCTAGAGTCTGAGGAGGACGTTGCAAATTGAGCAATCTCCTACCCATCATATCTCACACGTGCTCAATTGGGGATAAGTCGGGAGATCTTGGTGGCCATGGTAACAATGTGACATCATTATGTTGAAAGAAGTCTATTGTGACTCTTGCAACATGTGGTGGGGCATTATCTTGTTGGAAAGTTGGATCTGCCAGGGTGTCAAGATAGGGTAAAAGATGGGGTTTTAGAACTTCGTGGATATAACGCTGCGCGTTCATGTTACCTCTGATGAAGATTAAAGGTGACTTGGAACCATAAGCTATAGCACGCCAAACCATAACTCCAACAGTGTGATGAACATGTCTTTCAACAAAAAACTGTGGATTCCTCCTTTCACCACGTCGCCTTCTAACCCTGGCACGACCATCGTGCATGCCTAAACAAAATCGAGACTCGTTACTAAAGACAATACTGTTCCATTCCTGATCCCAGAGTGACCGTTGTCTGCAGCACTCAAGGTGATTACGTCGGTGTTCTCGAGTTAAAGGGAGGACCCAGTGTGGCCGGTATGAAAACAAGCCAAAACTTCTCATTCGTCGGTAAACACTTCGCATGCCAATAGGTCTTCCGTGTTCTGCAAACCATTCATTTGCAATGGACCTGGTAGTGGAGAAACGGTCCCTTAAGGCCAATAATCTTAGGTGGCGATCTTCACGGTCTGTTGTTCTACGGCGGCGTCCAGTGCCCCTTGCTCCCCCCGGCCTACTCGAAGCCATGCCTGACAACACCTAACCACAGTGTCTACACTTCTTTGCACTCTAACTGCAATTGCCCGAAAAGAAAGTCCAGCTTCCCGAAGTCCCACTATACGGCCCCTATCAAACTCACTAAGTTGACGAAATCGTACAGGTCTCCGTACTCTAGGCATCGTAACCGATCGTAAAGGATGTCAAGAACCAAAATCCGCCAACGTTGATTCTTTACTGCGGCTGAAATATTCATTTTTAGAGCGTTAGTGAATTAAAAAAAAGTAGTATAAAAACCGGAATGTCCAACTGATAAGGCTGAAAATTTTTTCACTTGTTATTTACAGTAAGATAAATACATTCACCAACTTTTATTAAAATAAAACCATTTAAACTGGGTGTTCGGATTTATATGTCACTTAGTATATGTCGAGGACACTGTCGGTGGTATGATCATTTCTTATCGACATGCCGATGGAATTTGTTTCTCTAAACTCTAAACTTTTCGGATTACCACCTGAACTGTGACGTCATCGACTCTAGACGACTTTATAAGGCACACGATGTTTCTTGCCTTTAACAGGTACGTCGTTAAAGTTTCTAATGACTATTTCGCGGCTGCAATTTAAGCTAGTTCGATCATTCCTACTTTAACGATCTACAATAAAATCGAATTTGATATACGGTTATCGTGCTGCATTACTGTGATAATAAATAGACCTGACGCGGATGATGCGTGCATCCGTAAAAACGGTTAAAATATGAGGATCGTCAGCAAGCAAGAAGTAACGGTGTACACGGTGGCAGTGTGGTTAGCTGGTTGTGATGTTTGGACCACGACCACTATCCATACTTCCTCCGTGAATATCGCTGAACCAACGCATGCTCGATACGGTCAACACAAAACACTGTTGTCAGTGCGACAAAAGGATTTATTGTCTGCAACTGAAAGTGTCTCGTGCTATAGACAATCTTGGTTATTACTTTATCCAGAATGAAAGACTTGCTTATATGGTCCAACAATGTTTCCTTACAATAATAAAATATCAATATAAAATAAAAATTATTTTTTAATTTCCCGTTCAATTTAAAACAAATGATCTCTCTTGAATTGTTTTCCCTCGATGCGCCATTTTTGAGTAAACAAATAAAATCCGTTCTATTCTCTAACTTTCAAAATTATTATTAATTTAATTGGAAAAATTAAACACATCAGGGGTAATGAACAACACTAACTGACAACATAAACATAATATTAAAACCAACGAAATGATTACAAAAATTGTTGAAAATGGCCCCCTTCACATAGTATGCATGCTTCCGCCCTCCTTCTCATGGAATTGCGCACTCGTTGGAATGTTTTTTATTCTATCACAAGCTGCAACTATTCTTTCTCTTAATTCCTCTCCAGTGTTAATGAGTCTTGTGTACACTAGTGTCTTAAAAAAACTGTTGAGATCTGGGGACCTTGGTGGCCATTCTTGAGCCCAACCGAAAATTGGTGTTGGAAATGGGTTCCGGTTACGGCATAGGGATTTTCTTACGCCCACAAATGATTATTGTGGAAATTCTGAATGCATTTCGAGAAAAAATTAGCTTCGTCCGTGAACAGAATCATTGATCCAAATTGCGGCTGTTGTGTAATTTTTTGAAGATACCACTGACAAAAGGTCATAGGCCTTAGAAAATCAATGGGAAGTAATGCCTATACTCTTAAAATATGGTAAGGATATAACAAAAAATCCACTAAAATTCTCCAAACAATTTGATGGCAAATATTTAAGTGTCTAGCGATCTTCCTCGTACTTGTTTCAAGATGTTCTTCGACTTCGTGCAGCACTGCTTCCTCAATTTCAGGTGTTCTCACAGTTAGAGGACTAGCTTCAGATGTCCCTTTTCGGACATAACCAGTTTCAACAAGACGACGATGAATATTAGAAAAGGTTCGACTATCTGGCAAAGCACGATCGGGATATCTCTGGTGATAAATCGGTCTGGCTTGCTCACCATTACCGCCGACAAGGCCGTATACGTAATGCAGTTCCGCCATTTCTGCATTTGAATAATTCACCATTATTAACAAGATTGTAAAAACTGAATAATGAAAAAGATGTCACAGCGAACAGATTTGAATAACAGAAACTTGTCAGACGTCAAAAGCCGGTGACATATTCTAGAGCAACTAGACATTTATTGCTAAATTGCGTTCTTCAATTATTATAGTAGTACAGTATTTAACAGAAACAGAAACTTAACAAATTACTCAAATACACTTAACAACAACAGCAACAATTGAGCAAGGTGAATACGAAAACACGAGCACGCACTGATACACGCGACGGTCGGTGGCCTGAATACAACTCTGCCTGCCCTGCCCCTGCCCCGCGCATTATTCCGCCAGGCGACCGCTTGAAATTTAATGGCGAATTGACCAATAAGAGGCGTTGTCCCCACCTGTTACCGAGAGATCACGCGCTAACTATTATTATTTACATCTCATCTTGAATTTGGATTCAGTTTAGTTACTATAATCTAGTATTGAAGGCGTATGTATAAATAAGCATGATTCGTAGCAGTGGATTGAAACCAAGCGTCTTTTGTCGAATGAATATTCTGCGTATGCCCTAATATACGTATAATCAAGTACCTAATAAGCCTTTGCAAAATATGTATCTAGGAGACACATACGATTAACTAATCCCCGTAGGCTTCTATGTGCGTTTTCCAAGAAAGCGTTACATCAACTTGTTTAGTTGTTCCTTTTGAAGCAAACCTACTTGTATCACATAAATGCGCATTCCAGTACCATTGTACGTTCTATACAGATTGTATTTTTGATCCCGCGACCTAACTTTCGCTACTTTCGTCAAGAATGAACTAAAACAAAATTCTCTTCTTCTCCAGATCTGCGTACGTATCGTTCGGTGGGCTGCTGATGAGACTGCAAGGAGACGCTAACAACCTGCACAGTTTCGAGGTCGATCAACACATGTATCTGCTCATGAAGAAGATTTTTATGTGAATTCCACTTGTAAACGCGTTTTGTTTTTTCTTTCTTTTGTACAAACTATAGGATAAGGATCAATAAAAAAATATATTTATATGCAGTTTGTATGTTTTATTTTTAATATGCTAGATTTCGATGAAATCTCGATTTCGCCTTGAGGCGATTATAAGTTACTCAGATATGCAGTGATGTGCAAGATACCATATACAAAGTACTTTTAATACTGTTCAAATAAGCACGAGCCCTGTCTCGGTGAAGTGGTCACAACTACCCAAAGTATGTGTTTTATGATTAGCGGAAACGTATTAAAAACTGAAGAAGAACTTACAAAGAAGACAATATCGTCTGTTTTGTTATCTTTCCATAAAAAATTAAAGAAACCAAAAATATTATATTTCACATACCTACAATTTTACTTAGCCCTCAAATAAATTCACAAATATCATGTTTTGGGGCGTTGGGCCAACTTCACTGAGACAGAGCTCGTATTTCAGATGCAAGATACAAGATACTTTTATCATATCTGATAATAGGTACAAAATTACTTATCTTTGAAATACTTTACATTTAAAAATATTGACAATTTTATCGGTAACCCACGAAGTGACTATAACACAAGAAATAGAAATATAAATCTTCTGTATCCAGTCCATCATCTCACGGTTACCGAAAAAAATGTCCATTACAGCTGCACTAAAATTTATAATAAGTTACCACAAGAAATTAAAAGGTTGGCAGATATAAAAGAATATAAAAAGAGTATTTATTAACCCAGTTATGCCTACAGCTCAAATAAATTATAATAAAGTATGTTCTCTGCAAATTCATTCTATATGAAGCATATATTAAACAGATTTATTATTTTTTAAATTTTATTTTAGGAAAAAGTGTAAAAAAATGCCATACAAAATATAGTACACTAGGCACATACGCGAACATTAAGGTTTAGTATGGAAGGACAAAAAACATTTTATATGCATCCCTACATTGCACTTAGAGCACCTTGTTTTTGCTCTAACATGACATAAGCCACATCTAGTTGGCTTTTCTTGTGGTATCACAAAATGATCTATATATTCATTAGCCGAAGGACGTCCTCTAGAAAAAGATGGCGGTTTCTTGTTTTGTTGTAACAAGGCTGTGGCAAGCCGCCGTCTAAATAATAATTGATCCATATGTCCTCCGTGCGACCTATAAAGTTGCCAGGAATTATGAACAGCCATATCAATACAGTGGCTGTTCAATGAAAAATGCCACTTTTTACCCCGGATGGAAATGCGATACAGACCAATATTTTGATCACAACGATCAACGCCGCCCATATTTGAGTTGTATACATTTACAAGATGAGGTTGTTCTACCTAAAATCAAAATCACAATCATTTTTGAAAACATTGATTTTCTTGCAGATTGTGTTTCTTACCTGAATACTTTTTTATCCTTTTGAGAGAATCGCTTTTCAAAGCGAATTGGTTGCAATCCTGCGGCATTTGAACAGAGTGTTACTAAATTATTGTCATGCCATTTTACTGCAATTATGATTGTATCGGAAATTTTGTTGTAATCGTAACTAGGTACCTCTTTTTTCCCTTTTCATAATTTTAGAATCTCTGAATTGGACGCCTTGTAAACGATTTTCTCTAGCAGTAACAGTCGCAAAGAAACTTTTTTCTGTCAATTTTACCATAAGAGGGAGAGGAGTGAAAAAATTGTCGAAAACTAAATGAAATTTTTCATTTGGTCATTTTCTCCTCAGTGCATCAGAATATTCTAATACCACACCAGCAAATCTGCATAATTCTTACTAATGTTGCTTGACGACTCTTGGTAAGATTCAACCCAGTAAACGTAGCCTAGTCTTGATGCGCCAACCCATAATTTATAGCCGTATCGTATAGGTTTTCCGTGAATGAACTGTTTGCATTAGTGTCTCCCAAAATAAGGAACCATTGCCTCCTTATCTACACTATGCGTTTCTGTCAAAATTCCATGTTCCATAAATTTTTGATTCGGGCTCGCAAATAAAAGTCTAACTTTTGCAAACTTAACTCCTTGCTGTAAATTGTAGTTATCTACTAAATGGAAATTTGACATAATATACTCAAACTTATCTCGTGTAAGCGCTTCCGTGACGAGTTGATTATTAGCATCTCTTTCACGTTCCCAGAACATTCTTCTATGTGGTACATCGACATAACCACTCAATATTAGTGTTCCAATAAATGCCCTTATTTCTTACCCTTGCACCTCTTGTTGGCGATTCTTTTGCCTGGCATATCTATTTGTTTCAGTTGTTATGCGTGTTATAAGTTCGCCGTAAAAAAAAAAGTGAAAACCATTCAAGTGGAGTCTTAGAAGAATTATTTTGTTCAAGAATTTCTTCGAAGTTTCCTGGAACTTCTTCTGGTAGATCCTCCTTGACCCATTTGTACGTATTTCGTTTCTTTAGCTTTTTATTTTTTTAGCCAATTCAGATAATGGAATATTATCTTCGGAATCAGGTGAAGTTATGCTAAATTTTTCATGAGGTATGTTTATCTCAGCAGGTGCTTGTAATTGTGAACCCGGTAGATTATCAGCTGACATTACATTCTCATCGCCGGAGTCCTCGTCTGTGGTTGTTCTTTCTGTCTCGATGACACTGACGTATATTGCACCTAACAGTGTGTAATACATTGTAATCATGCACCGTTATTTTGAAATAAAGATTTATTATTATTATTATGATTATTATTACTTTATGGAATCATATCTGATACTAGATACAAAATTACTTCATCATTTAAAGACTTGTGTAAGAAAACATTTTGGTTTCGAATACAAACTTATTTTATTATTATTCAGTAATAGATCGCGCAAATGTGACAAAGTATTTAGTTTTAAGATTCTAATTGAGACAGAGTAAAACATTCTTCAAACATCATATCACTAATTTTTTCTTTGATGAGGCCTCATTATTATAACTCCAAAAGAGAAATAAATCACTTCTCTGCAAATATGGACCTCATTTTTGGTAAAAAATTCAGTTTAGGATCGGTCTTTGGTTCTACTTGCCCTTACTAAATCTTAATTTTTAGTCGGGTCAACGTGACTGTAAATTTAAAATTGATCTTGTTTAAAAGTTACGAAAAAATAATAACATAAATTTGATTGAAAGCTTTACAAAAACAACATTTTCGCATCTGGAATGGCGGTTTGATTTCGAGTAAAAGATGTAAACATCTAACGTGCTTTCTTTAGTTATACAAGTTACAGTGACATAAAAAAATACTCCCGGTAGGTATGAATAAGCGGTAGTGATCATCAAAACTTTCCACTTATATCTTGTTGAAGGTCTTCAAGATGAAGTAGTTAGGATGCACTTCAGGATGTACGTGTATCGCTAGGCCTATCAGATCGTCGATCAGCTGAAAATAAAAAAGCATAACGCGCTTCGTTGATTGTCATCCCAACAATGATCAAAAATCTAACAAACAGTGGCACAAAGATACTTTACAACATACCACGAAACTTCCAGTTGTTTCCAAGTTTAGACAATCAGATTGTTTTTGAATAGCAATTGCAAAAAAGTTGCTTCCAAATTATCGACATTACGGTTTTTTAAAAATGACAAAAAAGGTACCCACTGCATCCTTATTCTTCCTAATATTCTCCTCAATCTCCTTCAAATGCTCCTCTGTGTCTCTGTCGATCTTGGCAGCGATGTCTTCTCTGGATCCCATGTGTTTAGCCTCGTACTCCCTGAACTGCTTCTCCCTCTCGGCTCTGTATTGCTCTATCTCCGCAGTTGCTTCTTCTCTAGCCTGCTTGATTCTTCGTGCCTTACCTGAAATAATAATTATAAGCCCATTCAGCGGTATCTGCAACACTTACGGCTAATCTGCGTTCGAGGTTGAATATTACTACTAAAGCAAAAAAGCGGCAGCACTAAATGCATAAAACTTGTACAAGGTGCGTCAGAGAGGACGGACGTTTTTGGGATGGGTAGTACTCTCCGCCTCCGTCTACGAGAGAGGTGGGGAGGGTGCCGTTTGACTCGTCAGATCCTAGCATTATTTTACCACCAGCCACCAGTTGTCGTTATGGAGCCTTGAACGGTGGAGCACCGCGTTTTCGCCTATGAGTGTTTCGTCCGAAATAACGAGTCAGCATCGTCGTACAGCGTGAGTTGCGTCGCCACTTCAACATTCATCGGAATAGAGCTGTTCCCTCTCGAAACACCGTCCTTCGTTGGGTTGAATCACTTCGCAGGCGTGGTGAAATGATCATCAGAAGACCAAGAGGAGCGCCGCGAACAGTTTGAACTCCTGAAAATGTTGAACGCGTTCGACAGGTCTTTCTTCGCAGTCCGACTCGATCTGCCCGGAAACATGCTGCTGCACTTCGCCTTAGTGATCGTTCGGTAAGGCGAATTTTGCATATGGATCTCCACTTTCACCCCTACAAATTGGCCATTGTGCAACAGTTACAGTCCGGAGATTATGCACAACGAATGAACTTCGCACGTGAGATGGAAGCACTGATCGATCAAAATGAGAACCTCATGAGTGACGAAGCCCACTTTCACAAGCCAGAAGCCCCGAACTCTGGACGAATTGAAAGGCGAAATTCGCGTGGAAGTCGCCCAAGTTGAGAGAGCGATGTTGGAGGGGTCTACGCGAACTTCCAAGAACGCCTCCAGCACTGCATCAACGATTTCGGCCACTACATGCCTGATGTGATTTTCCACACTTGACTGTCTCAAATGCTATTTCCTTGTGAACCTGATTCCATCAATAAATTTGTTTTCGAGTAAAAATTAACTATTTTATGATTTTTTAAAACCGCCCATCCTCTCTGCCGCATCCTGTATGTACTGGATGCAAAATAGTCGTAGCTACAACTAGAAAGTTTTTTTTTTCGTCTGAAAAACTTTGTCAATAAGTAAAGAAAATGCTCCCGATTCACTAAATATCAAAAGCCAAATATTGCCGATAATCGCAGATACCTCCTCGGTTTTTGAGATATAAAATATTTTAATCCTTTCTTAAAGCGATATTTACGGTTAAGTGAGGCTTGGCAGGCATTTATTGGTGTTTCAATTTTCGAAAGCATGTGTGTGTGTGTCACTCCCCGCTCTGTATTTAAATATAGCACCCAATGTATTATTTTTGGCTGATATTTTCACAAGTACTATAACCACTTCCAGCTCACGGCTATTAACATTTATTTCTAACACAAATATGTTCGATAGGTGCAATCGAGAAACATAAAAACCGCTCGGAAACATGTATATCGCCTATTGCATCGATTCTTTGTGAAAAAATCCGTCTTGTGATCTATTGCAGATATTTAAGTAATCCAAATTTATACAGATTTTAAGTTATTAACGTTGATCACATGCTCTAAACATCACTTAACTCGTCTCTTCCTGTTGTTAACGGAAAAATTGCACTGGAGTGGGTAATGTTGTCGTCGTCGTCGCATGTTGCCTTTCATTGAATAAACTCATGATCTGCTTGCTTATAGTTTATCTAGCCTTTTAATAGATACGTCGGTTGGATAGAACATTATTAATCGTAAAGTTCTAGCTGTTTTGATTAACTAAACGATTATTTGTTAACTCACAATCATTCAGTGTTTTCGACTAATTTTTATATTGATGACTCGAAGTCATACGAATAAATAAAAAGCTCATAATATCCTCCGATAATTCCACTGTTTTTCATATATGAGTACTTATAAAAATCTATTTTTGAACACCTGGAAAATATCGCGAAGACTGATCTTAATAGATACCACACGAACACACGTTAATCAATTTCATCGATTTTCCTGCATCCTACATATTTCAAAAACTAAACCTAATTGTGTATTTCAAGCTGTTATAAAATGATTTTTCAAGATGCTTCAAAAAAAAATAGCTAGGGGTAATCACTTCAACAAACCCTCTAGATACAAAAATGTTCAGCTCCAAGCTTCGGTATTCAAACAATGAATATTAATAAACTACCTGGCTTATAAAAATAAAGCACGGGACGCAATCCAAAATGTACTCACGTTTCCTGGCCTCTGCCACTTTTTCAGCGGCCCTTTTCTCAGCGGCCAACAATTGCTGGATGCCCTGCGTTTGATGACTAGCCATTCCGCAAAAACACCATCAAAATCGCACTTTTTGAACGACCGTAGTTTTGAAATGGAACGCAGGAAGAGCAAGATTTTCAATTGCTCTAAATTGCCGCTCGCATAAGTGGGATAGAGATTTTATTATTAGAGATGCGATACTGGTTGCCTATAATGGAATTTTTTACCCGTTTATGTGTTTGGCATCTTCTTAGCAATATCTGAAAAATTGCAGCTAGAAGAATATAATATACACTTAAATCGGCTCATGGAATTTTTCGCGATTACGATACTTCCTCGCCAGTTTTGGCTCATAAAATGGAAATTAAATAGACTCTTGATAGAGATAGTTCAGAGAAACATTTTTTTACGCACGTAATCTGGCTGCTGCGACCCTTTCTGCAGCCCTTTTCTCGGCAGCGAGCAACTGTTGGATACCCTGAGTGTTGTGATGAACTCCTGATGAATGTCCGCTACTCGAACTGTCTGATGACGCCTTATTGTGGGATTTCTCCTTCATAAGTTTCATCGACGTCGCGTTTGACAAGCCTTTACGAAAGTTTGTAGCTTGGTTTGAAAAGAAAATTATAATATCAAATTCTTGACATTTAACATGTAAACTTCATTGCAATTAGATTGACAAATACACTTTTTCTCAAATATGCTGTGTCACTTTTATGCTGTATTCTGAAAGTTATTTTACTATGTTTGTCCTTCTGATTCATAAAAGATAAAAATGGATAAATCGAAATTCTGGGTAAAATTCAAGTCTAATAAAGTTTTATGTTAATTTATCACAGAATTTTTCCAACATGAATGGTAGAAAATTGTTAACAATTTTCATGTGAATAAATAAAAAACAATGTCAGGTTTGTAAGAATAAGAGTTTATAGTTTTTATAAAAATATTGACATTATGTAAATTGAATAAAATAAAACCACAAATTCCTTTTAAGCTAATCAACATTATCAAAGTCCCAGTGTCCTATCCTGCATATAACTTCACATCACATTCTTGTTATATGAAAAGATCACAATATTGAATCAAAAAAATAGTCTACTCCTTGGTGGTTTAACTGGTCCATACTTTCTCTGCATCTTCAATATTTCTTCTTGCAACCTTTCTTCTTCCTTTTTAATTCTATCAAGCTGTTCATTGATTTCTTTTAGCCTGACATTCTCCTGGTGCTTCTTAGTCAAAGTTTTTAGCCTTAAATCATCATCTATCATTTCCTTGGCAGTATGCTTTTTCGCTTCTTCTTCCTTAGCCAACTTATCCACTTCTTGATTGTACTCCTGAATTTTCCTCATCATTTCAATTTTATCCTTTTCTATCTGTTTTTGCCTCTCCTTATTTCTAGCTACTTTTTCTTCAATTTGTGACTTTAATGTGTCCATAACTTTCTTGAATAAATTTGCTCGCAGCATTTCCTCCATCTTCCAAACTTCCTGCTGTTTTTCATAAACTGCTTTAGCCTCAGAATCAAAAAGAAACTTTAGATGCTCCTCGGTCCTCCTCTCCAAGTCTTGATGTTCCTTAGTCATTGCAAAATATTTATCAAAACTTTCTCGGACTTCCATTCTCTTTGTTTCACTATCTAACATATCTTGCAATTCCAACTGTTTCAGTCTATTTATCAACATTACTTCATTTGCTAGACTTTCTTGAATCTCATGAGCTTTCTGCTTCAATTTCATCTTATGTTGTTTAATGTTGTATAAGGCACATTCAATAGTTGCTCTCCTTCTTTCTTCTTTCTTATACTCTTCCTCTAAATTAGCTAAGACAAGTTGTTGTTTGTTTTCTTCAATTTCCTCCACCTTCAGCTCTTTATATGCCTCTTCCTTTTCATGCAACTCTTTCATCTGCAGTTCCAAACATTCCTTTAATCTTTGTTTCCTTTCCTGTACAAATTTCTCGAAATTCTGTTCTTCTTCCTCATGTTTCCTGAATTTTTCTTCTTTCTCCTTCAGCAACTGCTTCATCTCTTCTTCTTCACGTTCTTTCTGCATTCGTTTCTCGATCTGCTGGTCTAACCAACTCAATTTTAAGTCTCTATGTCGATACTTGCTCTCATATTGTCTGATAATTGGATTATTTTTTCTCCACTGATGGTATAACTGCAGCTCTGCTTCATGTCTTTTGCGATCTTGCTCTCTTAATTTAAGCTCACTATTAACTTCTTTCAAAACTTCTGTAGGTATCGAATCAACTTTGCTAAAAGGTGTTTTCGGTTTTGTCTTATTAATCATCAATTCAATATCGTAAGTTTTACGGTCTTCCTCGTATAACCGTCTCAGTTTTTCTCTTCTCTTTTCCAACTGCTCTTCTTTTTCTCGTTTCTTCTTGATGTCTTCCATAAGCTTGTTGTTATCTTGATAGTAACGTGGGGAAGTCCAGCCGTCCAATTTCGTGTTGGTTTGCTGCCAATGTTCGTAATATTTGGTCGCGTTGTTCCACATTTGATCGTGCTGAAATTCCCTTTCTCTTTTACGTACCATTTGATTTTCCATGCGCATTTTCAATTTTCCTCTAGCAGTGGGAACGTCCATAAAAGGATGTTGCATTTTTAACAGTTCAATCAAAAAAGTTATAAAGCGGACAGTGTTTGCTAATCAGGATATTTTTGTATTATGACTTTGTATAATCCGTATTTTGCTAAATTCAGATATCTTGTTACGTTACAAACAAAACTGTCCAAACTTCAAACTTTACATTTAAAATTCACAATGACAACTTTGACGTGAGACACTGGCAGATGGCAGGTAAGCGAATAATTACTACCCAGAAATATACAGGGTGACTTCGAAGTTGAGTCATTTATTTTAACAGTGAGTAGATCTGATCAAAAGAAATGTTTTTTTCCTTTACCATTTTTCTGGTAAAATTAAAGTAACAAAGTTATAGCTCTTTGGACGTTTGAGTACCGCCCTGTCTCAATAATAATATTATGTGCTCGTGTTTGGCAACAACGGATATAATCCGCCTTATCGGTTCATCGCATCGGAAACAAAAAAGCGAAAGAAATGTTTTTACAATTATTTTATTCAGTTGTATACATATACAGTCAGTGTCAGTCGGTAACGCGTGAGTGGATAGTGGTGTCTGTTGCGTGGCTCAAACGAAATAAAAAATGGCACATGTTTATGCGGATCGGTTTCCCAATCGAGTGCAACCAACCCCTCGTGCCTTTGTTAATGTAGTACAACGGGCTCGTGAATCAGGTGACTTAGGACCTCACAGGGGATGGCATGCCGGTGCTCCAAGACCTCACGATCAAATACAGGTCCGCACTGAAATACTTGTCGGGAGGATACTTTATAAAACAAGGTAAATTTTTTTTTTATTTTTACACACATATTTTGGTTTATCTTCTTTCTACAATCATTATCTGAAAATTAATGACTCAACTTCAAAGTCACCCTGTATATTATCTTAGGCAACCAGCTATACTATGTCCGTGGTATAGGTATATATGGTTGTCTACAAATCAATAGTATTATCCAGAGGCGTATACAAATGACATACTGTACGTTGGATTACGAGGAGCAAGGAGCCCAAGACTGGAAGAAATTGTGTTTTAAGAACCATGGCGCTCCCGATCCCATAAAAAGTTTTTCGCTTTCTGTCTCTAAACAAACGTCACTGGGTGTTAATTTAAAAGTAAAATATTTGAAAAGAAAAATCGACCAAAATAAATCATTAAAATGATCCACCTAGCGACATCTATTTAGAGTAAATACGTAAACTGACTGAAGGAGACTGACATAAAAGTATGTAATTGATGACTGCTCTTCAGACGGATCCATAAATGTTTTATGGTGTACAATTGTGAGTATATCAAGGACTGAAGATATTTAATTAAAATACAGGACAAATATTGAGGATCCTCGAATTATAAAGGAGAAAGCATTAAAACAAGGAAATAATACGTAAGCTGCCATCTCGTACTCAAAAGTATAACAGGAAATACTGGTGGCACTACCTATCAAGGTGTTCTATAACTAAGCGGCATAGTGATGAAACAATGCAGAAATAGTGATTTGGTTTGCTAGAACCGAATCTAAATTTAGATTTAGTTGAAGTATAACAATCATCATTAAAAAAAGATTGACATGACGCTCCTGGTTCTCTTGAAGACACTATTGGCTTTGGGCCCCTAAACGTCACTGGGAGCTAAATTCAAAGTAAAATATTTAAAAAAAGAAAAATCGATCCATAATAAATCATTAAAATGATCCACTGAGCGACATCTATTTGAGAAATAACGAAATTAGAGAAAAACTTTTTGAAGGAGACCCTCACAATAAAAGTAATTGCTGACTACTTTTTAGACGAATCCAAAAATGATTCATGGCGTCTAAATACGAGTATATTAAGGAAAGAACATATTTTGCACTACAAATATTGAACACCCTTCAATTATAAACGGGCAAGTATTAAAACAAGGAAATAATACATTAGCTGCCATCTCAATCAAAAATAGAACATAAAATACTGGTGGCACTAACCGAAAACTAAAACTGAATCTAAATTTAGATTTAGTTCAACTATAACTGATTCCAATTTTAGATTTGGTTTAGTAACACAATCATCAAAAAAGATTAACATGACGCTCCTGGTTTCCTAAAAAAATATTGGTTTTGGAACCCTAAACGTCACTGGATGTTAAATTCAAAGTAAAACATTTGAAAAAGAAAAATTGATCCCTAATAAATCGGTAAAATGATCTACATAGCGACATCTATAAGAGAAGAAAGAAATTAGAGAAAAGTGACTGAAGGAGACCGTCACAAAAATAATTACTGAGTGCTCTTCAGACGGATCCATAAATGTTTTAAGGTGTCTAAATATGAGTATATCAAGGACTGAACATATTTAGTTAAATTGCACTACAAATATTGAGTATCCTTGAATTATTACGGAGCAAGCATTAAAACGAAGAAATAATTCGAAAGTTGCCATCTCCTACTCAGAAGTATAACAGAAAGTACTGGTGGCACTAGCTATCAAGGTATTCTGTAACTAATCGGCATAGTGATGAAACAACGCAAAAATAGTGATTTGGTTTTCTAGAACCGAATCTAAATTTAGATTTAGTTGAAGTACAACCGATTCTAATTTTAGATTTGGTTTAGTACCACAATCCTCAAAGAAAGATTAACATGACGCTCCTGGTTGCCTAACAAGTTATTGTCTTTGGGCGACTTAACGTCACTGGTTGCTGAATCCAAAGTAAAACATTCAAAAACGAAAATTGATCTATAATAAATCCTTAAAATGATCTAGTTAGCGACATCTATTTGGGAAGAAAAGAAATTAGAGAAAACTGACTGAAGGAGACTGTGGCAATAAAAATAGAACAGAAAATAGTGGTGGCACTACCTATCAAGGATATTCTATTACTGAGCGTCATAGAGATGAAACAATGTAAAAATAGTGATTTGGCTTCTTGGAACAGAATCTAAATTTAGATAAAGTATGACCAATTCTACTTTAAGATTTGGTTTAGTAACAGTCATAAAAAAAGATGAACGAAATTTATTAAAATTTCTCTTTTACTGCACAGTTTGTTGTTTATAAAAATTATCGTAGTCTTTGAATCCAGAAATGAAAAACAAATTTCACAACCGCTAAATTTAGTGCCGAAAAAATCAAACGAAACAAAAAATAATTTATTAAACGTTCTGACATGATAACAGTAGAAAATACAAATTGTGATAAGCGATAAGTGCAATAACGACTTTTCTATGATTCATCTTCATCCTGTTCTTCTCCAGTAGTAGAAGTGATGTTGCCTTGGAAGGGAATGTTGTCGAATCGGACTTTTTTGTAGCGGGACAACAGCAGATCCCTCAATTCAATGCTATGAGTGTAATCTCGGGTCTCACATACCACTTTCACCTAAAATTAAATCATTATTTACATACAGCCTTTAAAAGTACTAACGTTTATAACGTAATACACCATCTATTCTATTTTTGGTAGTATTCAAACAGGAAATGTGAAAAACTGAATAAACTGTCAACCAATGAATTAAAAGACGCTGTGTAAGTCAAAGTAGTAGCCAACTATTGACAATTTGAGGATTTTTATGTTTTGATTAGGTATTTGTTTTGTTGTATTCCATGGCCCATAGTAAATATGCATTTAAACAAAAAATATGCCTTTTGTTATTAGTAATATTTTCAAAAAGGGTGATTTTATTCTGAGAAATAAAAAAGAATTCCAGAAAAATGAGTTTAAATACAAATAAAAGTTTAAGGGATTTTCATATAAAATTTTCTTGGTCTAAATTGTAGGTTAGACATGATTTAGATACTTTTTCACTTTTAGTTACAAAATTGCAGTTATTTCAGAAACTTGAAAATATCTTCCAAGTTTTTCTCTTGCTCGTTTTAGTAAGATTTTTTTATGCCGCAAGCCTCTTGCTTCCCAGATACAGTACCTTCTCAGCATTTTTAGTTGGCCACCTTGTACTTTTTGCAAACACAAACTCAAGCTAACTAGAAGGTCGAAAACAACTAAAAACTGAGCTGAGCTTTTTTTACGAATAATTTTTATCACTTTCACCAAAAATGATCAGAATCTCTAGAAAAATCGACAAAGAGTGTTTGCTTAGTTTTTTTGCCCATAATTACAAAAACCTTTTTCATCCTCAGCATCGTAGCAACTTTCAACAATATATAAGCGGTACTTTCTGAGCTATAAAATGGCAAAAAAATATAATATCTCGATTTGGAAATATTCCGCCATTACAACATTCATGGGAGGCGGCCATAGCCCCTCGGTGAGGACCCGGTTGGACCTTCAAGTTTACATATTTAGCATGATAAAACTTTTAATCGATCCCCGCTTAGATAAATTCCTCGTTAATTGGCATGTTATATTATTAATCAGATTAAGAGATAAAGCTCATCAAAAATTTCAAAAATCCAAATAACAGCCTCATTTTGAATATTATAAACAACTAAGGAACTGTACAAAGCATGCAATTATCCGAGAAAAAAATACATTCTTTAACTTACTCTCAACAAAGAATTTTGGGACACTACCAAAAAGCTCAACATAACATGCAAGAAAACTCACTCAACTATACCCGAACACTTACAATTTACCAGACACTGTTTCCCAAGCATTAATCAATTTTTACAAAAACAATGTAAACATTAACGATTCTCTTAGCTTCCAACTGTTAGACAGGGCCAGTCTAATCAAAATTGTAACTAATATCTCATCAAATGCCATTGGAGAGGATCGTTTCTCTATGAGAGACCTAAAATATCCCATTTTGTACGAATGCCTTGCTGAACACATGTATTTCGGGGGGATTATTTCCAGAAATATGGAGGAGATCTATTGTTAAACCCTTACCAAAAATAGCAGAACCTAAAGAATTTATAGACTCGAGGCCTATTAGCATATTACCCGCTACATCCAAAATATTAGAAAGGCATATTTATAATCAAGTTAGATTTTTTTGTGACACAAACGATATCATACCTTATAGTCATTCCGGTTTTAGGAAAAACTTTAGCACAAGTACATCATTAGTTAATATCTTGGATGATATCAGACATCATCAAGAACAAAAAAATAGTACTTGCATGGTTCTTCTCGATTTTAATAAAGCGTCCGACACTCTGAATCATGAACTGTTACTAGCGAAGTTACATTACCAGGGGTTTTCGCAGAGCTCCGTAAATCTAATAAAAACATACTTAAGCAACCGTCCAAACTGTGTTATATTAGCAAATGTTTACAGAACCGATTTTAAACCTATAAAAAAAGGAGTTCCTCAACGTTCAATGTTATCTCCTTTGCTATTTTCAATCAACGTATCTGACATGGTCAAATCGGTAAAATTCGCAAAGATAAAACAATATGCAGATGACCCACAAATATATCTCCCTTTAAAACCACAATCCATATTGCACAACAACTAAATTCAGATCTCCAAAGTATTTACAGATTTGCAAAGCATCACAATCTTAAACTAAACCCTCAAAACCGCAAGTAATGGTTATGAATAAAAACAATAATGAAAGAGAACATGTTGAACAAAATTTAGTAATTTCTATTAACAATGACAGAATCCCCATGGTTCAGGAGACAAAAAATCTAGGCATTATATTTGATAGCTCGCTGGGTTCGGAAGTCATATAAAAACAGAAAAAATTTAGCTTACATGCGACTAAGAAATATAAACAAATTAAAAAAACATTTATCAGCCATACAAAATATTATTTGTGTAATACCTTAATTTTATCGCTTTTTGACTATGGAGATGTCGTCTATGGGGATTCGCTATCATCGCGAACCAAAAAATGCATACAAAAAGTTCAAAATAGTTACATCAGATTTGCGTTTGGAATTCCATATCGAAACCATATCACTCCTTATCTGAATTAAACATGACGAATCGCAGAAAATATCACATGTATTCTTTTATCTATAGGGTTATAAAAACAGGTCAACTGCCCTATTTAAGAGAAAGATTTGTGCCTTTGCCTCGTGCCCAGAGGAGCATAAATAATCTCAATTTTTAGGCATAGAACGCGTTCCTGCCGACGATCGTTTGCTTATGTGGCGGTTCATTTATGGAATAATTTACGATTTTCAGTTAAAAGCTCATCGTCAAAAACATTCTAAAAACTGACAAAAACGTTGTTACAGAATCACCAGCTACTTTAGCAGCGTTTGTGTGAGCAAAAATATCGTTTTTACATTCCTACTCGCTGACAAGTTGTATAGAGGTTCTTCGCGTCCGTTGCCAGCTCCCGGGGTTTCTTTGTTTTTGCCTTTTTGTGTTTCACCGCCTTTTCATTTGTCTCTTTATTGTTTTTTTTTTATTTTGTGTGTTCAGGGCTTTCTCGCATGGACTCTTTGTATTAAACGGTCCAATGTATCGGTATTATAATTGAGAGACTGTCCTTTTTCGTCATTGTAGAATTTCCTTTGTTTACGATGTTTATTCATGACGAAATAAATATTTTGAATTTGAATACCTCGACGCTAAAGACGTCCGATGCTACCCACGCCCTCTCATGGATGACATCTTTTATAGAAACTCCGATCGAACCGATCAGTTTGCACAACTCCGAAATACCTCCTGGCCTGTCGCTGACGGTCACTTTGCATTTCACCAATCTGCCATCTGCTGCGAGGCCACGTTCCAAACACCTTCCGAGAATGGTCGTGTCCATGTTGCCCCCCGTCAGCAGAAGAACCACTCTGAAACGTAAATTGTACTTTAAAATATTTCGAGGCACCGAGCTTTTCTGGGTTGTGTTCTGCAGAATAAGATTCGCCAACAAATAACTAATCCCTCTGGAGTTACCGTTTTCCTTTAAATTCGTCAAGTTGTCCTGCTAGTATCGCAGCCAATCCGCACGCACCGGCTCCTTCAACGACGCACTTTTCGTTTTCTATCAACCTTAAAATTGCCACCGCGATCCATTCCTCTTTTACTGTCACCTGAAATAAGAAGCTCCGTATTATTTCGACCCATAAAAAAAATGTATGAGTCAAGAGACTTTTTTCTGTAACGTTCATAGTTTTTCTCACCATTTTGTCTACGAGATTTTTAGATGTTTCCCATGCATTGTATCCTATCATAGGTACGGCTAGACCGTCTGCTAAGGTTCCTTCTATCGCGGTAGGTATCGGTTTGCCATTTTGGATGGCGTTCGCGTAACTCGCACATCTTTCTGACTCCACGCCCTGAAATTTTAAGATGCGTATTTATTACAAATTCTAGAGCATTTGTTTGTATACAAGCATGACCGAATTATTCGTGTCAGTGGAATCAAAGCATTTCATCAAAACAGAGGTTGCGTTGTTCTGTCCATGCTAAGCTTTCTAGGAAAAAAAAGAAACGGTTGAGATTGCTCGATAATAAAAATGGCAACCTATTTTGTATGTATCGAAGAAAGAGACTAAACCAAAACAGTGATCATCGCGTTATGTTGCAGCAGAAAATGTTTCAAATTTTCTGACCTTAAAAATATTATAAATTTTTTAAGATGCCCTATACAAAGAACAACACGGAATAAGAGGAAAAATGTAGCAGCTTGCAGAAGAAAAGGTCGAACCTAAAATGTGTTCCACGGCCGATATAGAATGATTTTCATTTTCAAATATATGTATTTCCGGTTTTGGAGGTAAAATGTCTGTGCAATAAATTTTTGTATAATATTTAGTGTATATGAGGAGCAGACTTGCAAATCGCATTTTGTCCATTTTTACCAATTTTCAGGGGGAGCAAAAAACTAGTACAGAAAAAGTAACCATAAGAGAAAAAAGCGTTTGGGATATATAATGTTATCAGGTGTATGGACCTCCATTACAAGTTTTGGTACAAGGAAGTCGAAAAAGAACTTGAAAAATTTTAAAAAAATTGCTGGACAAAATGCAATTTGAAAGTCATTAACAAAAATAAAAAATCGTGTTTTATTAAAAAAAAGTTTATATTGAAACAGTATCATGAAACAAAACAAAATTTGTTAGTATTATAATAATATTAGTAGTAAACGATTTTATTTTTAAATAAATTCATTATCATCATTCTTAGCGCCACAAGCTTCTTCGTCATTTTCGTGCTCTTCTTCTTCATCATTACAGTTTGCCACAGTTTTCTCAAATATTTCAGCCATTCATTTCAGCTCCGGGTGTGTTTCATACCATTCGTCACCACACAATGTAACACGTAGGTGTTTTATACTATCAAGCTTTTTCTGCTTTATTTCATGTCCTCGGGAAGTTCGATTTGATTTAACCGCTTTTTAGGTTTCAACAAACTTTGACATTTTTTTGCTGGACCATCCGTTCGATACAGCAATTCAGATTTCGCCTGAGGGCGTTCCTCGTTTGATGATTATTCTTTCACTTGAGGACTTTTTTCAAACAGAGTTGTTTGATATTCACCGATGATCAATCAGTTTCAAGTTTTCTGATTTCACCTTCTTGCTTGTAAAGGTCCCGATATTTTTCAGGTATTTTCAGGGCCGCGTGACATCTTATAATCTTTTCCATCCTCCCAAAAATTCTATCTGCCGGAATATAAGAGTGTCCTCGCACTGGGAAGATAACTTCTATTTTTTTAATCGTTTCTGGAGCAAAGCTATATAACCATAACATTAGCATGTTGATGGTAAAGCTATTTTTATTTTGCCCCCCCGCATCCATCAGAGAAGAGCCGAAGATTCGGGGCAAAATTAGTCTTTTTCAAAGAATCAAGCGGGGCTGACGATATTTCTGTCGCTCGCCTGCCAGCTTGATGTTCCATCCATGAATAAAAGACTGAGTGGTCTTAAATCAGTTTGTTTGTCTAGGTATTATTTCCCCCCTAATAACACGGGGACTAAATTCTTTTCGACTGGTCAAATGTTCACAGAGTAAGAATTTCATCAGAAGAATGCAGCTCCACCTCTATCTCAAATATTGAAAATTCGGACAAAATGCATTTTACAAGTCTGTTCCTCATATTATTATCTATTCAAATCCTTTTTCTTTCAACTCCACCTAACTATTCATTTTTTAGTCTAATATTGAAATTAACTGTTTGCACACTGACGTCGATGTTCAAGCGGTGGTTAGGTATACAGGGTGCGGCAGAGATGACGGGCGTTTTTCGGATGGGTAGTACTCTCCGCCTCCGTCTACGAGAGAGGTGGGGAGGGTGCCGTTTGACTCGTGAGATACTAGCATTATTTTACCAGTTGTCGTTATGGAGCCTTGGACGGTGGAGCACCGCGTTTTCACCTATGATTGTTTCGTCCGAAATAATGAGTCAGTCATCGTCGTACAGCGTGAGTTTCGTCGCCACTTCAACATTCATCGGAATAGAGCTGCTCCCTCTCGAAACACCATCCTTCGTTGGTTACACGAAAGACCGTTGTACAGCCCAAAAGTAACCGTTTGGTGCGCTGTATCGCAAACTTGCATCATTGGCCCTTACTTCTTCGAAGACAGTAATGGTGGTGATGTTACCGTGAACTCAGAGCGCTACGTCGACATGATCACCAACTTCTTTCTCCCTGAATTACGACGGCGACGTGTTCCAATCCGACATGTGTGGTTCCAGCAGGATGGGGCGACCGTCCATACAGCCCGAGCATCCATGGACGTTATTCGCCCTCTCTCCCCTGGTCGCCTTATTTCCAGGTTTGGCGATGTTCATTGGCCTCCTCGGTCCCCAGATTTATCCATATGCAATTTTTTCTTATGGGGACACCTCTAGGCTAGAGTATACGCGAACAAGCCCCGAACTCTGGACGAATTGAAGGGCGAAATTCGCGTGGAAGTCGCCCAAGTTGAGAGAGCGATGTTGGAGAGAGTCTACGCGAACTTCCAAGAACGCCTCCAGCACTGCATCAACGATTTCGGCCATCACATGCCTGATGTGATTGTCCACACTTGACTGTCTCAAATGCTACATCCTTGTGAACCTGATTCCATCAATAAATTTGTTTTCGAGTAAAAATTAACTATTTTATGATTTTTTTAAAACCGTCCATCCTCTCTGCCGCACCCTGTACTTGTATGCATATGCAATTATCATTTTCATGTGTCAAGACATTTTTTAAAAGCCTGCGGCTTACGACACCATTCGAGTATAATTTTTTGATAAAACACTTCTACTAAAAACAACAATAGTAAGTCGTTTTCTTTTTGACATTAATTCCAAGCTTTACGTTTGGACCCTATACATGCCTGCAATAATTTTGCATACTTTTTGATCGTGTCGTAAAACCACAAATAATTTATTCTTAGTACGGCCCTGTAACGTGCTCGGCGTTCTGGAGCGCGATCACATGGAGTATACGTGAATATGTTTAGGTTTGGTCTCTTTCTTCGATGGATTCATAATAGTTTCTCATACAGCTAACCAAAAATCCCAGTCAAACATTACGATCTAAACTCACTCAAAAGTGTTTTATTCCAATTAAAGAATTCTTGTCGTAACGCACTTGTTACTGGAGCTTTGCGAGATACCCTCGTACATAGTCGCTTAGCCAACCAGAAGATCGATTTGAAGTAAATACGCGTCGAGGGCAAAATACGAGGTTTGTCCGGAAATAAGTAATGATTTTATTTATTTTACAATCGTTCAGGTACTTCAATATGGTTTCCTTCAAAGTACTCCCCCCGAGCCAAGATGCAGTTCTCTCAACGCCGTTTCCACTGTTGATACGATCGCAGAAAGTCATCAACTGTGAGGCTCTTCAATTACCGTGTCGTTTCTCGCTTGATGTCTTCCACATTCCCCAAGCGCCGCCCCGAAGCAACATTTTGCATTGTGGCAACAGAAACAAGTCGCTAGGAGCTGAATCGGGTTAATAAGGCGGGTGTTTTGTCACGGTGATTGAGCTTCGGGTTAAAAACTCACGCACAACGAGAGACGTGAGAGCAGGCGAGTTGTCGTGATGAAGGATCTACCTGCCCCCTTGTGCCAAATCCGGGGCCTCACGAGCTCTAGGACGACGCAAAACTTCAATGTAGATTTTTTCGACCTCATTGTTCTGGATTCAGCTGCTTGCTTTGAGGTTTCAGCTTCACATCGAGTTCGTAGAAGCAAGACTCGTCTCCAGCGATTACCCGGTTGAGAAAATCCCCCCTTTCCTCTGCTTCCGACCAATCATCACAGCAAGCTTCCTGTTCTGGAGCCAACAGCTTGTTTTGAGGATTGACAGACCCGAATTCATTCAAGATTTCTCTCAGAGCTCGACGTGGAGGGGCGTCCTGAGCGTTGGTCATATTTCACATCTTCTCGGCCTTGCCGAAACATTTTCAATCACTTGTTGATGGTTGGTTCCTTCATAGAATTGTCTCCGTAAGCTTGTTTCAAACACTAAAAATTCTCACAAATCTCAGCGGTTATAAATTTGAAATAACTTAGTTGCAAGTGCTGCGAAAGTGATAAATTAGACTTTAAATATCGAAAACGGTACTTTCGTTACAGTATTGAAGTACTCACAATAATTTTAATACCAGGATTGAGCGTTTTGACAGCAACTGCGACACCAGCCAATAATCCTCCTCCGCCAGTTGGCACCACAACCGCGTCGACGTCCTCAACTTGTTCAAGGATTTCCAAACCTACAGTGCCTTGGCCAGCTATTATTTGAGGATGATCATATCTACAAAAAAAAATAATATATGTACGAGCCCCTTCCCACTTCAGTTGGCCCAACTATTGAAATCCTAGTTTTTTCCTATCAAACACAAATAATAAAAATGTAGCAGGGTGTTATAGGTTTAAAATATTAACAATGTATACTTTGATAATATATAGTAGAAAACACCAATTTTATCACTCCCTAATCAAATTTGCAGCATAAAAATAACACATGTTGCAATTACAGCATATCAACCTATTTTCATTTCAATGCAAAATAAGTCTATAACGCATAGGTGGCTGTGAAAAATAAAAGCCATGACAATTGTTCTTATTAATCACAGCTGTCAGAATATGTTTAAAATAGTTTTGGGTAGTTAAGGTTTTCAAAATGGCTAGAGAGGAAAGGTTATTAGTGAGAAAATTCGGTTACTGATAATTATATTTTTTTAATTCTGGGAAATCAAACTCAGAAATTGCAACTTTGTTAGACTTATCGCGGTAGTGTGTGAGAAATATTGTTAGAAGATATAACGTAACTGGCTCAGTCAATATTAAGCCACGATATGTAAAAAAAAGTAATATCACAAATGCCAACCAAAGAGCATTAAGAAGAATAATCGTGAAAAACAGGCATGCCAATTATTTACAATTAAGTGCTCTGTGGAGTGACGCTGTTGGAAGGAGAATTTCGAGGTCCACAACTCATAGAGAGGCCCACAAACTGGGATTTAGCGCTTGCAAGGTAAGTTTTCTTATAAAAAAAGTGAAGTAAAAACCCTAAAGTTGCACAACTTGTTTACAGGCCAAAGAAAAGCCACTATTAACTCCACTGCAAAAGAAAAATAGGCTTAGATGGGCTCAAGAACATAGACAATGGACACCTCAACAATGGTGTGCAATACAATGGAGTGATGAAGCCCGATTCGAAGTTTGTCTTGGTGACAGTCGCAGTAGAGTTATTCGAAAAAAAAATGAAGCATTCCATGTTGACTGTCTGAAGAGAAAAATATCCAGCATCCATTATGGTCTGGGGCAGTATGTCATCTAAAGGAGTATGAAAACTTCATTTTATTAATGGAAATGTGGATAGAAAGAAATATTTGGCAATTTTAGAAGAATCGCTTTTACCAGTGATGGAAGAATGTTTCACATCCGGCCAAGATTTTGTGTTTCAGCAAGATGGTGCAGCGTGCCATACCTCAAAAAAGGCTATAAAATGGATGGAAGAAAATAATGTACCATTTTTGAAATGGGTTTCTAGCAGTCCAGATCTGTCACCCATTGAAACTTTGTGGCACGAGATGAAAAAGGTTCTACGAAAACATCCTGCTCGTACAATCACCGAACTGAGACAAAAGCTTCAAGAAATATGGGATTGTTTTACACCAAATGTTTGCCAAAACTTGGTTAACATTATGCCTCAAAGAATTTCAGCCGTAATAAAAAATAAAGGTGATGTTACCCAATGGTAGTCTTTCAATTGTTGCTTTGTTAACTTCGCGCATTTATTCGCACATTGTTTATTTGTTCAGATGTTCTATTAGTTATAGGTCTAAGTGATTTCAAATATGTATTTTTTACGACTAGAGTGTATCTAAAATGTTTTTGAGAAAATGAATTGTTTTAGAAGTACATAGTTTCGTCATGTTTAGTTTACAAAGGCATATTTTGGTACAAATCTTGAAGTGGGCCAACTGAAGTGGAAAGGGACTCGTATGTCACTTATGATAAATTCACGAAGAAATTGTTGATATAAAACGAGCATTAAGCACGGCAAGACCAAAACTTCAATCAGGTTGCAAGTCCATGACCAGGCAAGTTTCGGTCTTGCAAAGCCATAATCTCTATCTATCTAATCTATAACGAAATATCATGAAGTTTGTCGAATGTTTCTCACCCGTTAATGTACGTCCAGCCGTTCTTCGTAGAGAGCGAAATGGCGAGTTTCTTCGCTTCCGACATATTTTTGCCTTCCATGATCACGTTCGCGTTGTACTCCCTGCACTTCTGCACTTTCATGATGGGAGCGATGATCGGCATCACGACCGTCACCGGAATGCCGAGCAAAAAGCCATGATAAGCGACAGCTTGCGCGTGATTACCCAGAGAGGCGGCTACTACTCCTTTGCGTTTCTGTTCTTGCGTTAGCATTACCATAGCATACCGAGCTCCTCGCTCTTTGAAACTGAAATTCATTTACAAACGGTTTGTTATACAGGTCGTTCGAAAAATAGACGGAGATATTTTGAGGGTTACAAAAATTTGAAAAAAGTTTCTATAAACATGGTTCCGGAAATATAGTTTTCAAGATATTGTTTTTATTAATATCTTGAAAAATATTCGCTCGATTGTGTTTTGAACTGACTCGCAAATGTCAAATCTCCATGCAGAAATGATTTTTTGTTTTCGAAGGCACATGTGATTTTTTTTGCAAATATTATTAAAACAATTTTGTCCAGTGACATGCGATATAACGGTTTTTTTTCTCGAAAACGAAGCGACATACGAAAGAAAACAAGAGGTGAAGAAGTTATGCTTTTAGATGCTGAATCAAACAACAAATATTAAAGTTACAAACATGGCAGCAGCATGCATTTTTTTGTCGATAATTTTCGCTAACGTGCCTCCGGGACGCCACTGGATCTAATAATTTTAATCTATTGAGTCCTAAATTAGCCTCTTAATACAACAAATAATATTGCCAAATTCCAACAGAATCGATCAGATATTTTTTAACATATTAATAATTTTTTTGTATATTAAAAACTGCGTTTCCGAACCCATACTTATAGGAACTTTTTTTCATATATTTTAACAAGGAATCACCTTCTAAAACACCCTGTAGCAGGAACGATATATTAGGAATATTCTTGAAATTTGATTCTCGGGGATCAGTGCTGCTGATATCTCAAAGAATTTCCGTTTGACAAATCAGTTTTCTACAAAAAATACCAATAATGGACAGATTCAAACTATAACTGACATTTTACAATTCTCTGACGTTCATATTCGTGTTAGGCTACCTCAATGCATAAAGTTTTGTTTATTTATAGCTAAAGAAGACAATAATGGAGATTTCATAACATAAGACTATAGACGAAAATTTTAAAAAATTCTTGCGTATCTGCAGTTAAGACCGAATCTCGCTTTTTATACCGCCATGCGACGTCGCGTCACGTTTTACATTATCAGAATATATCGATTCTTTATCATTCCTTACCTTCCAGTATTTTGCAGGAAATCTTTCTTTAAGTAGATATCCATACCGGTCAGACTAGATAAATGAGATCTCTGCAAAGAACAAAGATTTAACGAATTAGCATAGCACCGATGGAATCAATATACTAAATAAATCCTTCGTTACTATTCAAATTAGGTTTCAAACATCACACCTCGCAAATATTCGCCGTGAAGTGGAAAATGGCCTGGGCTGAAAAGTTGGCCTTGGAAACAAACGTATGTCTCACTAAATTGTACACAATCAACTGCCAGACAAATGACAAGCACATAGAAAAGGAGAATTCATTTTTGTGGTATACAGTGTGTTTTTAAAGTCATTTATTTTAACTCGTCAAAAGAAGTTCACCTATACAGGGTTATCCAAATTAAGTGTCCACCATTGGTAACTTTGTTATTAGTAAAAATACAAAGTTATTTAAATTAGCAAACTAGTAGCATTTTTAACGCTGGTAAAAATGAGAAATAAAAAAAAACAATTGAGAGTCGTTATTTTGATTTTTTTCAGTAAAATAACATTTTTTTAAATGGAAACCCCTGTATATTATATTTTTTCTGTTAAAGCATCAAATTTTAAACAAAAAAGTTCATAATGACTTTTCCGCTAAAGTCAAAAATAAAGTCAAAATAACGATAAATATTTTTAATTATTTGCAGTATTATAATATTAAGACGGCTATGAAAACAACATGGCGTTCGCGATTTGACAGCATTAAGATAAGCGACAAATTGTTAAACTGGACATACTCGCAACTAGAAGGCTTTGGAAAACAATGATAAAATCAAATAATGTCAAACATTAGTGTAAATACTTGTTTATAAGCTTTATTGTGTCATTAATTTAAAGAAAAATGTCCTCCCATGAAGAAAAGTGTGATATGTTAGAATGCTATTTAGTATGCAGAAAATCCTCCTTGAGAGCAAGAGAATACTACAGTGAATTATATCCCGCTCGCATTCAACCGTATGAACGATATTTTCTGAGACTTTATCGAAAATTTAGGGGCAACGAAAATGTTTTTGCTAAAACAACGGCAAAAAAAGAATTCATAATAAGCGAGGCCACGGAAATTGCAGTTATTGGATATTTTGAAGCTTATCGTGAGAATTCAATAGCAGATATTCTCAAGGACTCTAATTTCAGTTATGGTACTGTTCAAAGGATTTTAAAAAAATACAAATTTATTCCGTATAAGTACCGACCAGTTCAAACGCTTTTGGCAGGGGATCCAGAGAGAAGACTTGTTTTTTCCATTGGTATCTTAGCTTCTGTCGCCAAAATGTAAATCACTTTCGTTACCTTTTATGGACAGATGAATCAAATTTTTCAAATTCTGGAATGTTTAATAGCAAAAACCACCATTATTGGTCAAGAGAAAATCTTTTGTTAGTACATCCAAGAGGCCCACAAGTCCGTTTCAGTTTCAACGTTTGGTGCGGTATAATTGGTTCAAAAATTGTTGGCCCGTTCTTTTATGAGGGAACCCTAACTGGTGAAAGATATGTGGAATTTATGTCAGAAATTCTGACTAATTTCTTAGACGAATTGGATCTTATAAGTAGACATCATCTGCATTTTCAGCAAGATGGCGCACCTGCCCACAACTCCAGAGGTACTTATCATTTTCTAAGTACTACTTTTAATGATCAGTGGATAGGAACAAATGGCCCAATACAGTGGCCTCCCAGATCACCAGATCTAAACCCACTTGATTACTTCTTGTGGGGTTACTTAAAGAACCAAATTTACAAGCGAAGGTACGATAACCTTGACGCGTTAAAGACTGCAGTTAGGGAAAAGATAACCCAGATAGATGGTAGGACCATACTTAAGACAGTTCGAGCAGTTGAAAAACGTGCCCAAAAATGTATTGAAGAACAAGGTGGTGTTTTCGAGCATCTTCTTTAAAAAAAATTGTTATTGTATTTTGTAAGATTATAAGTTGATGTTGAAAATAAAGTTTGTCGATACAATTTAATTGTTTCAGATTGGAGGCCATAACTTCAACAATTTGTAACCTAGTAGAAAAGTTATTGTAAGCTTTTTTGTTTAAAATTTGATGCTTTAACAGAAAAAAATATAATATACAGGGGTTTCCATTTAAAAAAATGTTATTTAACTGAAAAAAATCAAAATAACGACTCTCAATTGTTTTTTTTTATTTCTCATTTTTACCAGCGTTAAAAATGCTACTAGTTTGCTAATTCAAACAACTTTGTATTTTCACTAATAACAAAGTTACTAATGGTGGACACTTAATTTGGATAACCCTGTATAAAAGTTGCATAATAAAAGAAAAAGTAAAAGAAGGACGCGCTGGGGTGCCTGTTCAACCTGAAATGTTACAACAATGAGTACCAGAGCCATAGCAGTTCAAGTTGTTATCATTATCAACGGGTATACATGTTACAACTTCAACTTGTACTTGAAGATCATTGTTAAGGGGGTTAGGTGAATAGATATAGTATCTAAATCTCGCCTCCTGTAATGTTATTACAAATATTGTGTTATTATTATCTATTGAGACTTACCATACAAGGCGTGTTCATGACTCCACTGCGAATTTTGTAAGCTGCCGATGTGATTTCTTCAAAACTAACTTTCACCGGCCGTTCTGGATCGCATGAAGGATCTTCAACTTTTGCGTCGTCCATATTTTTTAAACTTTCGTGACAGTTTGGAGAGAACGGCACCGCCTTTTCAAAAATACAGTACTTAATTAATAAACACCAATTTTTCATTTTAAATGTTGTCGTTTAAGATTTATTTAGCATAATTGCTATAATTACATTCGTTTCAAAACTAGGTACAACAATTACATAGCGTACAAATATTTAGAAAAACAAAAATTGCAATTTCACTGATCATGAAATCTTCCTTTAATTTTTTTTTAAGCATCTTTAAATTACAAGGAGACATTATTTAGTTTATTAAATTCAAGTAATCCCTGCTAAAATATTGATTTGCTGGTTATATTACTATTGCAATTTTGTAAATGGACATCTATATTTCCTCTTGTATAATTGTGGTAATGATTATTCAATTCTATATAATGTTCTAATTGTTGTGACAAAAGATGATATTTTTTATTTTGAACATAAAAATAAGAACCAAATGTGATAAGATAAGAAAATTTTTATATTCAACCTCTGCAATTCTTGTAATATAGATTTTATTCTGGTGTAAATCCACTTTTTGTTTTTCGACTTTTGTCATTTTGAATACAGATTCTTTAAATCCATAGTGATATGATTTTGTAAGTAATTATCCCTGTCAATAGATTCAAATTCCCATTTTGAAATCCAAAAACAGTCGCTGTATGTTTCCTATTATCCAAACATCTCCAGTCCTCTAAAACCATGTGTATTGCCATTTCCATTGGGTGTTTCCCTCTAAGAATTCGATGATCTGTTCATAAATAATTTCTTCAAATACTTCAGTTTTGTTGGAAATTAAGCATATTTTATACAATTATTTATCAGGATTAATATACTTGCTCCAATAATATTAAAACGTTCATTAAGCACCAAGCTTTATTTGAAGGCTTTTTACATATCGACATTACGTATTTGCATGGTTGATACTTAGGAAAATAAAAACATTTATTGTTAATGTTAATTTTAGCATTTAAAGTTGCAACTTTTAGCTACCGTATTCCACTATAAGTATAAAATATTTTCTCAGTTTACCTTGTAAGCCTGAACTTTCTTGTACTTTTGCGAACTCCAGAAACGCGCCTGAGCGATTTCATTAGAAGTGGGAATGACGCAACAACACAGCGCACCTTTACCTTTAACTCGTGTGAATAAGAGGAAAACGTACACAAACTTACATCAGTGTCTTCGGAATCGTAATCATCGGATGCTTCTGGTGAGCATGTGTACTTTTCCATATTTGCTTCTCTCTCCTTAGCACAAATTCGCTCCAACACCATAACAAATAAATCTTTGAAAAAATCGCTAAAACTGACGATCACATGGGGATACGATCGTCTATGGTACGCGACCTATCAACTGTTGACCCGCGATAAGAAGCATCACGCTGATAACGTAATTATCGGTATACATTGTTATGCGGACTTTATCGGTTTACTTTGGAACAGACGGTCAGCAGCTCAAGACTTTGCCTTTTGATTGTTCGTCCACCAAGTAAGGCTTTGAACACTCTCGAAATCGTAGATTTAATTATTTTATTCGAATTTAAAAGGATAATTGGTTGATATTTAGAATTTGAAAGAACAAATGGCATTTTACTGAATAACTGTGCTCTGAATCTTAGATATCAAAAAATTTGGAAAACTCGATTTTGATAACTGATGTTTTTTAATCAAATTAAGAACTTCCAAATTTTATACCTTTAACAAAATCGATATTTTCTGTTTTCATTAATTGTAAACTCATTATCAAGGATCAAGTGTTACCAACTATTTGTCTGTTTGTCCAGAAACAGGTTATATCACAATTCACTACAGGCAATTCTTTGATCTGAAATCAAAGAGTAGGGAAAGGAATACCTGAAACTGAATAAGGTCAAAAAGGCGTCAAGTCGCTTGACTCTCACGTCCTACGCAACACCATTATTATTATACAGGGTGGCCCACCGAAAAGGTCGCACCAGTATTTGTGGCTCTCCTGGTATATTTTGGGAAGAATGCTCGGACACGTCAATTTTGATTTCTACGGGGACGTCTTTTCATCTACAGCCGTACAATACAGGGTGATCCAAAAATAAGATATTATGTTATACTTTACATTTTTAAATCGAAACCCCCATGAAGTTTTTAGTAACTGTAGTATAATAAAGTTTATACCTATCTTCAGTCATTGTAAAGCTATTTGAGTTTAGAATAAAACTCTAGAAATTGTTATAATAAGGGATTATATCGTAAAAATAATAATCAATATAGTTCCCATAGTAACAAGACTTTAAGATTAAAAACAAGTCTCTGAGTACTAAAAAATAAAAAACAACTAACAGTTTACATGCACATTAAAGTTAAAGTAAAAATTAATTTGCTATAATGAGTTAGGTCAATGTGGTAATAAGTGCTGAAAGTGGTGTCCATTTACCTCCATGCAACAATAAAGATTTTGTTTGAATCTATTCCTCACATTTTCAAGCATGTCTTGAGTTGTTTGTCTACATTCAGCTGTAGTGCCGCTGACGAAGATCTTTCCAAATGCTCCCAAAGAAAATAATCTAAAGAACTTAGATCCAGAGATCTTGATGGTGCTACATGTCCTGAAATTGCTATTTCTGCGGCTTCATTTCTAACTGGTCGATTTTCTCGATGGCGATTATGGCGAATATTAGACACAGATCCTGCTTAATATTTTTGTCTGGATGTAACGCATTAAACAAGGCAGGCAGTAGCTTTTGCAATGCTCCCATTTTGGTAATAAAGTTTTGTTGTTTCTACCCTTTCTTTAATTGAATAAGTCATTGTTACATATTTTTTGCTGGTATTCATGATTATTATGTTATTATTGGCTGTGCATTAAATTATTATCAGTATTAATTTAGTTGAACCTAAATAGCTTCACAACAATTGAAGATAGGTATAAACTTTATTATACAACAGTTACTAAAAACTTGATCGAAAATCTAAAAATTAAAAAAAATGTAACGCAATATCTTATTTGTGAATCATCGTTTATTGTATACACCATTTTTTTTTATTTCACTGGATATAATGTGATTGGTTGTGAATTGTTGGAAATAAATGAATTATTTATTTTTTTATTTGCAAAAAACTGATAATTTTTAGTTTTTGTTTTTTCAAACGAACACCATTCTCATCGAAATATATGCTCTGCAAAACATTCAAAATAATCCAAGAGGACTTCACTAACTCCAATCCATATTTGATGTTGACTATCAGTTATCTAGATATCTCAACTTTCAATGATTTATTTTCATTTTTAGTAAATTGTCCTTTAAAAAATAAAATGTTTGATGTCAATAGAATATCTCTGTAAGTTGTTAATTTGGATACTATCTCTTATTAAATTAAATTGACATGCATCTGAGCAATTTTAATGCATATGCAAGCATAGCTTTGAATTTACTGAAATTACATCAGAGACGGTGCTCTGAAAATAGCTGATTTACACCAAATAAGGAGCTTTAAGTTGGACAAAAAGCAGTACAAATTGTTACCATACTCATTATGACTGGTTATTGAATTATATAAAAACTTACAATGCCATGATCCCCAAATCATATTCCTCAGATGTGTGCCTTGGTTAGATCACATGCAATATTCAAATTTCTGAACAGCACCTGTTGCTCCGCTAAACAAAAAGTGGAGATAACATCAGGTATGATCTTCAGCACTGAATTCTTCAAATCTGTAACCGCTTCACCTCTGATCCTGGGGCCTGGTTACTAAATGAAAACATTCGGGATCAGCTAAATAACAATAAAAATAATATTTATTTGCCATTTTACACAGGATGAAAATACACAATATTTTAGCAAATAAATATTCTAGTGTTCACGGAAGGTACACACCGTGTGCGTTAACAGTTAACTTGGAATTTCTTACTCATATTATTTACAACTTCATATACCTACTTACGTTTTAATACTTCGTCACCATGAACAAAATGCGTAAATACGGCACAAACAATAATACGGAGTGTTAAGCCGATTTAAAATCAACGATGCGAACAGCTGTGAAAATTATGTTGGAAAAAATTAAGGTTAGGATAGTTTACCAATCAACACTTTGAAATTTAAATACGAACAACGTCTTCTATTTTCAGCGTTGTCATATTGTGCACGTACAATATGCCTCTTACGGCAGATCTATTGAAATACCTCGACTGGTGCACAATTGCGCTGTTGCCGTCGTACGTCGGTCGTTGCGCTACGGCTGGCCAGCTTTTCTCATCGCCAAAAATCGAATCGTTCGATTGCAGTTTCAATTCGGTAGCTGGTCATGGTTTTGTACGGGTGTGTAGATGTTTCTGAAACTAATTCTCAAGCGTCTGTTTAGCGTAATGGTTAGATATTCAGATTGATAAACAAATGTTCCGGGGTTCGATCCTGGGAAACAACGACTTTTTTTTTTATTTTTTGTATCTCTTTAGGTACTACATGTAAAACAAAATTGAGAATATTTAAAATTCGGTTATATCATTTGTGAATGGTTCCATCTTTCAGCTAAGAACTAATAAAAAAATGGAATTTGAATGAGATTTTGTTAGGAGCGCAGAACACGGTATCAGGTCATTTAATAATCTAAACATAAACAATAAGTCATTGTGAATACGCTCGTGAGAGTCTCTTCAAGTTTAAGTTTATATGTTCAGTTCATCATCATATACGTATATGATCATTAGGAATTCTTATATGAAGCTTATAAAGACAAAACCTAATAAATTTATTCTACTATCTAGGGCTAGGAAATTATTGATATAATAGGGAGTCCAGATCATTGATCTATATTCCAACAAAGACACCAAAGGTGGATGTATAATTTCTTACAAGTTTGTATAGACAGCTCTCCAGAATTACGCAACACAAAACCTGGGACTAGATGATTCAAGTATAATATACAGGGTGTTCTTTAATGATATACGAATATTTAAGTGAATCTAAATGAAAAATTAATGTTAGTTTGCTTCATAAACTACGGACCAAAAATGTTTCCTTACAAAAACTCGGGGTGTTGAAGTTTTAGGAACAAAATGCAAATTAATTAATATTTTCATAACCGCTTCAGATATTTCACTGATATTTAGTACGTAGTGGAATTTAATAAAGTTGCATATTTTTCAATGCAAAAATAATTTTTAGCTTTAACAGTGGCGTGCGTACGGGTATTGACGACGATATTTTTCACGAAAAAAATGGTACGCTAATGGTTTTTTGCCAAATAAAAATTATTTTTGAATTACCCGTTCAATTCAAAACAAATGATCTCTCTTGAATTGCTTTCCTTCGGTGCGCCATTTTTGATGTGATAATTGATGAATGCAATTTAGCAATAAATATCTAGTTGCTCTGGAATATGTCACTGGCTTTTGACATCTGACAAGTCTCTGTTATTCAAATCTGTTCATCAAATCTTTTTCATTATTTATAGTTTTTACGTATGATTCCTTAGCTTTCTTATAATAACTTTAATGATGTTCTAGATATTTTCATGAAATTTGAAATGCACCTATTAAGTACCAATAGTCATTTTCACCAGAGGCGCCCGTACGGGATGCATACCGGAGATTTTTCGAAAAAAAAATATGGTACGTCATTGCTCCTCATTTATTTTGCAACAAATATGTCCTCGTCTTTTTTCCATCCGATGCTCCGTTTTCGCGTAAAAAAAATAAAAACAATTTTCATACATTTGTGGTATAACGAAATTATTTTGAACTAATAGGCTGGTGCCTTATTTTAAAAAAATGACATTTGATTGATTACGTTGCGGTCTTATTTTGACATTGTGAAAGTTTCTTTAATCAATGATAAAGAGAAAATAAATAATTCACAATTTCCGAGTTGGCAGATATGCATTTTACCTACGGACTTGCTGACGGCAATGCGCTTACGGCTAGGTGGATATGTCAAGAGCGGTATCCAAATCGTATCATTCCCGATGCCAGAATGTTTTCTAGAATATACAGAATACTACATGAAAGAGGGAGTCTTAGCATTGACAATAATTCCAAAAGGGCACATCGCACGGTGAGAACGCCATAATTAGAAGAAACTGTTTTAAACACAATGGAGGAACATCCAGAAACAAGTACTAGAAAAATTGCAGTAATTCTTAATGTCTCCCATTTTGTTATTTGGAAAATACTTCTTGATAATTTACTATACCCCTATCATATTCAAAAGGTTCAAGCACGACTGCCGCGTGAAACTTGCTGAAAACCCTTTATTTGATATCACAATATTCTTTACTGATGAAGCTAGTTTTTCTCGCAATTCCATTCGAAATTTCAATAATAATGATATATATATATATATATATATATATATATATATATATATATATATATATATACGCATACGCAGTTACGAAGGCACATCATTAGGAGCAGTTTTCCGTGATTGTGTGGGCTGGAATAGTTGGAGATATCCTCATAGGACCGTTCTTCCTTTCTGGACAACTGGATGGACTATATCTTATCGTCAATTTCTTGAAAACGATTTGCCAATTTTGCTCAAGGATGTACCTCTTTTATTAAAAGAAGAAATGTGGCACATGCAAGATGGTGCTCCTGCACATTTTCGCATTTCTAAATGAGGGGACTCAATCTTGGCCTCCCTGGTACCCTGATTTAAACAGTTTAGATTATTTTTTGTGAGGACACCTCAAGACTTCAGTTTATACTACACCGGTTGAAACTGTAGAGGAACTAAAGGCAGACAATTTTACTATCTTGCCAAACGATAAAAAGTACTCCTGGAATTTTTGAAAGGGTTCACCAATCCATGAGAAAGATAATTGAAGCCTGTATTCTAGCAGAAGGAGGACATTTTCAACAATTGTGATAATTAAATTAAATAGTATTAGTTTATTTGATTCACAGAAATTGTCAAAACTGTTTTTTTAAGGTAACGTAAATAAGCGGTTCACTATCAAATTAAGTTTAAGGAGATTTTGTTAAGGAGCACAGGACAGAGTATCTGAACATTTAATAGTTTAAACACAGGCAATAAATCATTGTGAATACGTTTTTGATGTAGTTATTCAAGTTCAATATATTCAGTGCATCCATCATATACGGCAATGCTGAGTCATTTATTTTAACTGCTTATATGACTCGTCAAAGGGAGTTGATGTTTCTCAAAGTAAAGTGTGGAAGACAATTGACAAGAACAGTATTATACTTATCGTTGCATCTTCCCAGAGGCTTTTAGAACAGTTCGGAAGAAATGAAGATGTTACGAAATTGATTTTGTGTACAGGCGAGGCCACATTTACACGAAATCGATTCCACAATTTCCACAATCATGTTTGGGCAGTAGAAAATCCGCATGTTGTAAAAAGAATTAATTTTCAACATAGATGTTCGTTAAAAGTTTTGGCTAGCGTGGTAAATGGCATGCTTATTGGACCCTACTTTTTCCCAGCTCGACTGACCTGTGAAATTCATTTAGATTTTCTTCGACACAATCTGCCACAATTGTTAGATGTTCCTCTGATTTCAGTATCTCTTCATCATCTGTTGTCATCAATTTTATTTTTTTGATGGACGCTATTTATACTGGATGTATTTGTTTTAAATCATAATCCCCAAAACATATACAGGGTGACTTCGAAGTTGAGTCATTTATTTTAACAGTGAGTAGATCTGATCAAAAGAAATGTTTTTTTCCTTTACCATTTTTCTGGTAAAATTAAAGTAACAAAGTTATAGCCCTTTGGAAGTTTGAGTACCGCCCTGTCTCAATAATAATATCATGTGCTCGTGTTTGGCAACAACGGATATAATCCGCCTGACCGGTTCATCGCATCGGAAACAAAAAAGCGAAAGAATTTGAAACGTTTATCACGATGTTTTTCGTCAGTCGATAACGTGTGAGTGAATAGTAGTGTGTTGCGTGGCTCAAACGAAATCAAAAATGGCACATGTTTACGAAAATGCTGAACTTGTGGACATAATTCTTATTTACGGGGGGGCAGTCTTTACAAAATGCTCCCGGATGCATCACGGATTTATGCGAATCGGTTTCCCAATCGAGTGCAACCAACCCCTCGTGCCTTTGTTAATGTAGTACAACGGGCTCGTGAATCAGGTGACTTAAGACCTCACAGGTGAGGGCATGCTGCTCCAAGACCGCACGATCAAATACAGGTCCGCACTGAAATACTTGTCGGGAGGATACTTTATTAAACAAGGTAACATTTTTTTTTATTTTTACACACATATTTTGGTTTATTTTCCTTCTACAATCATTATCTGAAAATTAATGACTCAACTTCAAAGTCACCCTGTATATGCGTACGACAGCATCCACGTTTTCTAATAATAATAATAATGTTTATTGGTCAAATTACAAAGTTTTCATATAAATAATAACGGCCATGTCCAATAAACATAATATACCCAAAAAAAGGGTACACTTGTGCTTGGGTTTTAACCGAAGTTGAGTTATATTAATACAACAAATTTTCTTTAGTCAAATGTATAAATTTGCATCATTTTATGATCAAATAACATATAGGTTTGTAGTGTCAACAAACTTATGGATTTGTAGCCTTGGTTGATTTAGGATCCATGAGTTTAATTCAATTTTTAAACGTTTCATACATTTTATATGTTTAAGGTTTGCAGGAATAACATTATAAAATTTTGAGCATAGAAAATAGAGTGATCTTTGGTTTTATTAAGTCTAGGAATTAGTGCACAGGTTTCCTTGAATCGCATTTGATGGTTGTGGCTGATAGAAAGTAACAATTTTGGATTTTTTGTTAAATCTATTATTGTATGATAAAAAGATTGCCGGCAGTCGAAAAGCTGAGATTCATTGTAAAGATTTTCTGACGGATAACATTTCTTTGTGTTCAACATAACTTTCAAAATCCACTTCTGCGTAATTTCAATCTTTTTATAATAATTATTCATGACTTCCCCCCATGCTGAGATTCCGTAAGATAGTAATGATTGAACAAGGGCATGATATATCATGTGTAGATATTTTTCGCTGAAAAACTGCTGAAATATTTGACTTTCAGAATAAGGTATCATAATTTTCTCACTAAATTTTCAATATGTTTATTCCATGATTAAAATTTGGGAAAATGTAATAAAGTATGTTTTGTTGAAATTGACTGTTAAAATCCTTTCCGAGAAAAAAATTGTAATACCTTTTGAAAATCTAATACAATTTTGTTTTTTAATTTTTGTAAAAAATGACGTATCGTATCGATGATAAAAACAGACAATTCATTGAAAAACATTTATTCATAATAAATTTGCTATAAAATATCTCTATAAATAATTAAGTACAAAAATACTGGAAATATATCATATTTGTACCAAAGCTCTAGGTACTGTTACAATTATGTAATTCTTATAAAATAAAATATTTATTTACTTATTCGTACTTTAGAGATTCATATTTAATAATACAAAGAAAAATAACCATGTGTATTGTGCTACAAAAAAGGCACTTATAGTATTACAATAGAAACTGGAAGCGTGATGTTGATTTATCCAAAACGTGAACAATTTTACGTTTTCGTTGCAAAGAAATGCCAGTCGTAAATCTCACTGAAAATTAAATTATCCTATATTATAAATAATGATATGATCATATTTTCTGAGTATCCTCGAATAAAAACCGTCTCCAACCAGCACATGGTTGTGGAATGTTCAAATGCCATGTTTTGACTACTACTAAAGCCCTTACATTTACAACCTCCAAGTTTAAGTCCTCACAAAAAAATTCCGAAAATGATCAAAAGCCTCTCAGACGTCAAAAAACGAAGTTTGAGCGATTTTTATTTTTTGTCTTTTTGTGCCTACCTCCCTCACCACTAGACCGATTTTTAGAAACTGAAAAACTTTTTATCCTTGGGACAGTAGTAACCTTGTGTGGAAATTTCACAAAAAAAAATCTCAATTTTCGAATAATAACCATTTGTGTACTGACAGGATGAAAATCGTATAAAAGCTAATAATACACCTCCTTGGGGAAGTACCCCTTCCAGGCGAGATTCCACACGATGCAAACGCCCATCAGCACGCTGTAAGTTACGATGCTGCACCACCAGATGATGCGTTCCGTGCGCGTGATGCTCAAATTCCTCAGCACGTTGATTCCGACCAGGAGGCCGGCGACGGCGCCTGCGAAATGTGCCGCGTATCCGACGTGCTCGTTGATGTCGAGCACGTACCGATTGTAGATGGCGGTGCCGACGTCGCTCGCGGCGACGATCACGAACACGAGCAGCTGGAGTGCGGGCTTCGTCATCTCCTTCCAGTTCATGATGATGGAAGCGATGTGCGCGGTCACCTGGATTTGAAAAAGAAGCATTATAAAGAAAACGCATCAAAAGCAGACAGGATTTAAAAAATGACTAAAAGAAGAGTAGAAAAATCAATTGATATAGAAACTGCCAGGGCAGTGATAAAAACGTACATAATCTCGAAAAAAGACATGATACATTATTATATTATTCTATGCGATTCGTGGTTGTATTCAAGAATCGTTGTTTTTTACGTAATTGCATAAATCCACAAAGATAAGGTTATCAAGGTGAATACTAGAATCTCTGGCAAAAGGCTATCTGACATTTCCTAGGTAGAGTACGCCAAATCGCTCTAGTTTTTGGGCATAATCAAAGATATCTTTTAGAAGAGTTTATACAGGGTGGCGCATCGAAAACGAAACAGACGCATTTACTGGCAGCTCATTTTGTTTGGAAAAACGCTCAGTCCCGTCGATTTTGTTTTCGAGCGGACACAAGTTTGGCAAAAAATCACGTTAACACGTGCAGCCCCCTGGGCGGGGGTGACACCAACCCTAAAATCTTAAATGGAAAGGGGTCGTGTGATACCTTATTTCAAAGGTATTTCAATTCCCTTTATAATGATGTAAAATACATGAGCTTCAGTTCAGTAGATACATCAGATTAGTTTGTACTACTTTCAGAAGAAATTTGACTAAAAGAATTTACTTAATAAGTAAATGCTTTTCTTCACTACGCCCATGGTGTGTTTATCATTTTGTTGTTGAAAATAGCTATTGGAGCGTTTTTTGTGTGACAAAAAAGTTATTTCTTGAAGAAAGATAAGGAAATATCTCGTACTTATTTTAAATAGTATTTTAGTACATAGTCTGCGATTGATTTGACCAAACCTTGTTGCTAAAATAACTTGTAACGCTTTATTACATAAATTAACCATGGTATAGTCCACAGGAGAAAGAGTTGAAATTATCGAAATATTTTTCGGAAATAATCAGTGCGCTAATAGAGCAGCAGAAATATTTAATGAGCGACATGAGAACAGTAACGTGCATCGAAAATATGTTCTAGAACTTGTAGTTAAATTTCGGGAAACTGGGTCAGTCGCCAATAAAAAACGCAACTTTGGAAATCCCATAAGGAAGGAAGCAACAGAAGTGGGGGTTTTACGGCAAGTTTAAGTAGATCCTACGTTAAGTACCCGCAAATTTGAGACTGTGTGTGGTGTTAGTCCACGTACTGTCCAACAGATTCTAAAGGCCCATAGTTTTCATCCGTATAAAATTCACCTGGTACAAGAACTTAATGAAGACGATTTTGATCGGCGATTACAATTTTGTGAAGATATGAGTGAACGAATTATAAACGATGAACATTTTCTATTCAACACTTGCTTTTCCGACGAATGTTCCTTTTTCTTAAATGGCGTAGTAAATCGTCATAACTGCCGATATTGGTCCGAATCTAATCCCATAATTTATCGAGGTTCATACACAGCAGCCACAAAAATAAAATGTTTGGGCTGGTATTTTAGGCGATCATTTAGTTGGTCCTTTTTTCTTACCTGGGAATTTGACCGGTGAAATGTATTTGGAATTACTGGAAGACGCCATAGATCCTGCATTAACAGCCATAATTGATAATCAGAATGATCGGCGGTACATTTCGAATAGGTTGATGTTCCAACAGGATGGTGCCCCACCACATTACGCATTACGTGTTCGACAATACTTATATCAGACGTTTCCAAATCGATGGATTGGTAGAAGAGATGCCATTGAATGGCCCCCAAGATCACCAGATTTATCACCTTTGGATTTCTTTATGTGGGGTCATTTAAAAAGCAAAATCTATGCTACTCAGCCAACATCATTAGAAGACCTGCGACAAAGAATTGTGAATGAGTGCCTTCAAATTACTCCTCAAATATTGCAAAATGTGCGGCAACGTTTTGAGCAAAATCTTTATTATTGCCCAACGGGTCAGTTGATTCTTCATTTTTAAATTACTTTGCTGCCAAATGTATTGATCCCCACTAATGATGATGTACTAGTTTATTTAAGCTTTAAATCAATAAATCTTCAAAAGTACTGAACTGAAGTACATTAATTTTATATCATTATAAAGGGAATTGAAAGACCTTTAAAATAAGGTATCACTCGACCCCCCTTTCCATTTAAGATTTTGAGGGTGGTGTCACCCCCGCTTAGGGGACTACACGTGCTAACGTGTTTTTTTGCCAAACTTGTGTCCCCCTTGAAAACAAAATCGACGTGTCTGAGCGTTTTTCCAAAAAAAACTGAGCTGTGAGTAAATGCGTCTGTTTCGTTTTCGATGCGCCACCCTGTATTTTCATTTAGGTTGTTTATGTCTTGTGTTTGATTTGTCACTAATAATGCTTGACTTGTTCTGGCAAATAGAATGTTAAACAAATTTATATCAATGCATAAGAAATACTGAATAAATCTGCTGGATTACATTTTTTTCTGCGTAAAAGTCCACATTCCCTTTTTTCTTCTAATATTTTTGTCTCATTCTATTTCCTTCTTCTTATCCTCCTATCTCTCTTTTTCTCTCTCTCTCTATCTCCCTCATACCTATACTGTTTCTCTTCCAATACTTTTACACAACACAAACATAATTCAGATTTATTGACAGATTCATTTACCAACGAGTAAACGCCTCCGCTCGCCCCAGCCAATTTGACGGTAGGATCAATGACAGAAGTGCCCAATGAACCGGCCAGCACTCCAGCGAGGTAGACGACCAGCACCCTCCACCATTTGTGCACCATTTCCAATGGAACACCCAACATTAGCTGGACCAGCAGATTTACCACCAAATGGAATGGTCCCACATGTACCAGCATATATGTCACATACCTATTCAATAAATTTATAGAAACTTACAATTATCAAGGGTGTAATTTAATTGATGGCTAAAAATACTTTATTGTCTGATTGATAGTTGAGTTACTAATTGATGTACATTCTACATGATCAGTAAAATTTAATTTGTGATCAATGGTACCAGTCCTAAAAAATTGATGCTGTCTGTTTCGTGTATCAAATCATTATTTAAATTTATAAAATCAAGGGACCATTTAAATATCATAAATTGTGTAGTTGTTATACCATTTTTTGATTGATTCATTTAGATGCTACTATACTTTTGAGAAACAACAATTCAGCAACAATGTAAATATTGGAGTTATAAGAATTTCTCTAATTCTGGATACCAAGAGACATGAAAACATTGATTTTACCTCCATATTTCTCTTCGTCTGGTAGGTTCATAGATAAAAAGTGTGGCCATAGGCCCAGAAGCTGTGTTTGTAGATTTAAACTCTGTAGCTTCATCAATGCAGAAGAAAATTATTTCAATCAGGGAGAAAATGATCATGCCCACTGCTGGAGGCATGCAAGTGTATTCCTCTTCATATATGCCATCTGTAACTGTTGTAGTTTGAGGATGTCGACGTGGAATGATCCAGTGGATATATCTATGAAACAAACATTAAGAATATATTACATTATCCTATAAGCAAAATACTATTTTTGTCAATATTTGCTTCTTAAATATAGAGATATTATTATTTCACCTGTTTATATAGTGTCCAAAGATATGTTGTAAGTTAGGGTTGTTGACCATATCAAAAAACTCTTTGTAGTCCAATTTCTTGTCCATGTTCTGGTCATGATTCTCGTGTATCCTCTGGACTACACGAGGTGGAATATCCTCCTCGTACTCCCTGCTTTCTATGAGGTCATACAGCTCCTTCACTGTGATATATCCATCGTTGTCTGTGTCGCATTTATTGAAAATGCTCCTCAAATAGTCGGATTTCAACGGAATTTCTGTGAGACCAGACATCGTTCGTTAGTCTAACAATGACACATCAGCAGTCCGTGTCGATTCGACTGCTTATTGATTAGAAAATTAGGTGCAACGGTTTTTTTACAAGCTTTTTGTTGTTGTTTTGGATCCGCTTAGCGAATTTGACAGATCTGTCATGATACTGAAGTAGTTTTATATACGTTTTATAGATGTCAGCAGTGAGACGGCTTAGCGCCATCTACTAAGAAACATGCCAACTAATTTTCTTTAATGATGAGCATAAGCGGAACATTAAAAAAGGCATTCTCAACAATATAGGCATATCTTATCTTTTGGTTGTCAAAAACGAAATGATTCGGGGAGGTTTCAGGCCTATTATGTCAAATTGACAAGTTGAAAAATTTTGGCGGTAAAGTAGGTATTGTCCAACAACCAAGATAACTGACGATTTTGACAATTCTGACAAATGGCAAACCTAACCTAAATTTAATAGCTTTTTTGTTTTCTTTTTGTGCAACAAATGTCCATATTCAAAATAATGCACATATGACTTCAAATTACATGTTTATAAACAAATCTGATAAGGCGCAATCTATCCGAGAACCTGTTAAAACACGGTACCCTCTCAAAAAGGCTGTTATGCAAATTATTCAAGTTTACCTGATGTGAAATAATCCACACATAATATTGTTCTAATAAATCTTTTGTATAAATTTTATCATTTTCTACGGAATTACATATATCACGTTATTTCCAGTCTTCCTGATCAAATTCCAATTTCATAATGGACAGCACTGTTAGATTTACATTGAAAGGCAAGTTTTGTCCTTCATCACAAAAAATAAAAATCATCTAAAGCTGCTATATTGCAGAGGGTAGAAAGAGAACAGCAGACGATTATGAGAATTTCAAGGTGCAAATCCAAAAGATCGATGGGTCTGTAGTCAGAGTGCCAAATAATTTGTCATACGTTGAGGTCACCATTCCAGAAGGCAACTACCAGCTAGTAAAGTGAGTAATATTCCGTTATATTTTTTACTTCCTGATAATATCCTTATGCCATCCCAGAAATATATTCAAAATGCCTGAGATATTGTTTTTTATTAATCATTTGCTATACCTAATACAAAACAAAATTTCTCTTACGAGAAGAAATCTTTTCTCCTTCATTTTCAGAAAGGATCAAGACTTCATACTAATCAGTTTCAGCCTAAACAAAATAAACATAATTCCAAAGTCTACTTCACATTTAAAACGAAAATGTGGTTAGCTTTTGCAATAAATATTAAACTATAAGTATTAAAGTTTTCCAAAATATGTCTCGCAAACATATATATATATATATATACCATTTGATATGATTCAAATTACTATATATTGAAACATCATTTTTACTTCTTTAATCAAGCGCTAAACAATAGAAGTTACCAATAAAAATCACTACATAGTGCAGCGGTGCACCATCTTCTTGGAAATGAATCTAATTTTCATTATAATTAACGTCATTTTCTATTATTTCGGTAATTCGTGGCGCTATTGTATTTTCTAACATGTCCAAGTTTCTAGAGATACAGAAAGCTCCTACAATATGATTTCCGAAAATGCCAGCCCACACATTTATTTGTTCAGGATATTGCGAGTGTATCTCTTGAAACAAATGTGGATTATGTTTATTTACAGCACCATGTAAATAGAACGTACACTGTCTGGTTTCTAGGTTACTAGACCTGACAGACTCACAAACTGACGCTCTGACTCAAGAGCTAAGGTTCCACAGACCGCTCTGACCACCAACGATGACTTGACGTGTGACGTGTTCGAGCGTTTTCCCCAAAATATACCAGCAGAGTTTTCATTGGGCTACCCTGGTGTTGATCGACAATATCTGGAATCAATGAAATAACAAATTACAAACTAACAAAGCTTTGAAATATATGAATAACCTAATACAATTATTCTAACCTCTGATCTGAGATGGCATGCCCGTCCCTTTTTGTTTTTCTTCTATTTTGGATCTCACTTATGTTTTTATTGGTATTTCCAGTAACCCTAGCATTTTAAAATCCATCAAAACTGGTGCATCCATTAGTCCATTAATTATGCACTTTCAAAAACGTCAGCTTATCGTTAAAGTATCATTTCCTATGTGGAAATTAGCAAATCTTCTGATTATCTGATTGTATGATTTACCTTAAATTTCCGAGGATTGTAGGTATAGCGATTTTTGCGAATATCTTTTGTAATTTCCATTCCTATCCAAACACGACGATAATTCTTTTCCAAATACGATCTATTCAACTTTTTAACGTAAATTCATTTATCATCACTATCTAAGCTGGTGCTTTCTGTTTTATCAGTAATTATGTGAACTTTATGGTGTATACACGGCCAGTGCTCAATAACTAATCGCCATTTCCTATTTAAAAAAAACGTGGATGAGACGCTAATAATTTAACGCGAAAAATGTTTAAAAAATTGCTTTCGCAAAAATCGCGTACAATCGGATACCGAAGGTTCACTGATGCTATCTCCTTTGGAAATCTGTAAGTGGTACTAGCAATATTCATTTCGCAACTTTTAGAGTTATCCGATTGTTGTTTGTTACTATTTTGTTTCGTACAAACATTCTCAACTTATAATAGATGATTTTTATTTTTGGGTCTAAGGTCTCCGAACCCGAAGCAAAAACTTTGTAGAGCGTCTTCTAAGAGCCAAGGATACGGCTGAAGTATAACAGAGCGAGGTATTCTGGTAAAAAAGAATAGGCTCTGTGGCCAGAAACTGCGCTTAGGCCCGTTTGTTGCCCTGTGCTTGTGCACCATCTTAGATCGTTCTTGACAAAAAGGAATAAAATGTAGGCAGAATCAGAATAAATGAAACTAGTCCATGTACTTTACCCTGTTTTTATCAAAACTACTATGTGGTCTACTCAGTCACAGCACAATATATTTTATACAAAACGCCTAAATCCGAATTTTTATCCCTTACAATACCGTGCATCGTTATCATTAATTTCAACGAATACATTCCGTCACAAAATAATAAAAGTATTTACGACCCGCCCTCACGTTTAACAGGCAAATACCTTTCATCTATTTTCAAACGACAACTCGATTGGTAAATAATACAGACTTGTTGACCAATCCGATTAAAACGTGACCTTTTCGCACAAAAACTCTCGACTAGTTTTTGTAGTCCTTGCGAGAAAAGGTATATTGTATCGGCAGAACAACGAGCGTTTAAATATTATTTGAATACTTTCGTACATCATATGGCCAGTTGTTAACCTGTGTGCTGTACATTTTTGGATTTGAAATGTTTTATTCTATACGATTGGGTATTTTAATATTTTCGCAAAAAATTTCGAAATTGAGATATGTATTATATGGCGTGTACACAAACGAGCCATCCAAGTTGCACGTACCTCTTACATTTTCTGGCCTCCAAAAATACCGAATTGCAACGTTGTCTTAGCGCGGTAATAAATTATAGATAAAAATAACCGCGTTCTATACCGGGTGATTCGCCAAGATGGCTCACCGCTTATTATTGAAGATATAAAAACGGAATTTGGGGATTGCGTATTATAGATGAATTTACATTTTTTGACATATTCATTTGCTTTGACGTAATTCCTACCTAATCACGATGCGATTGCTCCTTTTTGACTCCAACGAAAGAGTAGGAAGTATACGAGCCCCTTCACACTTCAGTTGGCCCACCTCATGATTTGTACCAAAATATGCCTTTATAAACTAAACATGAAGGATTCTAAAACAACTTATTTTCTCAAAAACATTTTAGATACACTCTAGTCGTAAAAAATACATATAATAATAGAAGATCTGAACAAATAAACAATGTGCGAATAAATGCGCGAAGTTAACAAAGCAACAATTGAAAGATTACCAGTGGGTAACATCACCTTTATTTTTTATTACGGCTGAAATTCTTTGGGGCATAGTGTTAACCAAGTTTTTTCAAAAATTTGGTGTAAAACAATCCCATATTTCTTGAAGCTTTTGTCTCAGTTCGGTGATTGTACGAGCAGGATGTTGTCGTAGAACCTTTTTCATCTCGTGCCACAACGTTTCAATAGGTGACAGATCTGGACTGCTAGAAACCCATTTCAAAAGTGGTACATTATTTACTTCCATCCATTTTATAGCCTTTTTTGAGGTATGGCACGCTGCACCATCTTGCTGAAACACAAAATCTTGGCCGGATGTCAAACATTCTTCCATCACTGGTAAAAGCGATTCTTCTAAAATTGCCAAATATTTGTTTGTATCTACATTTCCATCAATAAAATGAAGTTTTCCTACTCCTTTTGATGACATGCTGCCCCAGACCATAATGGATGCTGGAAATTTCTCTTTTCTCTTGAGACAGTCAACATGGAATGCTTCATTTTTTTGCGAATAACTCTACTGCGACCGTCACCAACACAAACTTCGAGTCGGGCCTCATCACTCCATTGTATTGCACACCATTGAGGTGTCCATTGTCTATGTTCTTGAGCCCATCTTAGCCGATTTTTCTTTTGCAGTGGAGTTAATAGTGGCTTTTCTTTGGCCTATAAACAAGTTGTGCAACTTTAGGGTTTTTACTCCACTTTTTTTATAAGTTGTGGAGTTATGAGTTGTGGACCTCGAAATTCTCCTTCCAACAGCGTCACTCCAGAGCACTTAATTGTAAATAATTGGCACGCCTGTTTTTCACGATTTTTCTTCTTAATGCTCTTCGGTCGGCTTTTGTGATATTACTTTTTTTCACATATCGTGGCTTAATATTAACTGAACCAGTTACGTCATATCTTCTAACAATATTTCTCACACTGTACCGCGATAAGTCTAACAGAGTTGCAATTTCTGAGTTTGATTTCCCAGAATTAAAAAATTTAATTATCAGTAACCGAATTTTCTCACTAATAACCCTTCCTCTACCCATTTTGAAAACCTTAACTACCCAAAACTATTTTAAACGTTTTCTAACAGCTGTGATTTATAAAAACAATTGTCATGACTTTTATTTTTCACAGCCACCTATGCGTTATAGACTTATTTTGCATTGAAATGAAAATAGGTTGATATGCTGTAATTGCAACATGTGTTATTTTTATGCTGCAAATGATTAGGGAGTGATAAAGTTGGTGATTTCTACTATATATTATCAAAATATTCATTGTTAATATTTTAAACCTATAACACCCTGCTACATTTTTATTATTTGTGTTTGATAGAAGAAAACTAAGATTTCAATAGTTGAAGTGGGAAGGGGCTCGTATATAGTCAATCTACTTGACGCTTTTCTTATTCCCAAAAAAGTATATCGTAGAACGTAATTTGGTCGGTTTGTTAAATACTTCCAATCCGTGGCCTTGTACCGATTCAGGGCTAGATGCTGTATGACTATGCCGGTTCCTCGTTTCTTTTTTTATGTATTCATTTTTCTTCGACGTACATTCACTAAATCATTACGCGCGCATTCATCTCGCAGAATGCCACCACCAGATTAAAATCGAGGACAGCAGACTAAAGATTCAGAGGCGTACTTACAGCGAAAGTAGTTTTTCTTTTGTTAGATATACAAGCACTTTCGGTTTCACAGCTTTCAATTGAATCAGTTATATGCTCGCTTAGATAAGCGATGAAGTTATACAACGATAAACTGAAGCAAAAAATAGTCTAAACTATTTAAATCAGGAGATCGAGGAGGCCGAAATTGAGTTCCCAAACGTGCTAGCCAGCGATTTGTGAACGCTTTATTTAGAAATTCCCTAGCATGAATGCGCAGGAGCACCATCTTGCATGTACCCTATTTCTTCTCTTGGAACTATTGTCAATGCTAAGACTCCGAGTTTCATGTAGTATTCTGTGTATTCTGAATAACATTCTGGCATCGGGAATTATACGATTTGGATGCCGCTCTTGATATATCCGCCTAGCCATAAGCGATTCTCGTCAGCAAGTCCGTAGGTAAAATGCATATCTGTAACTTGAAACTTGTAAATCTTGGCATAGTTTACTTATTTTTTCTTTGATATTGATCAAAGAAACTTTTACAATGTAAAAGACTATCACGTTTATGAATAATTGTCAAAATAAGGTCGCGACGTCAAATGTCATTATGTTAAATACCAAATAAGGCACCAGTCTACTAGTCGTTATACCACAAATGCATGAAAAGGGTTTTTATTTTTTTACGTGAAAGCGGAGCATCGAACATCTCTTACGGACGCCACTGGTGGAAATATTAAAAAACATTCTACATTAAAAAATGCCTATTGGTACTTAGCAGGGTCATGTCAAATTTCCTGAAAATATCTAAAACAGTATTGAAATTATGATAAGAAAACGATTTTTTTCTTAAAATTTTAACAGCCTGTAGCTCAAAACAGGTTAAGGACATATGCTCATATAAACTTTTCTTTCTAAAATGATCTTATAAATCGTATCCTGTATTTTTAGCCATCAATTAAATTACACGCTGGATGCTTTGTGACGATGAGGGGATGAGTTCTCAGTCTGAGATCCTAGGCAACCATAGGCAGATTACTCCGGGTTTAGTTTCCTAGAAACAAAAAATAGGCAGTACCCAAAGCCATTTTAACTGATAAAACCGTCAAAGTGCGCACAAGTAACCCGAATTTTACTTATGCATCAGATCGGTATTTAAAAGTTTGGGAAAAAACGTCTTCGACCATAGTTACAATACTCGCAAAAGTCAGAAATACTTCTACCCATCACATAAGCTAAATTCTACCGAAAAATGTCCACATTACTCTGCACTAAAACTTTACAATGCTTTACCTCGACATCTTCAATCCATTCCAGCATTCACTATATTCAAAAAAAGCATTCATAAATATATACATATGCGATATGGAACCATATAGTATTGAAGAGTTCTGTGCTCTAGTGAAACCGTAAGCATTAATTTCGCTGTTGTATGTTGTCTATGAATGTCCGTTTTGTATGTACTTTGAAAAATTGTGTGTTATTTACACTGTATCCCAATGACATGTTATCTCTGTTATACATTTCTTTGTTTTTTGTTTATAACTGAGAAACCAATAAATTTCTATTCTATTCTATTTTGCTTTTGCCTTTATTTCGATTTTAAGAGGTACCGAGGAACAGTAGATTTCCGCGATAATTTCCTTGTTATTAGTCATGGCACGCTTTGATCGTACCGCATGAGTTCCTACCTTTCACCACGTCACTGGCGGTGAATTCAAGTCTTCATCGAGTAACAGTTGGTATTAGAAACCGCGTTGAACTCGTTCAAATTGTTGTTTTTCGATAACAATCGCTGCGGGTGCCGTGTGCTGCTAGATTTTTGCGTAAATCATGAATACGAATGCATTAAAAAATACCTACTATCGATTATTTCAGCCGGCACCAATAGTTTGACCATGTGAAAATTCGGGGCAGTTCACCGCTTGTGTGTAATTTGTGAAACGTTCCTCATTAGCGGATATCCATGTTAAAATGTTCCTGTTTGGAAAGTAAGTGCTCAGTTCATTTACGATTTTTCTGGAACTATGTGCATTAGCCATATTTACGTACATTTCTTGTGACTGTATAAATATAAAAATCCAGATATCTCTAATCCGAAGGCAGTAGAAACGTCAGTAAAGTTTACTAGAATACGTGACCGCGGTTGGTTTCAATTGTCCCATTTCGGTAACACGACATTATTCTACTGACGTATAAATTTAGATCCCCATCGGGAAGAAAAAATAGTAATTTTGCCGTACTATGTCATATTTATGTTTTACGGCTGTCTGTAAGATACTTTTCAAAAACACTTGCGTATCTATAATCTGGGCGAAAATTCGTTTCATTGTTGGTGTTTTTTTGTTACTGTCCGATTTCAGAAAAATCAAAAAAGTTGTTTTGCAATCCACAGTTCAGATATACATAAAAATCTCCTGGGTAATCGCCTGATTATTTCTGCCTTGAAAATCCTTATCATTTCACACATATTTGATTGATCGAAAACGAAAAGTGACGATGTAATATGCAAAACAGTCTACTTTTCACTGCGAATAGTACAGATGTTATAATATTCAACTTGATACATTAAAAGCGTAATAAAAAGTCAAATTTACTAGTAATTTCTAATTTGACGTGTCTACTCGAAAGTATCTAAATTACAGCTGGTACTTTTTTAGTGTTACCCATCTGAATAACGTTTCTTTTTCTAGTACAACATGCTTGATTGCAAACGTAATGACAGGTATGTCTAGTAACAGGATATACATGACCTTCAAATACTTCGTAAAGCAATTGGAAAATCATCTTAGGTCAAGGATTTCCACTGCAAATTGCACATAAATGCAAAATTAGAAATACATGCAATTGCTTGTTTTGAGTGTGTTAAATATTAATACAGTGGACCTCCGGTAATCCGACAAACATTATGCAGGGCAGTGTCGAACTATCGAATTTGACCCCCTATAGTTCGGAATTTTTTACAAAAGAGTACCTTGAAATCTGACAAATTACATATCCAATGTTAAGATTATATATGTTATGTATATGTATGTACTTTGAAGTACAAATCATACATAATTTATGTATGTCGAATTTAGTAAATTAAATAACAATAGAGAGCTTACGTTTTATTATAAAATTAAGCATAAATGCACATACATATGTACCAAAATAATCAAGAATTATTAATCAAAATCATTAATATATTTATCAAATTATGAAGCTTGGAAATATTCATCAATTTTTTTTGTTTAAGGTTGTTATAACGCGAGATCAGAGCTTTGTCCCTCAGTCTTCTCAAAAGTTAAATTTGGTTGTAGGATGTACCATTCTCTTCAGCCCATTGTAAACCTAGCTCAAAGGCGTTAATTGCGTCTTGTGCTGTGACTTGTGGAGCAGTTGCAATCACGTCGTCGTTATTTTCCTGATTGCTTGTTGTCTAATTAGAAATCTCTTTTATAATCTCTTCGTCAGACATTTCATGAAAAACATTTTCCTCTTTATCCATTCCACGGCACCAGATTTCCAAATCTTCCGGACTTATCTGTGTTTCAGTAGCGACTTGTTCTATAATTTCCGAAGTAACACTGATTTGTGGAACGTTGCTAGGAGTGGTGACTATATGTGGCCATAACTTTTCCAAGACGATTTAATAGTTGATGACGGTAACGCATTCGACGACTGACGAAGAGCAAAAACCAAGTCTTTCATATTAAATTCTTTTAAAGTTTTTTCTATTGGTTGGTCTTTAGATACGGCCCTCAGAAGTAGGTTTTTCTTATAGTCTTGCTTGAAAATTTTAATGATATTCTGGTCCATTGGTTGAATCAGTGCAGTGCAATTTGGCGGAAGAAACATCGCAGTGATGCATTTATCCTCAGTTGTTAGTTCTTCTTCAGACGGATGACCGGGAGCGTTATCAAGAAGCAACAACGCTTTTTGAGGAAAATTATGATCTTTTAACCATTTTCTAACTTCAGATACGAAGCATTCATCAAACCACTTTTTGAAAAGGTCTTTTGTCATCCATACACTTTTTTGTCCGTAATAGTGTACAGGTAAATCAACGTTTTGGAATGACCATGGTTTATTAGATTTCCCAATGACCATCATCTTTACTTACTTTTCGTCCAGGTATGGATTTTTCGTCACAAGAAACGAAAGTTTTGTTAGGCATCACACGCCAAAAAAGCCCTGATTCGTCTGCATTGTACACCTGTGACGGGTCAAGATTCAAATCGGTCACCTTTTGCAAAAATCTTAATTTAAATGGTTCTATGCATGTGGCATCGTCAGAAAGTTTCTCTCCTGTAATAGTCATTAAACGTATGCTATGACGACTTTTAAAACGTTCTAGCCATCCTTTGCTGGCCACAAAATCATCTATATATTTTAGAAATGTGCCCTCAAATGTCATGTATAACATCCCATTAATAGATTTTCCCAAAATGTATTTGTTTATGAGTGATATTCCGTCCACACATGGATAGGCCACCCTGTATATGGTATTGAAATTTTGTATTTAGGAAGAGAAATGGATTATAAGAAAATTATTCGCAACAAGCAACGGTTGGTTGTGTTTAGGAAGTAGCTGTCGCTTTATCTTCAATATTGTTGCATACGAAACACGCTACACGATTTAATAGATAACTAGAACGCGTATAGTAAACAATAGTGTGATATAACGATGAAATCATTTAAATCTAACGATATCAAACTCAGCGGCACGTTTTCTAGTGTTACATACGTGGACATGATCACATACTCTGTCTGAGAGTTTCTTTGACTTCATCGGAGTGTTGGAGATTCGGACAAGCTGATTTCAGAATCAAAAGAACCCTACACTTACCCGCCGTTCTTTTTATCATATTTTTATTTATAATTTGTAGAGCTGCTAGTTGCAAGCTTGCTGGTAATGAATACGATATTATTATTTTTTGTGTCAATTGAATTTGCATGTTTACTTTCTCCTTCCAATATTTCCTATTCAACATTCAAGACGATATCAAAGTCGCAATAAATCTATTTTATCAGCAGATGTGTGTTTGCAAAGCTTAATTCCTTATCCTAATCCATATTATCTGTCATTTCTGTATCAATTCACAAACGTTCAAAAATAAACGTTGCGCCGGTGTCTATTATGAAAACAATCCATTCTGTACCGTCACATGTTAAACTCATACATTATGGATATGTGTATCATTTATGTCAACCTCACAGAAAGTCCCTGAACCTATTTTTTGTATGAATTGTGCATTAATTTGTTACGACTAGCAGAAAACCTGGGAATATTACGTTTGTTAAACGGAACTATACGAAACCAGGACTCAAAAATGTATTTCAAGTTGTAATTTAGAATTACTGGATTTTTCTTTGGTAATTTACATTTTATTATAATTTTATTTTAAGGTTTACAATAAAAGTGTTTTTTTTTAGTTTTTTAAACTATTATTTATAACAAAACGTCTCGAATTTCTTAATCGCCTTCACGGTGCTATGATGTTCAGGCTGCGCCTTCGGCCTGTGCGCCACTGCGTAACGCATCATAGTATCAAGAAAGATAGTAAAATGCTCGTAGCAATAACAGTAATAATAATAAGAGATGTTGAATGTGTATTGTCTTGTTATCGTTTGTGAGATAATCGTCGGTATGCCGAGCGACAGGTTGAGACCGCTTTTGCCTTGACATACCTGGTAAACGTGCAGTCTCGGCGCGTCGTCTAACTTACAACTTCCAACATGACTGACAAAATTCCACTTTTGGAAAGCGAAGATGAAGGGTGAGCAATACGTTCATTTTTTATATCTGTCTTATTTTCGAACGTTGCGATATCATTTCCGCAGTTTTAACCTGAATTCACGATCAGAACTGGCGTTTTTTTTCCCAAAAACATCTTCAAAAGCCTGATTTTTTTTTTCGGAACTACAGACTGAAATAGTGAGAGACCGTATATAAAAAATTGGTTTTTTTAAATGTGAAGTAATAAGTAATATATCTGTGCGTAATGCCTATTGGTGCTTAGTAGATGCATGTCAAACTTCATGAACATATCTAGAACAATATTAAAGTTATGATAAGAAAACGATTTTTCTCTTAAAACTTGAAAACCCTTTAAAGTTTAAGAGGTTTAGGACGTATGTTCATATAAACTTGTTTTCCAAAAATGAGTCACGGAATCATATATCCTATATTATTGGCCATCAATTAAATTACACCCTGTGTCGAGAATAATGATTTAGTGTAGAACAGGAAGTAATTTTTCGGTTCATTACTTGTCAGTAGGTATGACATAACAAGTGAAACAATAGAAAATTCCTCTACTGTGATTGTATTAGAACGTTCAACGTCGAAATTACTTTTCAAATGCTGTATTTCAATGGATTTAGATAACTCCTTATAAGATATCATAGACATTTGATATGTAATAATAATCGCTTTACAGACAATTTATAATCGTTATAACATTATATATCTATTTTCAGAAAGAGACATATAGTTTATTTTGCAAGTGAAATTATATTTACCTAGTACATTGAGTATCATGTGTTGACGCAGAAATATATCTATAAAACTCTTTTCAAATATTGAAAACAAAAGTATGTTGAATAAGGTTTCAAGTTTCTGAACACTATTTCCATGAACTTTAGAAAAGTTGATCCATAATTCCGGTAAAAAACATGCCGTAAAAGTGAAAGCTCAGTACATACTTATTTTAATACAACGTATATTGCGTTTTATGAATGGAAGCCTTAATTTGTATGTTATCTAAAAATTGCGTATATAATATTTACGTCCTTCCTTTGCAAGATGAATATTAAAATACATATACATATACATATTTTTTAAATAAATAAAAATATTTCCGTTATATTTTATTTTATCGGTATGTAGTAGGCCGTGGTAAACTTTGACAAGATGATTGCCATATCTCATTGCTGATAATAGTAGCAATACCATAGTAGGCCATGACAAATTGTCGTTCCTAATTTGAAAGTGCATTCCTTGTTTCGAATATATTTGCTAGTAGGCTTTGGAAAATTTAGCGTGAATGTTTGAGGTTATAATGGCAAAATGCTCGCATATTTCGTTTAGGTTTTTCAGAGTGTTCAAGTGACTGTTTTAAAGGATGAGTGTAATTATTGGTAATGTATTGAGTTTTGTAATGCAATACGTAACATACCAAGAGAATGCATAGAGCGTGATGGTCAGCATTTTGACCATTTACGGGGCATTAAAAATCCTTATTTTTTAAATCGGTCCTTTTGAGAGATGCGTCTTAATCATAAAAAGAAATTTCAGAAAAATTAGTTTCAAAAATTAAAAGTCATTAACGATTTTAGAGCAAAGATGAAACTTTCTACGTTCGTTCCAGAAACACATCCGACACGTTGGGCTTCGAACCTCTCCTAAATCATCAGAAATCTCACGAAAATGAACACGGCGATCATTCGACTACGTACGCGCCCCAATCCGGGGACTATACCAGGACGCTGATAGATCGTCCAGAGGAAAATGGAGTTGGAGATGGTACAGGCACAATCAAGGTCAAAATCGATGGGATGACGTGTCAGTCGTGCGTCAGGAGCATAGAGGAGAACGTCGTCAAACAGCCGGGAATATATAGCATTAAGGTAGGCTCGAGTGTTGATCTTTGTCGGACTCCTTGGAAGGTGCTATGAAGAAAATTTGCTGCATATGTTCATAGACGAAGTGATCCTGACATAATTGATATTTAGATATTTTAGCAGTTGTTAAGTTTAAACTCGTTTCTTAAGTTACTATAATTCATGCAAAAACTCGTTTGTAAATGCTGAGTCCATCTACTCGACCGTTTACTTTTCATAAGTTACATTGCATGCAAACATTTTTTTTGCTATTTGTTCTAAAATCGGGTTACTTTTGTTATTTCGTCAGGATGTATAAAATATTCCAGTTAGCCATGTTAGTCATGGAAGGTTTGACAAGATCTGGGATGCTGGCGACTCGCTTTTTTCACTTTTTCTCACTTTTCTCTATCCATCTCGCTTTTACTCACTTTTCATTGAAAACATTCACTTTTCTCTCTATTTTCGCTCTAGCTGTATTTGGACGTTTTCGAATGAGCTGTCCTCGTTTTCTCGAGACCCACGAAATTAAATGAAGTGTTTTTTTATATAAAAATGAACTATGACAGATTTCTCCCCCAAGCTGAGCCAATATCAATAAATCTTCAAAACTACTGAACTGAAGTACATTAATTTTATATCATTATAAGGGAATTGAAAGACCTTTAAAATAAGGTATCACTCGACCCCCCTTTCCATTTAAGATTTTGGGGGTGGTGTCACTCCCGCTTAGGGGGCTGCAAGTGCTAACGTGATTTTTTGCCAAACTTCAGCTCCTGATGATGATGGCAAAGACCATTGAAAGCTAGAGAGAATAAAAAACTATAAAGAGTCCTCATTGCTTAAATTTTGTCGAAGTACCCAACAAAAGGCGGAAGCTTTAATTTTTCACCTAGACGACAATGACCACGTCTCAAGTTATATATATATATATATATATAAGTTGACTCTTTTGACGATAAAATTTGAAAATGTTTCAGGTGAAATTAAATAAATCACTTTATGAATAGGTACTGAAATTGCATATGTAATTTTAACAGTCAAAAATGTAAAATGACAGAAAATCGATTAAAAAATATAAATATATCTCCAACAAATAAATTGAAAATAATGTCTTCAACTTGTTTATTCGAGTTGCTTGGAATAAGGTGGCACAACAAGACATCGATCATCACATTTTGTCGATGCCTAAACGTATACATACATTATTCATTTTTTTTCTTATTACCTACTTGTCAATAAAATTTCATGAGGATTTTATCGTTTCATTTTTTATCTAAGACTAGATCATTGCCGAAAAATCAAGTTGAGGAAATTATTTTTTCTGGGTTACACCACTTCTAATGTCACTGAGTATATTATATGAGAAATTTTATCAAATCAAATATTTTTTTGATTATGCGCTATTTTTGCAGGTGAATTTAGAAGGCAAACACGGCATAGTGCAATACGATCCAAAAACGGTGACTGCAGATCAAATCTGCGAGTATATCGACGACATGGGGTTCGAAGCGTCACTGCCAATGCTTTCCAGTGATAATCAAGAAATAAACAAATGCGTTATCGATATCAAAGGGATGACGTGCAACTCGTGCGTGCAAAGCATTGAAGGTAAGACGGATAAAGATTGACCATCGTTGTGAACAATGAATATTGAAATAGCTTATCAATGAGGTGTCTATCTCTTAATTCATTGATATGACCGTCTTCTACAAAACGAATTACGATTACTCATTCTTCTAAGCAATCCAGCAAAATTCACAAGCTGTTGTTCATGCGTTTTCTTTATCGGCATTACCACAACTTTATCAAATTCCTCGCATGTCAGCGATGTTTTTGTGAATAACCAATTCAATGTTTCATATCTTGGGCGTTTCATTATGCATCAAAGTTCAATTTAGACAAAAAATTGTTTGACGTGTAGACGCCTTGTTTAAATCTGAACTTCAAACCGTTAGATGGTAATTTTAGTATTGGTAGTAGTAGTAGTGTTATTGATGATTGTTACTTTGTAAAGCAGTGTTTGTTCTCTTCATTGCTATGGATTTCAAGGTTCAGTATTCAACTTATTACAAAATTATTTGATCAATAGAAGTCAAAGAACTAAAATTGGCAATACATTTAAGTAATGATATCAAGATGAGTGTCAGTTTGAAAATGTTCAAAGCGAAATTGAAAAAATATCTCATGGAAAACCAGAATTCATAGTAGTGGAATTTTGTATAAAAATATGTAGCCCTCAAGACATAATATATTTTGTGATATACCCGTGTAATATGGATATTGTAGCATTAATGCTAAATAAATCTGAAACAAAAAAAAATGAAGTTGTATTTACGTTTACGTATTTCAGGAATGATATCGACGAAAGTAGGAGTGAAATCGATAAAAGTGGATCTGAATAAAGCCGAAGGCTATATAGAATTTCTTCCAAACGAAGTCACTCCAGAAGAGTTAGCAGAACAGATCGAGGACATGGGATTCGAGGCGTACGTCAAATCCGTCAATGGAAAAAACATCGCCAACGGTAAATTATCGTAAAAATTTCACATTAATTACTATTTTCACGAATTTAATAGAATCGTTAGAAAAACCTTTTAGAAAAATATTACGAGGCTGGAACTGTTTGGACTATTCTGTTGCTATAAATTTTTTGGGAATCATTTTGTATTTACGGCAAACCAGTTCGTTTATTTCGTTTACGAAGTGTAATCTTTTCAAAGAAAGTGTCATCTTTCAATATGTAGGTTATGTAGAAAAAAACAAATCCCAACCGAGTACATCTGGTGCCAAAGCGGACGAAGACTTAAAACTAGAAAAATGCAACATTCACATAAAAGGAATGACGTGCGGATCGTGTGTGGCCGCCATCGAAAAACATGTACAAAAATTACCGGGTAAGTAGAATTATTGAGATTCTATTCTGTATTTATTTTTTGTTTGTGCAACATTTATTTAGCATCAATGCTACAGTCTCAATTTGTTGACACATTTTAATAATCAATTTCCTATAATTTGTGGGGCTGAGGGAACTCCTATTCAAAAAGACAATTAAAACATCAGCATTTATACAGGGTGACGGGAAAATAGATGCGGAGCCGGTGGGGGGAGATAGTACAAGCCAATCTGAGTCGATTTTACTATAGGAACTACTGTCCGAAAATCAGCCGTTTTCGAATTATACTAATTGTTAAGATTTTATAAAATTAACGTCCTTTATACGTTAACCAAGTCATAAAACTGGAAAATTCGGTGTTTCATTTGATTTTTTTTTGTTTTACAATAAAAATATTCTAAAATACGAAAATAGATACTCAAATGTACATTATTGACGTTATCTCATGCAGTAAGCTTCAAAATAGTTCGAGTTTTGTTAAAAAAATCTTCGTTCATCTCAAAAGCTTCAGTTACTAGAAAAAGTCGCATATACATTTTTCGTACAAAATAATTAGAAAACATCCACGTTTCATTATCTTTCAAATGAGGTATAAAAATCACAAATCGATTAAGAATTGGCAAAAATATGATTATTATAAGAGAAGGAAGGAAAAAGCAATAAAAATATTACACTTACAAAATCATACCTTAATACAGGATAATTTGTTTGAAACTACATTTTTTATTTTTATACCCCAACCCCCCATGTCATCCAAAATAAGCAAACCTAAGAATTTGTAGGTCATTGTTTCTAGTAAATTGAGTTTTTGAGATGAACGAATTTTTTTTAACAAAAATTGAACTATTTTGAAGCTTACTACGTCAATAATGTACATTTGAGTATCAATTTACGTATTTTAGAATATTTTTATTGTACTACAAAAAAAAATCAAATGAAACACCCAATTTTCAAGTTTTATGGCTAGGTTAACGTATAAAGGACGTTAATTACATAAAATCTTAACAATCAGTATAATTCGAAAACGGACAGTAGTTCCTATAGTAAAATCGACGCAGATTGGCTTGTACTATCTCCCCCCACCGGCTCCGCATCTATTTTCCTGTCACCCTGAATATTCAGTTGTTATCCTTTATTCGAATCGGCGAAACGTATCTGTATATCTGTTTTCCGAATTTTGCAGGCTGCCGCAAGATCCTCGTATCGCTGCTAGCCGCCCGCGCCGAAGTACATTACGACGCTTCGATCACGAATCCGGCGAATATCGTCGCTTCCGTGACCGATCTCGGTTTCCCCGCGTCCGTTTTGCAACAATCCGGCGCCGGGGAGGCAGAAGTCGATCTTCAAATCAGGGGGATGACGTGCGCCAGTTGCGTCAATAAGATCGAGTCGAACGTCGGCAAAATACCGGGGATCAAGGATGCTAAGGTGGCTCTGACCACGCAGAGAGGTTGGTGTTGAAATGAATCTCTGTACCTCTGAACCAGAGTAGGTTCAGTCCAAATAAGTTGTTTTAAGATAATTGTGTTTTTCTTGCATTGTATTGTATGCGACTTGATACGAGTTAAAAAGTCGTAACTTCCTTATTATTACAGATAGGTGGATGCTGCATGTAGCAAATGAAAATTAACAATATTATCATAAGCTTAACATATTGAACAACAATGGACTTAACCTAGCCTGGCTCTGGGGTACAGATCTGCTAATCAACTATCTACCAAAAATTCAACGGACGATTCTTCGAGTAACTTTAAGACAAAACACAGGTGGTTAGCGAGAAATGCTTCTATGAGTTCATCGCCTCCAGAACTCCGGATTTCTACGTTAACGGCATAAATAAACTTTTTTCTCGTTGGTAACACCATGCTGATCCTAATGGTTTTTATTTTGATTAATAAAGTAGTTTGTTGAAACTGGGATACGCTCCTTTGAATTTGAAGGTTTTCCGAACAACCTAATATACGGAGTGTTCCTTATGATATGATTAATGATATGCGAATACTTAAGGGTGTGAATCTGCATGAAAAATTAATGTTAGTTCGCTTTATAAACTGTGGTCCAAAAATGTTTCCTTACAAAAACTCGGGGTGTTGAAGTTTTAGGAAAAAAATGGAAATTAATCAATATTTTCAGAACCGCTTCAGATACTTCACTGGTATTTTAGTAGGTAGTGAAATATTATGTATATTATACATTAACACAAAAGGTTTGCCAAATTTAGATAAACGATAGTACTAAACAAAAAACGCTAAGATATTACACGGCAGTGGTCGAGAATATCAAAAAATCTGTGAAATAACATTCTTATATTTTTCAAATTTTTAATCTTTTACTATTTATTTTATTATGCAACTTGTATACAGGGTTATCCAAATTAAGTGTCCACCATTAGTAACTTTGTTATTAGTGAAAATACAAAGTTGTTTGAATTAGCAAACTAGTAGCATTTTTAACGCTGGTAAAAATGAGAAATAAAAAAAAACAATTGAGAGTCGTTATTTTGATTTTTTTCAGTAAAATAACATTTTTTTAAATGGAAACCCCTGTATACTATACTTTTTCCTGTTAAAGCATCAAATTTTAAACAAAAAAGCTTACAATAACTTTTCTCCTAGGTTACAAATTGTTGAAGTTATGGCCTCCAATCTGAAACAATTAAATTGTATCGACAAACTTTATTTTCAACATCAACTTATAATCTTACAAAATACAATAACAATTTTTTTTAAAGAAGATGCTCGAAAACACCACCTTGTTCTTCAATACATTTTTGGGCACGTTTTTCAACTGCTCGAACTGTCTTAAGTATGGTCCTACCATCTATCTGGGTTATCTTTTTCCTAACTGCAGTCTTTAACGCGTCAAGGTTATCGTACCTTCGCTTGTAAATTTGGTTCTTTAAGTAACCCCACAAGAAGTAATCAAGTGGGTTTAGATCTGGTGATCTGGGAGGCCACTGTATTGGGCCATTTGTTCCTATCCACTGATCATTAAAAGTAGTACTTAGAAAATGATAAGTACCTCTGGAGTTGTGGGCAGGTGCGCCATCTTGCTGAAAATGCAGATGATGTCTACTTATAAGATCCAATTCGTCTAAGAAATTAGTCAGAATTTCTGACATAAATTCCACATATCTTTCACCAGTTAGGGTTCCCTCATAAAAGAACGGGCCAACAATTTTTGAACCAATTATACCGCACCAAACGTTGAAACTGAAACGGACTTGTGGGCCTCTTGGATGTACTAACAAAATATTTTCTCTTGACCAATAATGGTGGTTTTTTCTATTAAACATTCCAGAATTTGAAAAATTTGATTCATCTGTCCATAAAAGGTAACGAAAGTTATTTACATTTTGGCGACAGAAGCTAAGATACCAATGGCAAAAACAAGTCTTCTCTCTGGATCCCCTGCCAAAAGCGTTTGAACTGGTCGGTACTTATGCGGAATAAATTTGTATTTTTTTAAAATCCTTTGAACAGTACCATAACTGAAATTAGAGTCCTTGAGAATATCTGCTATTGAATTCTCACGATAAGCTTCAAAATATCCAATAACTGCAATTTCCGTGGCCTCGCTTATTATGAATTCTTTTTTTGCCCTTGTTTTAGCAAAAACATTTTCGTTGCCCCTAAATTTTCGATAAAGTCTCAGAAAATATCGTTCATACGGTTGAATGCGAGCGGGATATAATTCACTGTAGTATTCTCTTGCTCTCAAGGAGGATTTTCTGCACACTAAATAGCATTCTAACATATCACACTTTTCTTCATGGGAGAACATTTTTCTTTAAATTAATGACACAATAAAGCTTATAAACAAGTATTTACACTAATGTTTGACATTATTTGATTTTATCATTGTTTTCCAAAGCCTTCTAGTTGCGAGTATGTCCAGTTTAACAATTTGTCGCTTATCTTAATGCTGTCAAATCGCGAACGCCATGTTGTTTTCATAGCCGTCTTAATATTATAATACTGCAAATAATTAAAAATATTTATCGTTATTTTGACTTTATTTTTGACTTTAGCGGAAAAGTCATTATGAACTTTTTTGTTTAAAATTTGATGCTTTAACAGAAAAAAATATAATATATAGGGGTTTCCATTTAAAAAAATGTTATTTTACTGAAAAAAAACAAAATAACGACTCTCAATTGTTTTTTTTTATTTCTCATTTTTACCAGCGTTAAAAATGCTACTAGTGTGATTTCTGATATACCAACTCCTTTTGACGAGTCCTACAAGCAGTTAAAATAAATGACTCAACTATTGAAGTAACAATATTAGACGAAAGCAAGATCTTAAATTGTATAAATGCCAACATTCTTTCCACTGGATATCTTTTTATCTTTCCAGGCAAATTCCGTTTCGATCCCGAGCTAACTGGCCCGCGGCACATAATCGAAACGATCAAACGTCTCGGTTTCGACGCGGAATTGTTTTCTCGGGACGGCGGTGGAGGCGATTATTTACAGCAAAAGGAGGAGATCAGGAAGTGGAAGAGGAGTTTTTTGTTCTCGTTGGCTTTCGGTGGGCCTTGCATGGCGGTCATGTTGTACTTCATGATCGTCATGACCGCCGGGCATATGTCGCATGAGGATATGTGCTGCATTGTACCAGGTGAGATTTAGTGTGCTCTATCTTTTTACATAGATAGTAAAAACGCTCCAATAGCTATTTTCAACAACAAAATGATAAACAAACCATGGGCGTAGTGAAGAAAAGCATTTATTGATTAAGTAAATTCTTTTCAGTCAAATATCTTCTGAACGTAGTACCAACTAATCTGATGTATCAATTAAAGTGTATTTTAAGCTTTAAATCAATAAATCTTCAAAACTACTGAACTGAAGCTAATGTATTACTTTGCTACCAAATGAATTGATCTCCACTAATGATGATGTATTAGTTTTATTTAAGCTTTATATCAATAAATCTTTAAAACTACTGAACTGAAGTACATTAATTTTACATCATTATAAAGGGAATTGAAAGACCTTTAAAATAAGGTATCACTCGACCCCCTTTCCATTTAAGATTTTGGGGGTGGTGTCACCCCCGCTTAGGGGGCTGCACGTGCTAACGTGATTTTTTGCCAAACTTGTGTCCCCATCGAAAACAAAATCGACGGATCTGAGCGTTTTTCAAAAAAAAAAATTAGCTGCCAGTAAATGCGTCTGTTTCGTTTTCGATGCACCACCCTGTATATAACACATAAGCATTTGGACACTGCTTTAGAACTGTTAAATAGTGATATTGAAAAAACTATGAATTGGTTTAATGTCAATAAACTTAAATTAAACACTAATAAAACAAAATGTATGTCAATAGGGAAACAGATAAAATTGAAGTAGTCAAGTCGTTTAAATATCTTGGTATATAACGTATATGAATAGTAAGCTACTGTTTCACGAACATTATGAATACATTATTTCAAAAATATCGAAAAAGATAAATTACTTCTATAGAGTTTCGCATAATCTTATGTATTCCAAAAAAATTGTGTATAACACTATAATTCTTTCCCATTTTTTTATGTTGTTCAACCATCTTGTTTACAGCAAGTGAAAACATTTTCAAAATTACAAATTCTACAAAATAAAGCTATGAGAATCATATTAAATAAAAACAAATATGCTAGGATTAAGTCTATGTTAGAAGAACTGCAGTGGTTGGATGTGAAAAATTTCATATATTATTTAGTTCTCGTTTTCATATTCAAATTAAAAAATCATTTATTACCACCACATTTAGAGAACTTCACAAAATTAAATAGTCATTATCATAACAACAAAACTAGAGGCAGTATAGATTTTCATCTGCAAAATTGCAATAGTAGCATAACTAGTAAATCTATATTTCAAAAGGGAGTATTTGAATTTAACAAATTCAATAATGATATTAAACAGAGTTCTAATTTAAAAATATTTAAGGTGAAATTAAAAAATCATTTTATGAATAATCAAAATACATAGTGACGTAATTTTAATTTTAATAGACAAAAATGTAAAATTACAGAAAATGGATTGAAGAAAAATATGTAGCCGAATCATTATACAAAATTGATATTGTAGCATTAATGCTAAAAAAATCTTCAACAACAACAAATAAAAGACAAGAATGTAAAATTATAAAAAAACGTATAAATGACTAATTCACTGATCAACAGCCAAAAAATATCCTAAATAAAATCAACGAAATATTACTATTTTTAATGTGCTAAAACCGGAATGAAACTTATTTTTTCAATATTAGTTCAAGTTTTAGAGATACGGTAATTATATGTGTTCCTGCTGTGACAGTGTTAATATACTGTAATTCACAAGAATGCACGTGCTACATTTTTATATTCGGCAAGGAAAGATGATGTAATCGGCATGATTGTGTTACGTTATACATACGTGTACATTATATTGTTTTATATTAGCCATTTTTGTAAACAATCCAGATCAGTTTTGTTACGTGTGCGGTGATGTGACTTTTGCGTCTCAGAGACGGTCTATTACTCCACTAATAACAAAGGCATATCAGCTTTATTTCGGTTGTAAACTAGGTGATCAAGACAAACAGTGGGCACCCCACATCTGCTGTAATACATGTGCTTCAAGTCTGAGGAGCTGGTTAAATGACAAAAAACGGTCTATGCGCTTTGCTGTGCCAATGGTTTGGAGAGAGCCTACAAATCATATTAATGATTGTTACTTTTGCATGGTACCTTGTGTTGGACAAGCCACAGCTATGTGCAAGAAAAAAGAATCGGTTATTAACTACCCAAACATACCATCTGCGATGAGACCTGTGCCTCACAGTGACGAAAATCCTATTCCAAAACCCCCAGAATCCTACACTTGCGAATCAGAAAACGAATCAGATCATGGCGATCGAGTGATTCGTCAGGAAGAGGATATGCCATCAACGTCAAGAGATCCTGATTTTATACCGAGCACGTCATGCCACCAACCGCACAAAATAACACAGTCAGAATTAAATGATCTTGTAAGAGATTTAGAACTTCCAAAATGTAAGGCAGAGTTACTTGGATCAAGACTGCCGCAGTGGAACTTGTTAGAAGACGATGTTTCGGTATGTGTTTTTCGTAAACGCCACAAAGACTTAGAACCATTTTTCAATATGGAGAATAACTTGGTTTTCTGCAGTAACATTAACGGCGAACTGGCGGCTTTAAATATAAACTATAACCCAGAAGAATGGAGATTGTTTATAGACAGTTCAACATTGAGTTTAAAGGCAGTGTTATTACATATTGGAAATATTTTACCATCTCTTCCTGTAGGGTATGCAGTTCACATGAAAGAATCATATGACAATATGAAGTAACTATTGACATGCATAAAATACGATGAGCACCAATGGCATATTTGTGGCGATTTGAAAGTTGGTGCACTTTTACTTGAGCTGCAGCTAGGCTACACAAAGTTTTGCTGTTTTTTGTGTGAATGGGACAGTCGGGCAAAGGCACTTCATTACACCAGACAAAACTGGCCTGTTCGTCAATTCCTAGAGCCAGGTCAAAAAAATGTACAGCATATACCATTAGTAGATTCGAAAAAAAATTTATTACCACCACTGCATATCAAGTTGGGCCTAATGAAAAACTTTGTCAAGGCATTAGATAGAGATGGGTCAGCTTTTCAATACCTGCGTCAGAAATTTCCAAGACTAAGTGAGGCAAAGGTTAAAGAAGGTATTTTTGTTGGGCCACAGATTCGAAATATTTTGAAAGATACACAGTTTGAAAACACTTTAACAGGTATTGAAAAAACTACTTGGAATGATTTCCGTCTGGTGGTCACTAATTTCTTGGGAAATAGAAAAGCTGACAACTATAAAACCCTTGTCAAAAATATGCTGTCATCGTATCAAAAGATGGGCTGTAATATGTCTCTTAAGATACATTTCCTACACTCACACCTGGACTTTTTTCCTGACAATTGCGGAGCCGTAAGTGATGAGCACGGCGAACGTTTTCATCAGGATATTTCAACAATGGAAAAAAGGTACCAGGGAAAGTGGAATCCTTCCATGCTTGCAGACTACTGTTGGACTCTTGGTAGAGATGCTCCAGAAACGATCCATAAAAGAACAGCAAAAAGACAGCGCATATAGTGATTCTTATAAGTATATGAATCTTGTTACTTTTTTTAATATATCCTTAAAAATAAAAAGTTTTGTTTCTAAACCGCAACTAATTTTTTTATTTCATTGTCATTTTTGGATTCAGCGCCCCAAAATTAACAAAGAAATTCACTTTTCCCACAGGATACCATTAAAAAACTACAATTTGTTGTCCAGTGTTATACAAGACATTGTATCATTAATGCCAAATAAATCTTCGACGAACAAACAAACAGAACCTCATCGATGAAAATGTCGCCTCCTTTCTCAGGTCTTTCGTTAGAAAACTTCCTGCTGTGGGCTCTCTCCACGCCCGTTCTGATCTTCGGCGGCCGGCACTTTTTCGTGCAAGCGTACAAGGCTCTGATCCACCGCACCACCAACATGGACGTGCTGATCGCGATGGCGACCTCGATTTCGTACACGTACAGCGTGTGCGTCGTCGCAGCCGCGATGGTCCTCAAGCAAAAGACGTCGCCGCAAACGTTCTTCGATACCCCGCCGATGCTTTTGGTGTTCATCAGCTTAGGCAGGTGGCTGGAGCATATCGCCAAAGGGAAAACTTCGGAGGCTCTGAGCAGGTGAGAAATTCACTACCGTATATTCTAATAATTTTTTTCAATTTATTTGTTGGAGATATATTTATATTTTTTTAATCGATTTTCTGTCATTTTACATTTTTGACTGGTAAAATTACATATGCAATTTCAGTACCTATTCATAAAGTGATTTTTCTGAAAAATATTTCGGTAATTTCAACTCTTTCTGCTGTGGAATATACCATGGTTAATTTAAGTAATAAAGCGTTACAAGTTATTTTAGCAACAATGTTTGGTTAAATCAATCGCAAACTACGTACTAAATTCCTATTTAAAACAAGTACGAGATATTTCCTTATCTCTCTTCAAGAAATAACTTTTTTGGGACAAAAAAACGCACCAATAGCTATTTTCAACAACAAAATGATAAAAAAACCATGAGTGTAGTGAAGAAAAGTATTTACTTATTAAGTAAATTCTTTTAGTCAAATTTCTTCTGAAAGTAGTACAAACTACTCTGATGTACCTATTAAAGTATACTTTAAGTTTTAAATCAATAAATCTTCAAAACTACTGAACTGAAGCTCATGTATTTTACATCATTATATAGCGAATTGAAAGACCTTTAAAATAAGGTATCACTCGACCCCCTTTCCATTTAAGATTTTAGGGTTGCTAACGTGATTTTTTGGCAAACTTGTGTCCCCCTCGAAAACAAAATCAACGGGTCTGAGCGTTTTTCAAAAAAAAAAAAAACTGAGCTGCCAGTAAATGCGTCTGTTTCGTTTTCGATGCGCCACCCTGTATAACTTTTCTGTCATTCCAAAATGAGGCTGTATATTCGAGCGTGGGCTCTAGTATTGATGAATTTCAGATTGCTTTCTTTGAAGGCTACAGACGCTGTGATAGTAACATTAGGAGAGAAAGGAGAAATCGTCAGCGAAGAATTGGTGAACGTAGATCTAGTTCAGCGAGGGGATGTTTTGAAAGTCGTGCCTGGCGCTAAGGTGCCCGTTGATGGAAAAGTATTACAGGTAAGAAGCGATTTTCAGTTACTTTTAGTTTCAGGAGTTAGATTAATCGTATAGGAACTGGCAGAATTTTTTATGTACGATAATCTTTCATCTCGTTTTGTTTTTCGTTGCAGGGTCAATCGATGTGCGACGAAAGCCTGATAACGGGCGAAAGCATGCCGGTGGCGAAAAAGATCGGCGGCGCCGTTATCGGCGGCTCGATCAACCAACACGGGCTGCTGATAATCGAAGCGACGCACACCGGAGAAGCGACGACGCTGTCGCAGATCGTCAAGTTGGTCGAAGAAGCGCAAACGTCCAAAGCGCCGATTCAGCATCTCGCGGACAAAATCGCAGGGTATTTTGTGCCCACCGTCGTGCTACTATCGGTAAGCTGAAAATTAATACTGGTAGCCTTTAATAATAGCAACAGCCTTTATAACCGGGGCAAATTAGGAAAACGAAACTTTATTACGGCACCATTCATACAATGTTCTACTCAATTCAGGCTAAGTTTAAATGTATGCACGATTTGTTTGTAACTGGGAAAATGTAATTTAATTTTATACTATTCTAGTATACTTCTATTATACAGGGTGTTTGGTGCATCGTTGGCCAAATTAAAATGGCGGACAGATGAGGTCTTTTTCTATCACCCTCAAACAGTTTTTAGCCCAACGGAATTAAATATGTAGATTTTTTATTTTTTTTTTAGTAAAAACTCCAAAATGTAATACACAAAGTGAAATAAAAAAAAATAAAGAGTAAGTCCACCTGATGATTAATTTATCTTAATGCGTGATGTTGTACCAATCTTACAAACTCAACATTACTTGCCAGCAGCATGTAGTTTTTTATTTATAAACTCACAAATGGTTACAAAGAAGAACAAAAAAGTGTGCGTCTCAATTTTGAATTTTTGTAAAAAAAAAAAGCGTTCACGTTCTTACAATTCTTTTAAAAACTACTCTAGTTTATCCCGATTCTAACGGTATGCCAGAAGTCACAAAAAAGTTTAACTAACTTACTGAATTTGCAAATTTTGTATACAGGTGAAGGAAAATAAAAAAACGTGTAAAATCAAATTTCAATCATCTATTTTTTCTGTTTCACAAATCTTGTTCGAATTGTTGTCCTCTATTGCGTATGCACGACATTCGGAAAAACATCATTTAGATATTCCCGTACAATTAGCCTCCAGTGTACAGGACAGCCATAATGTTGGAACACAATTCGTCTGTCGCCATTGAAAATCGGCACCTCATTCACCAATTCGGGCAACTTATTTTGCAGATGAAGATGATCTGGCAAATAATCCCAATCACATGATTGCCAATTACTCATGCCCAAACATTCACACTGAATCTTCTCTGAAAAGAGCTTGGCCTCTTCACTCTTGGGTTCTGATCTTTTGAAGCCCAATGGTGCAGATTGTGAAAATTTAGTATCCATTCCTTCGTGAATTTGGACTCGTCCGTCCACAAAATACTTGTCAAAAAGTCCGGATCGTCCACGTCTGTGTGCAGCAAGAAACGACAAAACCGGACACGGTTGTCGAAGTCATTGTTTTCAAGACCTGCAACCAACAAAAAAAAATACGGGTAACATTAGTTTGCCGCCACTACATGCTAAATAAAAGCGATAAGAAGTTTCCATTGCAGACAGTTGTAAGTGTGATAAAAAAATTACGTACCTTGTACAGGAGTGTAGTGGAAGGCATGTTTATTATTCTTTCCAAATTGAAACTCCTAGTGATGAAGCTACATTTCGGATGCTTTGAGTAGGATCTTTCTCGACAAATGAAAAAACCTTTCATCGATGTCAACATTGTGTCGCACTACGACACCTTTTGGTACATTATTGCTCACAGGACCGGTTTCTGGTAAGCGTCGATAAGTGTTTTGGAATGTGTGGCGAGTACGTACACGCCTGTTATGATAGCGCACTTCTTAGATTCTTTGCGCTGCTCGTGCAACACAGTTGGCTTGTCCGTACACCAACAACATGTCTGCATACTCTTCTATTTGTAAATGCGGCCATCATCAAAATAGAACTCAACGAAAACTGACAAAACGACATCAGTCACAGGTCGCGGCACTACGTAGAAGTAAGAAAAGCGTTAGGCAGCCAGCAGGGGCGAACCTCGATGGAAAAATGGACCCACGTCGTCCCTGTCGGTTAGCCGCTCAACTAGTAAAAGAGAGAGAGAGACAGATGATACTGCTCCGCGGTGTACGAGGGAGACAAAAGTTTTTACTTGAGTTACGTTGTACGTGTGAATTCATTGTTATTATCCGACCGAAAAAATTTGACCCTGTACAAAAAATTATTTCAACTTTTTTGTGACTTGTGGCATACCGTTAGAATCGGAATAAACTAGAGTGGTTTTTAAAAGAATCCTAAGAACGTGAACGCTTTTAGTTTTTTTACAGAAATTCAAAATTGAGACTTACATTTTTTTGTTCTTTGTAACCCTTTTCGAGTGTATAAATAAAAAACCACATGCTGCCGGCAAGTAATGTTGAATTTGTAACATTGGTACAACATCACCCATTAAGATAAATTAATCATTAGGTGGGCATACTCTTAATTTTTTTATTTCATTTTGAAGTTTTTACTAAAAAAAAAAATAAAAAATCTACATAACTAATGCGGTTGGGCTAAAAACTGTTTAAGTGACCTGGGGTGATAGAAAAAGACCTCACCTGTCCGTCATTTCAATTTGGTAAACGATGCACCAAACACCCTGTATATAGTAAGTAGTCAAAATGTCAGTAACTAAAAATATGTGTACCCAGCTCTCAAAAACTGCTTTCTTCACAAAATGCTTTAAATATAATCCTTGTGTTGCAAAAAAATCAATTTTTTCTGGGTGTAACACTTCTAAACGTAACTGAGTATATTTTATACAAAACACCTGCATTCCTCATAACACCGTGCATCACAAAATAATAAAAGTATGTACCTATGTCTGGCCCTTACATTTAACAGACCTATACCTATTATCTATTTTCAAACGACAACTCCATTGGTGAATAATTCAGACTTGTTGACCAATCCGGTTATAACGTGATTTGTATGGTTAATCTTTTCGCACAAAATCTCTCGACTAGTGGCGAGGAAAGGAAGTATTCGCAAAAAATATTATATGGTATGTACAAAAATGAGCGATCCAAGTTGCACATACAGTAATGGACAAAAGTATACTAAGTGACATATAAATCCGAACACCCAGTTTAAATGGTTTTTTTTTAATAAAATTTTGTATAAGTACTTAATGAAGCATAATAAGTAAATGATAAAAATTTCAAAATGATTGCACTGCTTGAAAGCCACTTGACCTTTAATAATGTGTGGATGCACCCTGATGTGCTACGCATTCTCCAACGCGCCTAGGCATGCTTCTGATCAGGTGGTCAATGTCCTCCTGTGGTATCTCATTCCAGGCAACCACCAACTCCTCTCGAAGTGCTTCTAGAGTCTGAGGAGGACGTTGCAAGTTGAGCAATCTCCTACCCATCATATCCCACACGTGCTCAATTGGGGATAAGTCGGGAGATCTTGGTGGCCATGGTAACAATGTGACATCATTATGTTGAACGAAGTCTATTGTGACTCTTGCAACATGTGGTCGGGCATTATCTTGTTGGAAAGTTCGACCTGCCAGGGTGTCAAGATAGGGTAAAAGATGGGGTTCTAGAACTTCGTGGATATAACGCTGCGCGTTCATGTTACCTCTGGTGAAGATTAAAGGTGACCCGGAACCATAAGCTATAGCACCCCAAACCATAACTCCAACAGTGTGATGAACATGTCTTTCAACAAAAAACTGTGGATTCCTCCTTTCACCACGTCGCCTTCTAACCCTGGCACGACCATCGTGCATGCCTAAACAAAATCGAGACTCGTCACTAAAGACAATACTGTTCCATTCCTGATCCCAGAGTGACTGTTGTCTGCACCACTCAAGGCGATTACGTCGGTGTTCTCGAGTTAAAGGGAGGACCCATTGTAGCCGGTATGAAAACAAGCCAAAACTTCTCATTCGTCGGTAAATACTTCGCATGCCAATAGGTCTTCCGTGTTCTGCAAACCATTCATTTGCAATGGACCTGGTAGTAGAGAAACGGTCCCTTAAGGCCAATAATCTTAGGCGGCGATCTTCACGGTCTGTTGTTCTACGGCGGCGTCCAGGGCCCCTTGCTCTTTGCGTACGGCCTTCTCGAAGCCATGCCTGACAACACCTAACCACAGTGTCTACACTTCTTTGCACTCTAACTGCAATTGCCCGAAAAGAAAGTCCAGCTTCCCGAAGTCCCACTATACGGCCCCTATCAAACTCACTAAGTTGACGAAATCGTACAGGTCTCCCTACTCTAGGCATCGTAACCGATCGTAAAGGATGTCAAGAACCAAAATCCGCCAACGTTGATTCTTTACTGCGGCTGAAATATTCATTTTTAGAGCGTTAGTGAATTAAAAAAAAGCAGTATAAAAACCGGAATGTCCAACTGATAAGGCTGAAAATTTTTTCACTTGTTATTTACAGTAAGATAAATACATTCACCAACTTTTATTAAAATAAAACCATTTAAACTGGGTGTTCGGATTTATATGTCACTTAGTATATATAGACAAATATGAGTATTTACCTTAATACCTTTAGAAAACGAATTTATACTTCGTTGCTTCATAAACAAATGCGTTATTAGTAGAAAAACTAAATTCCTTGTTTTAACATTGTCTGCAATGAACACAATACAAATCTGAATATAAGCACTTTTTTATGAGCGACAAAAATATATAGACAAATTCTTTTCAACATTAGTTTCGTACAGTTTCGTGTCAGAAGAGGATTAGTTTGTGTTCACCAAGTATTGCGGAATAAGTTGAGTGATTTTAAGGCCATGCCGCGTGGTCCAGAAATTTCTTTCGATGTGAAAACTAAGATCATAGTTATACAAAGATGGTCAACGTCAAGTCGACATTGCCAAAAATTTGAAGCTGAAGCGTAAAGCAATTTGGGCAATATTAAACAAATATAAACAAAAAGGTATCTTGGAAGCCTCTAAGAGAAGTGGTCGGCCTAGAAAACTAAATGCTAGATCAGTTAGATTATTAAAAGTAATTTCGTCCAAAGATCCGTTTAAAACCCCAAGAAAAATAAACGCAGGAATCGAGACAAAAAGAATTGTCAGTGTTTTTACGAAAATTATAAGTAGAAGATTAAATGATTTGAAGTTACGAGATAAAAATTATTCAAACAAGGATGAACATTTTGCCGCTTTAAAGCAAAAGCGGAGACAGATTGATGAATCTTATATCAAGAAACTTGTACAATTTATGCCGAGACGATGCCAGGCGGTGATTGATAATAATGGTTATGCTACAAAATATTGACACAAACATGGTTGGTTTTTTATAATTCAATGAACTTTGCTTCTTTTTTCTATAATTGTTTTACTTTGTCTATATATTTTTGCCCTTCATAGTTCCAGTTTCTTTCAGTTAATTCTTATTGAAGGGAGTCGAATGAATTTATTTATGTATAAGTGAGTATTATGCTATAACGAATCATGTATACAGGTTGGTCTATTAATAAAAGAAGTTAAAAAATAAATACAGCACAATATTAATTTGTCCATTACTGTATCTCTTACATTTCCTGGCTATTTAAACTGAATTTATAAATTTCACTTTGTAATTAAATAGCTTAATGAACAAATCCAAGTTACTACTTTTAATATAGGGGTGTATTGTAGTGCTAATAAAAAAATTCAAAATGCTATGATGTTGGCCAACACTGCTATTCATCTTTTATCTTTCAGCATTGATTTACGCGTCTTGGAGAGGTTTTCCAACTCTATTAAATTTTTAAACAACAACAAAGAATTTATATTTAACATTAGGCAGCGAAGCGGTATTGGCAGTAGTAGACTCTTCGGTCTCCTATTCAGTCGCAGTGCGCTGTTCGGGGTCGAATCCCGTCCCAGGAGAAATTTTTCTCTTGGCTATGGATGTTGTGATTGTCTGTAGGTGGTAGACGGTCTCTAACTGTCGAACGCGGAGGTACCACCCGGCGGATCTCGTAGGCGGAGCCAGAATGTGTTCATGTTGTACGAACACGTGTTCCCTCGCCAGAGTCCGTGTGGCGTTCCCCCTTTCCCCTGTATCCCCCATAGTCCCACGGTACCCAATGGGTTTAGGCTTTAGGCCTTCGTGGTAGTTGGAGTATATAAAAAAAATTAAGAAAACAAAAATAGAAGACCAGTTAAATTTGATTAAACTTCAAGTAGGATTCTATACATTAGGAAATATTTTTGTAATTTTGCAGGTGCTGACTTTAATAATTTGGACGATCGTCGGTTCGATCAACATCGAGTATCTGCCCGTGTCCGAGGCCGAGAAACAAGGCTTCAGCAACACAGAGATCATCTTGCAGTTCGTGTTTCGATGTGCTTTGAGCGTGTTGGCTATCGCGTGTCCATGCGCGCTTGGATTGGCCACTCCTACGGCCGTTATGGTAGGAACAGGTACTGTATTCTTTGATTTGGGGAATGAACAAAAAGGGTGGTCCAATGAAAAACATTTCACTCAGTATATTTTGAGAAAAACGCTCGGACACGTCAACTTCGATTTCCAGCGGTCGTCTTTTCATCTATAGCTGTACAATACAGGAAAATGGAAACTCACATTTTTTTAAATTTTAGATATTCCATGACGTTTTTACCTACTTTTGCAAAACAGATTAAAAATATTCAATTGGATTCACGATGTAATGGAGAAACAATATTCTTTAATGTTTTTCACATCATTTTAGAATTATTTTTATTGCTATCGATCTTCTTATCATAGTATTTTTTCTTTTCCCTCCTGAGAACTGCCACACACTCATTTCTTGATTTTGTATATTGTTTCCAATCATTTTCACTTTGGGCTATTGAAAATTTTCTATAGTCCTTATCGCGTTTTAATTTAGACTCCTTGAGTATCTGTGAAAACCAGGGTGTTGGGTTCACTCGTTCATATACGAGAATTATTTTGTTGACCATAGCTTCACTAATATATTTATCCATATTATTCATAATTTGTTCGGCATTATCGATAATTTCAGGTATATTGTGTTGAAAAAGTGTTTCTCGTAATTTTGTGAATATAGTCTATAAAGAAAAAATATGTTTGTAGGTGTGGGCGCTCTGAACGGAATTCTGATCAAAGGGGCCGAACCGTTGGAGAACGCTCACAAAGTGAAGGCGATCATGTTCGATAAAACGGGCACGATAACGAAGGGGCTCCAAGAGGTGGCCAAGATTTGGATGCAGAGCGATAATCTCACGCCTTCCGTCGTCCTGTCCATTCTAGGATGCGCCGAAACGAATTCGGAACATCCCATTGCGAGTGCTATCGTCAGATACGTCAAAGAAGCTTTGGGTAACCAGACTTTTTATACATCCCGACAAAAATGGAAAATACTTGTAATGTCACGTATTCCTGTTAAGGGGTGATAGATTAGGTCAAAAGCAACCGATTTTGTCCTATCATGTCTTATCTAAAAGTTAACCATTTTTGAGTTATTTGAATTTTAAGTTTTTTATTTTCTATTCCGATTTCAGACGGTTAAAATTGAAATACAAAAAAACTACATGCTTTATTTTGAGTTTTTTGTTATCGTCGCATAGCAGACATTCCAATAGTTCATAATAAGTAATAAAATGTTGAAAAGCTAGAAACGTTTTAAAATTACGCTTTTTAAATGTATCATTTTCTTTTTTTTTAACTAACTTATTCGATAAAAAATGCAATTTTCTGTAAAAGATCTCCTAGTCATGAAATGTGCAAATTATGTAAATAATATCTCTATCTAACAAACTTTCATTTGAGGTATTAAGCGTTCAATTATCTGAAGTACATGCAGAGAAACAACAATGACACCCAGGGAGGCTGGATTTTTAAGGAATTTGTATTACCTGTTTGAACAAGTCGTTACTGTCCTCAAAGGACTCGTATGCCATGATTGTTTTATGGCATCGGCTCGACGAGGAAGCGAGCGAGAGGAGCTGACTTAGTGGAGGAGTGAGAGAGAGAGAGAGCTGTTATTATTCATCATTGTATTTAGTTACGCCATCGCCGCACGCCGAGTGAGAATTAGGATTAGTTGGTATCAACCAGTGGCGGCTCGTGAGGTAGTGCCACGGTGCCATGGCACTACCTTGTCTTCTTCAAAAAGAATATTTTTTTCAATCTTCAATGTTTTACTTTATTTTTTGCTTTTTCATTTTTTTTTGGTATAAATTATATGAAGTGACAACACTGACAACGTGACAACACCGCAAGCACCCGAACCACGCGACGAGATATAAAGCATGCCTTGACCTTGACGTCATCAACTTGTGCCAATGTCGGGCCGGCCCAAATAAAAAGAGAGAAATTTTACCAGCATCGCATACGAGCGACAGAGATAACGCTACAATACACATTTTTATATGAGGTGAATAGCGAAAGACAAGTATAATTTGTGCCAGGCACATCATCAGTCGTAATTCGTTATCAAATGATATCGGCGGTGTTTTTGTTCGGTCGGTCGTTTCGTTATGATTACGTCTAGTGCTGATTTCGGTCTTTTTTTACCTGAAAAGTGAGAAATAACGTTTTTGTTTTAGTACGTCTAGTGTTAATGAACTGCTCTGTTTTGTGATCATATTTTTTACTGTTTTATTAAAACTAGTGAAAATGAATAAAATCGGGATATTAAAAAACTCATTTAGTGGTTTTTCGCTGGATCAAAAACTGCAAATTAAAGAATTAGGACGGCCAATACCCGATTTAAAAATTGAGAAACAAAGTGGTAGCGGACAAAAATCGCGCTGTCGCAAATTTAATAAAAATGTGTACGATAAAAACAGCTGGATATGTGGTTGTGAAGAAACGAATAAACTATTTTGTTTTGTATGTGTTCTATTTGGAGGTGACGAGACTTGGTCAAAAAAAGGTACAGATGATCTTATACATATATGGGATAAAATGAAGACCCACGAAAAATCTAAAGTCCATATGAATAATGTTTTTAGCTTTTCTATTCTTGGTAAATTAAATATAAGGACTCAACTCAATTCGGCTTATCGCAATGATCTAATTAAACATAATAATCAAGTGGATAAGAATCGATATGTATTGAATAAAATTATTAATTGTATAAGGTTTTGTGGAGCATTTGAGTTAGCCTTAAGGGGTCACGATGAAAAGGAAAATTCGGAAAACAGAGGCATATTTAAGGAGCTGGTGAATTTTAGCGCCGAATTAGACAACGAATTGAAAGTCCATATTCAAAGTGCCAAACTTTTCAAGGGTACCTCAAAAACAACTCAAAACGAGCTTCTTGAGTGCATGCTAGATGTTTATCATGAAGAAGTTAAGAAGGAGATTGCAAATTCTCCTTTTGTTGCAGTAATTGCCGATGAAACGACTGACGTAGCCTCTGAATTTCAGTTAGTTATTATTTTCAGATATTTGTGTAAAGGACAACCAGTTGAGAGATTTTGGAGATTTTACGTCCCCGACGGACACGATGCCAAATCAATCGCTGCATGCGTTTTAAATGTTGTAAATCCATTAATAGATCAAAATCCAAACAAATTAATAGCTCAAAGCTATGATGGTGCGTCTGTTATGAGTGGTGAATTGAATGGCGTTCAAAAGATTATTAAGGAAACTTATCCACTTGCAAATTATGTTCATTGCTATGCACACCAGTTAAATCTAATTATGACAAGCGCATGCTCTGTCAATAAGCAGGCTAGAATATTTTTCCATAATTTATCTGGATTGTGCTCTTTTTTTCGACGTCTCCTCAAAGAACAAAAATTTTGGATGAAATAGTTAATCGCAGATTGCCAAGATCTTCCCAAACACGTTGGAATTTTCAGTCACGAGGTGTTCATACAGTTTATGAAAATAGGAAAGACCTGATTGAAGTTATGGACAATATAGAAAGTACTTCACGCGATTCTTCGTCGATTAATCAAGCCGGTGGGTACAAATTAAAGCTGCAAGATACAAATTTTGTATTTTGGCTAAGTATATTCCATAAAATAATGCCACATGTTGAAATTGTCTTTAACCAATTACAAAAAGTATGCACCGATTCTGTTAAGGTCAAAAATGATTTAGAGAATTTTGAAGCAGCAATTCAAACTATACGAGAACAAATGGATAGCATTATTGACGAGATTGAACGAGTGCAGAGAGAAACTGATGAACCGGCAAGAAAAAAAAGGCAAGTTGAAGAAGGCAGCAAAAAACGGGAAGCGTTAGAAATATGCGATGCAGTATTATCGCAAATAAGAACAAGATTTAACTTTTCTGGGCATTTAGTTGCTTCTAATTTATTTGTGTCTGAAAAGTTTTCTGTTTATAAACATCAGTTTCCTGAAGCACATTTAAATGACACATGCACACAATTTTCATTTTTAGACAAAAACAGGCTTAAAACTGAGTTACAAGTATTATATCAGAGAGAAGAATTGAGTACTACTTCTGGAGCTGTTCCACTATCCATTTTATTGAACGAGGAAGGATTAAATTGTACGTTTCAAGAAACTCTTAAGCTCTTAAGTATTTTAATCACTATACCGATGTCAACATCTGAAGCAGAACGCTCTTTTTCAATGCTGAAACGGATTAAAACTTTCCTCAGAAACACAATGAAGGAAGAAAGGCTTAGTGCTTTAGGAATGCTGTCTGCAGAAAAACATTTTGTTAGTGGCATTGAAAATTTTAATAATAAGGTAATCGAAAACTTTGCTACCAAAAAAGAAAGAAGAATGGACTTCATGTATAGAAAACTTTGAAGTTATAGGTACTTCTCCACACTTGTTTTATAATTTGGTGCGCGTGTGTAAATAGTTTTATTTTTGATTTTTTTTTGGACATATAGATTTATTGAACCTCAAGAACTTTGACCACTAACTATCAGGGGTAAGTTATAAGTTATTCTTTACAATTTTGAATCGATTCAAAATTATGGCTTCCATTCTGGCACTACCTCACTGAATTGGCACGAGCCGCCACTGGTATCAACTACTGCGTACGCGCAAACGTTTTACGCACGATTATTATTTTCGAGTTTCCCAGTTCATTTCGAGTAGTTTCTTTATGATCATGGCAGACGCAGAAGATCCGCCAGGACCTCGCCATAGCGAGCACGGGGAAACTTTTACAAATGAAGAAAACGCAGACATAATGTTCTGTTATGGACTTTGTAACGGCGATTCTGCAGCTGCCTGCCGTGAATATCTGCAACATGTTACATGCAGATTCAGGAGATCCAGACTATTTTAAGAAAATTCTGTGGACCAATGAATCGGAGTTTGATAAGGACGAGATCACTAACTACCATAATGCTCATTACTGGGCTGGTAAAGAAGCTTTAAACCCCCGAAAAATAAGACCGACGGGGTCTCAGAGCCGGTTTTCAGTCAATGTGTGGATGGGCATCATTGATGGATATTTAATTGGACCTCATTTTCTGCCCGCCAGTTTAAATGGAGAAGTGTATGAAGAGTTCTTGAAAAATCACTTGTTTCCATTAATGGAAGACGTCGCATTGGCGACGAGACAAAATATGCGGTTCCAGCACGACGGCTGTCCCGCACACTACAGTAGATTAGTACGGGCGTATTTAGACTCTAAATTTGCAAATCAATGAATTGGCAGAGGCGGGCCCATTGCCTGGCCAGCAAGAAGCCCAGATCTCACACCGATGGATTACTATGTGTGGGGACATATGAAAAGCCTGGTGTACGATGTTTGGCCCGTACCAACGCGCGATGAATTAATTACAAGGATAATCAGTGCAGCTGACCAAATAAAGAGCCGCTTAACAACTAGAGTTACCAAAAGTGAATTACGTAAGAGAATGCAGGCGTGTACTCGTGACAGGGGATTACAATTTGAGCAGAATCTGTAAAATACTAAAGGAAACGTAATTAAATAAAACTGTAATTAAAATAAGAGCCTTTTATTTATCCTACGTAATTTTATGTCTTTGTACTTGAGTTAGTTGTAACTTTTATACCTCAAATGAAGGCTTGTTAGATAGATATATTATTTACATAATTTGCACATTTCATTACTAGGAGATTTTTTACAGAAAATTGCATTTTTTATCGAATAAGTTAGTAAAAAAATAAGAAAATCATACATTTCAAAAGCGTAATTTTAAAACTTTTGTAAGTTTTCAACATTTTATTACTTATTATGAACTATTGGAATGTCCGCTATGCGACGATAACAAAAAACTCAAAATCAAACATGTAGTTTTTTTGTATTTCAAATTTAACCGTCTGAAATCGGAATAAAAAATAAAAAAAAATAAAATTCAAATAACCCAAAAACGGTTAACTTCTAGATAGGACATTATAGGACAAAATCGGTTGCTTTTGACCTAATCTATCACCCCTTAACAGGAATACGTGACATACTAAGTGATATATAAAATGCAACACCCGGAATTATTCATTGAATTTTGATGAAAACTTGTAAACATATTTGCTATCCTGGAAGTATTATACGCTGATAGAATGCTGAACGCATTCCATATCACGATCCGAACAATATGAATATAGTTAATAGTGTTTTTTCTGTGTTAGTTTTCATTGCATTATCACGTCTAGACGCGCTAATTTCACTCAACTTTCAGAGTTTGAGAGGGGATAATCGAGTTACATATTCGCTGAGACAAGTAGATGAATCTATTTGCTACTACAGAGCATTGTTGTGTCATCGGCAAACGGTATAAGGTTTTTGTTTCTATTACAATTAGGAAGGTCATTTATGTATATCAAGAATAAAACTGGACCTAGCCCGGAAGCCCTGTTGGACGCCACATGAACCTGTCATCGAACTATAGGTAGCGTTGTTGGAAGTCGCTGTCTGTTGCTCAAATAAGATGAAAAGACCTTAACGCTACTACCATGGAACTTGTAATGCCACAATTTTTGTAAAAGAAAGTCATGTTGAACACTATCGAAATCCTTGGTAAAATGAACAAAATTGGCTAAACGATAAGCAGTACTTTCAAAAGCGGCATTCGTTTTCTCAATAGCTAGAGAAATAGACTTACCTGATCTGAAGCCGAATTGACAGTCGGTAAATATTTCGAAAGCGAATTGTATATTTTACGTTTTTTCTAGATTGCGAAATAACGGGCACTTCTAGAAACTTCCAAGCGGTGCCAGGTTGTGGCATGAAATGTACGGTAGCGAACATATCATCGATGGTCACGAAAGCGAAAGAAAAATCCGAGATGAGCAACTTTGAGTCGCTAGTGCAGGCGGGCAGCTCAGGGAATTATGCTATCAACGGCGTGCAGGTAATTACAAAAAAATAATGATACAAGCTCCTACAAAAAAATCTAAAGCGTCCTTCAAGGAAGATAGATATTTGACACGCAGGGATAATAAATTTTTTTGAAATAACTATTAAACGACGATGATTCTTTGGTAGCATGCTAATAATAAACCATCTTTATTTAGCGCGAAGTTTATCTTATTATACAGGGTGTAAACGTTATGATAGTCATTTTTAATTTCAATACCAGAAATCCATCGGATTGAGGTCAGGAGATCTTGCTGGCCATTTTCGAGGATCAGGAGCATTTCGACCGATCCAGCGATTTGGATAATGTTCATTCAGATACTGAATGACGCCTTTAAGAATGTGTGGTGGTGCCCCGTCATGAAGAAACCACAAATTCTGTCTCCGTTGTAATGGCATGTTGTCTAACGTCTGTTCCAAAAGTTCTGGTAGGTTATTGGCTAGAAAGCTAAGGTATCTTTCTCCTGACAACTTTGGGGGTAACTCGAAAGGGCCAATTACCTAATCGTCAAGAATACCCCCCCCAAAACGTTGTTGGAAATTACCTTCACGAATGGTATGAGGATTTTCTTGGGCCCACGTGTAAGTATTATGCAAATTTACTGACTACAAATTTTGGCTTAACTTAGAAAAACATAATGCCATTTATTCGTTAATTACCCAATTTGAAAACGTTTTAGATTAGATTATAAAAATTAGTAAGATTGTACTGATTGTGGTCGATATAAAGCACTTAAAGTCGTAAAGTATAAAGCCATTTAGACAAAAATCTATTGATTTTTGGACCATGGGTCATATGAACTTTTTGACTTGTTTTGCCCTATTACCCATTTCAATAATGACTATCATAACGTTTATACCCTATGTATATTTAGAATTAACTACTTTTTCATAAAAAAACATACCAATGCATGTAAAATCCGTCTAGCAGTCACATGTGAAACTATACTACAACTATTTAAAACTGTAATGACTCATACGCGTGATCAGCACGTGATCAGAGCTCGATCTCGGCTTCCTTCCAGTACAGCCGTATAGCGTACGTACATATGTCGTTTCTGTGGCTTTGCGGTGGACAACAGCACAGACAGAGATGGAAATAATGGCTGATTGTTCTCCGCCGGTAGAACCAATGAAATCAAAGACGCGCCTCGACCGGCAGACTCATAGGCGTCGGCAACGCATTGGAACGTGTTTCGTTGAGCGATCGCATATTGTGTGTTTTTATAAGAATTGTTGTGTGATTGTTATTGTTGTGGTTTCTGTGGTTACTGTTTTGGTTATACTTAACCATGGAGAGTACAAATGGCACGAGTGGAAGTACTGAAAGCCAGGGAACAAGTAGACGGCTTCGTAAAGCACTGAAGAGGGACGCGAAAGAAATCGTGCTCAACGTGTTCAATTATCTGAACAGAACTAAGTCGCAGGGAGATGCACTCGCGCGTTGTGAAAGTATGACAGGCGTTCCAGAGTGGACCATTCGCAGGGTGGTGCATGAAAAGAAGAAAACTGGAGCTACTACTGATCCAAAGTTTAATTTGAAGGGACGAAAGGCCGTTACATTGGATGACGATAGCAAAATGGAGTTAAGGCGAACCGTACATTCATTCTTCTTTAGGAATGAGATACCAACCCTCAAGGCTGTACATGCAGCGATCAAGGAAAATGAAATTATACCCCAAATGAGCGTCGATGTAATGAGGAAATCCCTGCACTGAAATTAATTTTCGTTACGAAACGCGTAATCGGAAGTCAGTATTGATAGAGAGACCTGAAATAGTCGCCTGGCGTCGAAAATACCTACGCGAAATGATTGAATATAGGCGACAAAGCAGAAAAATCTATTATTTGGACGAGACATGGGTAAATGCAGGTCACACAGATAAAAAAACCTGGATAGACAAAAACGTAGTGAGTAACCGACAAGCAAGCATTGAAGGTTTGTCAACAGGTCTTCGTGGACCGTCAGGGAAGGTCAAAGATTGATCGTAACTCATATTGGTAGCGATAGTGGCTTTTTAGAAGAGTGGGACTTGATTTTCGTCTCTAAGAAAGGAGGTGATTACCATGACGAAATGAATGCCAGCTGCTTCGAGAGCTGGTTTCAAGGGGTGCTTCAGCGAGTTGAGCCCAACTCTGTGATCGTCATGGATAATGCTTCCTACCATAGTCGTCGAGCCGAACGTGTACCGACTATGGGATCTCGAAAAAGTGACATGCAGCAATGGTTGCGCGAAAAAGGAATCCCGTTTGACGATTCATGTGTGAAAGCGGAATTGTATGAAAAAATTAAACAGCACAAACCTGCGAACATTAGTTACGTGACTGATGAGATGGCCCGTCAATGTGGTGTGTTGCGGTTACCGCCCTACCACTGTGAACTGAACCCAATAGAGCTCATCTGGGCTCAAGTGAAGGGTTATATTGCGCGCCATAACACAACCTTCAAATTACCAGACGTTAAGGTTTTACTTGAGACTTCCATACAGCTAGTAACGCCCGAAGCTTGGCAGAATGCTATGTTGTGAAGGAAGAAACAAAAATGTGGCAGCTTGACCACCACATCGACACCATTATAGAGCCAGTTATAGTCAATTTCAACGAGGAAAGCGATAGCGACAGTTTATTACTGTCAGATGTAAGTGGAAGCGACGATGAATAAAGGTAATTCCCAAATTTTTGACTTACAATATGTTTCAAACCACTCTTTATTAAGCATGTGACAAATCTAGTTCACCCATGTTAAACATTCATACCCCGCCTATTAACAGCCGACTACTGGTAGTTAAGTGATGTTCACGTGAACATCGATGAGTCATTACAGTTTTAGATAGTTATAGTATAGCAAAACTATTGATTTGTGATCCTTAATTTTTCTTATATCTGAAAGTGTATCTTTCCCGTATTAGATCGAAGTGAGGCATTCGCAGAACATGAGGCTGGGTCAGTTGATCGGCATGAACGATCCCGCATCGGATGACGTCAACGGCGAGTATGACGTCATAATCGGAAACAGGGAATGGATGAACAGAAACGGGTTCGTCGTGCTTCCGGAAGTCGACAGGAATATGGTGGCCGAGGAGGAACAAGGAAGATCCGCTGTCCTGTGCGCTGTTAACGGTAAACATCGTCTTTTTTATTCTTTTTTCAGGCCACATGGCACTTTCAGTTTCCACCAGATCTATACCATATTGATGATTCCGATTAAGGACGAGTCACCAGTTATTTAAACAGAATTACCACCACATTTAGAAAATTTGACATCATCATAACTACGAAACTATTTACTTCTAAAACAATTTATTTTCTCAAAAACATTTTAGATACACTCTAGTCGTAAAAAATACATATTTGAATCACTTAGACCTATAACTAATAGAACAATGTGCGAATAAATGCACGAAGTTAACAAAGCAACAATTGAAAGATTACCATTGGGTAACATCACCTTTATTTTTTATTACGGCTGAAATTCTTTGGGGCATAGTGTTAACCAAGTTTTAGCAAAAATTTGGTGTAAAACAATCCCATATTTCTTGAAGCTTTTGTCTCAGTTCGGTGATTGTACGAGCAGGATGTTGTCCAAGAACCTTTTTCATCTCGTGCCACAAAGTTTCAATAGGCTGGACTGCTAGAAACCCATTTCAAAAGTGGTACATTATTTTCTTCCATCCGTTTTATAACCTTTTTTGAGGTATGGCACGCTGCACCATCTTGCTGATACACAAAATCTTGGCCGGATGTCAAACATTCTTCCATCACTGGTAAAAGCGATTCTTCTAAAATTGCCAAATATTTGTTTGTATCCACATTTCCATCAATAAAATGAAGTTTTCCTACTCCTTTTGATGACATACTGCCCCAGTCCATAATGGATGCTGGAATTTTCACTATTCTCTTTAGACAGTCAACATGGAATGCTTCATTTTTTTGCGAATAACTCTACTGCGACTGTCACCAACACAAACTTCGAATCGGGCCTCATCACTCCATTGTATTGCACACCATTGTTGAGGTGTCCATTGTCTATGTGCTTTAGCCCATCTAAGCCGATTTTTTTTTTGCAGTGGAGTCAATAGTTGCTTTTCTTTGGCCTATAAACAAGTTGTGCAACTTTATAGTTTTTACTTCACTTTTTTTTATAAGAAAACTTACCTTGCAAGTGCTAAATCCCAGTTTGTGGGCCTCTGTATGAGTTGTGTACCTCGAAATTCTCCTTCCAACAGCGTCACTCCACAGAGCACTTCATTGTAAATAATTGGCACGCCTGTTTTTCACGATTATTCTTCTTAATGCTCTTGTGATATTACTTTTTTTCACATATCGTGGCTTAATATTAACTGAACCAGTTACGTTATATCTTCTAACAATATTTTTCACACTGTACCGCTATAAGTCTAACAAAGTTGCAATTTCTGAGTTTGATTTCCCAGAATTAAAAAATTTAATTATCAGTAACCGAATTTTCTCACTAATAACCTTTCCTCTACACATTTTGAAAACTTGAACTACCCAAAACTATTTTAAACGTATTCTGACAGCTGTGATTAATAAAAACAATTGTCATGGGTTTTATTTTTCACATCCACTTATGCGTTATAGATTTATTTTGCATTGAAATGAAAATAGGTTGATATGCTGTAATTGCAACATGTGTTATTTTTATGCTGCAAATTTGATCAGGAAGTGATAAAGCTTTGACAAAAAATTACGAATACAAAAAGGTTACATGTGTTATATTTCATTTCAGGAAATATAGTAGGAATGGTGAGCGTGGCGGATACGGTGAAACCTGAGGCACACTTGGCCGTGTACACGTTGAAAAAAATGGGGTTGGAGGTGATATTGCTGACCGGAGATAACAGACAGACCGCGGCCAGTATAGCCCGACAGGTGGGCATCACGAAAATTTACGCCGAAGTACTTCCCTCGCACAAAGTAGCGAGAGTTCAAAGGTAAGGATACGGTTACTACTTTTTACGTTCTTCGTTAATATATCTTTGGCATCGGGTGGTCCATAATTTGAGGGACATTTTGTGCGTTTGTTGTAGATTTATTTAGCATTAATGCTAGAATATCAATGTTACACGGTATATCACATAATAGTTTATGCCTTCAAGTCTACATATTTTTATAAAAAATTCCGCTAATATAAATTGTGGCTTTTCTTGGATTGTTTTTTCGATTTCCCTTTAAATATTTTCAAACTTACACATATCATTACTTAATTTATTAAATTCGTACAATCCTTTTTGAAATACCGATATATTTATTATATTGCTCCTACAATTTTGTAAATAAAATTGTGTACTTTCACTAGTAGAATAACCATGGTACTCAATGTTCAATTCAATAAAGTTTTTGAAGATGATTTTTTCACCTGAAGATAAAAATGAAAAGCAACCTTCTATTACCATTTGAATTGCCGTTTCTGTAGAATTTTTTTTCTAAATCCTGCTTGAAATTTTGTCATTATGTTGTTTTCTAGATTACGTGTTGCGGAATATCAAGCTCAGTAGCTAAAATTCCCCCAATTTTATCTGCACAGTTCTGTCTGAAGATGCCACCTAGCTAGAAGCTCTGAATTATGAAATGGACCTGAAAATGTTTCCTCCTGTTTCATGAATCTCTTGAACTTCGTCCAGTATTATTCTCTTATTTTCTTTTTAACATTTGTAGACTGCAATCAAAAGGGGTGAAGGTATGCATGGTGGGCGACGGCGTGAACGATTCCCCTGCTTTGGCACAAGCTGACGTTGGAATGGCGATCGCCTCTGGAACGGACGTCGCCGTCGAAGCTGCTCATGTGGTGCTGATGAGAAACGATCTCTTGGACGTCGTCGCGTGTCTGGAGTTGAGCAGGAAGACTGTTAATAGGATCAGGCTCAATTTTTTCTTCGCCAGCGTTTACAATCTCTTAGGTGAGCTTCATCGGGGTCGTATAGAACGCAAATATACAGGGTGGCGCATCGAAAACGAAACAGACGCATTTACTGGCAGCTCAGTTTTTTTTTTGGAAAAAAGCTCGGATCCGTCGATTTTGTTTTCGAGGGGGACACAAGTTTGGCAAAAAATCACGTTAACACGTGCAGCCCCCTCGGCGGGAATGACACCAACACTAAAATCTTAAATGGAAAAGGAGATCGAGTGATACCTTATTTTAAAGGTCTTTCAATTCCCTGTATAATGTTATAAAATTAATGTACTTCAGTTCAGTAGTTTTGAAGATTTATTGATTTACAGGTTAAAGTAGACTTTAATAGGTACATCAGATTAGTTTGTACTATTTTCAGAAGAAATTCCACTAAAATAATTTACTTAATAAGTAAATGCTTTTCTTCACTACGCCCATGGTTTGTTTATCATTTTGTTGTTGAAAATAGCTATTGGAGCGTTTTTTGTGGCAATAAAGTTATTTCTTGAAGAAAGATAAGGAAATACCTCGTACTTATTTTAAATAGGAATTTAGTACATAGTTTGCGATTGATTTTACCAAACTTTGTTGCTTGTTGCTTTGTTGCTCTGTATTTTTCTCTAAGAATAATTTATGTTTAGGCATTCCTTTGGCTGCGGGCGCGTTCAGCATGATCGGCTTCATGTTAGCGCCGTGGATGGCGAGCGCCGCGATGGCGTTGAGCTCTGTATCGGTGGTCGGATCCAGTCTGATGCTGAAACTATGGAAGAAGCCGACGAGAGAGAAACTAGAAACGCCTGAGTATCTCGCGCTTAGGAATTCGGCTTCGGAACAGCTGGACGCGATCTCGATACATCGCGGTTTGGACGATATCGATGCTGAAGATAATCAAACGACACCATCCAAACTGTCCAGGTACTGTATATGACCTTTATCTTTTTTTTTCGAAGATGTGTTTTCATGATTTGTAATCCGCTTTGCGAAGTACAGAGAATATAATAATTGAATATCAATATTTACGTTTTTTGTGTTACGTTTCAGTTTTGCTATAGAGGTTTAAACGAACTTTGTTATCATTTTGAGATCATTCTTGTTTAAAACGTTTTACATGGCAAAGTGTAACTTTTTCTTTGAATGCGTCCTTATACAATAAGTGCGAGGAACTTTCTGTTTGAAGATATATTGTTGTTATTTTTCGATTAATATTGTTGGTATTTTTCGAAAGGTTGCACAAAACTGGCGGAGACGATAATGGTACTCATAATGACGTCCAAATTATAAAGAACTGCACTGGATCATGACAAATAAAAATTATGTATATATAATATTTTTTGTAAGTTGGGTGAGGCTTATTCGTTTTTGTATTGTCATTGATAACTATCTATCAATCATGTATATGTTTTTCACTTTTATTGTTTAGTTTTCCATTATACCTATTAACCATATCATTTGTTTATTTTTTATTTTCCGTGTTTGTGTTCGTCTTACCTTCCTTTGCTTTTTATTCCACGTTTTTGGATTTTGAAATTCACGTATTTCACGTAATGTTTTGAGTTGAAAAAAGTGTTACTAACAAGCCGAGGCTTTCATAAGGGAATGCAAAAAGTGGTACAAACCTAAAGAAAAAAAGTGGGACAAACCTAATGAAAAAAGTGGGACTCGCCTAACGAAAAGATGCGGGACAAATCGACAAAACTACTGGTACATTTAAGCTACTGGTACATATGAACTACTGGAAATTTGAGCTACTGGTTGGGGCATTTGAAGCTACTGTTCATTTGAACTACTATGTATTTGAACCCATGTCCATTTGCATTTCTTGGCATTTGCACTACACCGGAAATGCCTCGTTTTCGAGGTACTGGCAAACATTCAACTTTGTCAGAAAACAACTAATACAAAATATCTAAAAACTATTGTGCGGTACATATCCTTCTACATATTCTATAAAACCATGTTTGGCTATATGTTATATAATATACAGGGTGGCGCATCGAAAACGAAACAGACGCATTTACTGGCAGCTCAGTTTTTTTTGGAAAAACGCTCAGACCCGTCGATTTTGTTTTCGAGGGGGTCACAAGTTTGGCAAAAAATCACGTTAACACGTGGGGTGCCACCAAGCCTAAAATCTTAAATGGAAAGAGGGGTCGAGTGATACCTTCTTTTAAAGGTCTTTCAATTCTCTTTATAACGATGTAAAATACATGAGTAGTTTTGAAGATTTATTGATTTAAAGCTTAGACTTTAATAGGTACATCAGATTAGTTTGTACTACTTTCAGAAGAAATTTGACTAAAAAAATTTACTTAATAAGTAAATGCTCTTCTTCACTACGCCCATGGTTTGTTTATCATTTTGTTGTTGAAAATTACTATTGGAGCGTTTTTTTTTATGGCAAAAAAGTTATTTCTTGAAGAAAGATAAGGAAATATCTCGTGCTTATTTTAAATAGGAATTTAGTAGATAGTTTGCGATTGATTTGACCAAACTTTGTTGCTAAAATAACTTGTAACGCTTTATTACATAAATTAACCATCGTACTGTCCAACGGATTCTAAAGGCCCATAGTTTTCATCCGTATAAAATTCACCTGGTACAAGAACTTAATGAAGACGATTTTCATCGGCGATTACAATTTTGTGACGATATGAGTGAACGAATTATAAACGATGAATATTTTATATTCAACACTTGCTTTTCCGACGAATGTTCCTTTTTCTTAAATGGCGTAGTAAATCGTCATAACTGCCGATACTGGTCCGATTCTAATCCCAGAATTTATCATGAGGTTCATACACAGCAGCCACAAAAATTAAATGTTTGGGCTGGTATTTTTGGCGATCATTTAGTTGGTCCTTTTTTCTTACCTGGAAATTTGACCGGTGAAATGTATTTGGAATTACTGGAAGACGCCATAGATCCTGCATTAACAGCCATAATTGAAAATCAGAATGATCGGCGGTACATTGCGAATAGGTTGATGTTCCAACAGGATGGTGCCAGACCACATTACGCATTACGTGTTGGACAATATTTAGATCAGACATTTCCAGATCGATGGATTGGTAGAAGAGGTGCCATTGAATGGCCCCCAATATCGCCAGATTTATCACCTTTGGATTTCTTTATGAGGGGTCATTTAAAAAGCAAAATCTATGCTACTCAGCCAACATCATTAGAAGACTTGCGACAAATTGTGAATGAGTGACTCCAAATTACTCCTCAAATATTGCAAAATGTGCGGCAACGTTTAAGCTTTAAATCAATAAATCTTCAAAACTACTGAACTGAAGCTCATGTATTTTACATCATTATAAAGGGAATTGAAAGACCTTTTAAATAAGGTATCACTCGACCCCCCTTTCCATTTAAGATTTTGGGGGTGGTTTCACCCCCGATCAGGGGGCTGCACGTGTTAACGTGATTTTTTGCCAAACTTGTGTCCCCCTCGAAAACAAAATCGACGGGTGTGAGCGTTTTTCCAAAAAAAAACTGAGCTGCCAGTAAACGCGTCTGTTTTGTTTTCGATGCGCCACCCTGTATATCAACCACGTAGATTTGATGTGAAACTTCCACCACAAAAGTGTTTTTCCGTTTTGAGCTGGGTACGTTCATGTTTCGGCAACAGCTATGGAATCTCATCTAGGCGATGCATTTGATACGAAATATGTACCGTGTGTTTCAGGTTGATGGGTATGAATAGCAAAAGCGCTCGCCGTCTGTTGTTAAACAACGAGGACGATGATCCGAGGATATCGTTCAGCGGCAGCAGAAGCAAAGGGCATCCCGAAGTACGACAACCGCTCATGTGAATCCAGTCACCGTTTTCATCGTTCCTTGTTTCTATCTTTAGGAATAATACCGATGCGGTCTCTCTTTTTACTTACCGGTATTCGAATACGTTGTATTTTATTATGTATTTATATTTGTAGCCGTTTTCGGCATACAGGTTTTTCATTTTCGCCGTTTTTTTATTTTTACTAGATGTTTACATTACAAAGAAAAATATACTATATTATTATAAACGAACGTTTTATTTCAAACTTTCCATTCTTATTCTATAACAAACGTAGGAAGTTAAATAGGAACAAATTCAAACATAAAAATACGAATGTTACTATGAACGGAATTCTAACAAATTCAGTCTTAAAAATACGCACGAAAATCCCATATTTTGCTTGACTCTTAGCTACTTACACAAATTAGAATATAAACGCAATTGAAACGTTACAACAACCACTACCTAAATATCAATAAAAAACGTATAAAACTGCTTCAACTATCACAGATGCGCTATTGTGAAGACATATTCTCCTGAAACAAAATAGTATACTAAGTGACATATAAATCCGAACACCCAGTTTAAATGGTTTTATTTTAATAAAATTTTGTATAAGTACTTAATGAAGCATAATAAGTAAATGATAAAAATTTCAAAATGATTGCACTGCTTTAAAGCCCTTTGACCTTTAATAATGTGTGGATGCACCCTGATGTGCTACGCATTCTCCAACGCGCCTAGGCATGCTTCTGATCAGGTGGTCAATGTCCTCCTGTGGTATCTCATTCCAGGCAACCACCAACTCCTCTCGAAGTGCTTCTAGAGTCTGAGGACGACGTTGCAAATTGAGCAATCTCCTACCCATTATATCCCACACGTGCTCAATTGGGGATAAGTCGGGAGATCTTGGTGGCCATGGTAACAATGTGACATCATTATGTTGAAAGAAGTCTATTGTGACTCTTGCAACATGTGGTCGGGCATTATCTTGTTGGAAAGTTGGATCTGCCAGGGTGTCAAGATAGGGTAAAAGATGGGGTTCTAGAACTTCGTGGATATAACGCTGCGCGTTCATGTTACCTCTGATGAAGATTAAAGGTGACCTGGAACCATAAGCTATAGCACCCCAAACCATAACTCCAACAGTGTGAAGAACATGTCTTTCAACAAAAAACTGTGGATTCCTCCTTTCACCACGTCGCCTTCTAACCCTGGCACGACCATCGTGCATGCCTAAACAAAATCGAGACTCGTCACTAAAGACAATATTGTTCCATTCCTGATCCCAGAGTGACCGTTGTCTGCACCACTCAAGGCGATTACGTTGGTGTTCTCGAGTTAAAGGGAGGACCCAGTGTGGCCGGTATGAAAACAAGCCAAAACTTCTCATTCGTCGGTAAACACTTCGCATGCCAATAGGTCTTCCGTGTTCTGCAAACCATTCATTTGCAATGGACCTGGTAGTGGAGAAACGGTCCCTTAAGGCCAATAATAATCTTAGGCGGCGATCTTCACGGTCTGTTGTTCTACGGCGCCGTCCAGTACCCCTTGCTCTTTGCGTACAGCCTTCTCGAAGCCATGCCTGACAACACCTAACCACAGTGTCTACACTTCTTTGCACTCTAACTGCAATTGCCCGAAAAGAAAGTCCAGCTTCCCGAAGTCCCACTATACGGCCCCTATCAAACTCACTAAGTCGACGAAATCGTACAGGTCTCCGTACTCTAGGCATCGTAACCGATCGTAAATGATGTCAAGAACCAAAATCCGCCAACGTTGATTCTTTACTGCGGCTGAAATATTCATTTTTAGAGCGTTAGTGAATTAAAAAAAAAGCAGTATAAAAACCGGAATGTCCAACTGATAAGACTGAAAATTTTTTTACTTGTTATTTACAGTAAGATAAATACATTCACCAACTTTTATTAAAATAAAACCATTTAAACTGGGTGTTCGGATTTATATGTCACTTAGTATATTTCCAAAAGATTTTCAGATGCGAATTTTATTCTATTGCAGCAACAGAAAGTCTTCTATACTTGATAATTGTTTGTTACTTTTTGTTTCGATTTACTATTAAATCGTTTTTTAGTTTTTCAAACAAAAATTTATTTTCAAAATTTTTAGTCTCAAATGACAAAAAAAGTAATTACGATCAATTTATGGTATATTTTATATACGTGAATCTACTTGTTTAAATTTTTTTCAATTTTCAAAATTCAATTTTTTTAAAAATTTTCAAATTTGAACGTTTTTTCAAGATTACTGTATTGTCATGGTCCCAGTGCAAATACTTCTTGAAACTGATGAAAATTAGCTTGAAATATCCTGTAACATTCATACATACACACATACATGTCAAGCCAATAAATGCTTGTGATAAAAATAGCAAACCTCATATCACACACAGTGCAAAAGTATGGTTTATCCTTATTATGTCCTCTAACATGGGCAATCAAACTAGAACAATGTTTAAATTCTTTCCCACAGTGAGAGCAAAGATATGCCATCTGCTCCATCTTTTTCTTGATAGTGTTCAATCCTTTAAATTCATCATGTTTCTTCATGTGCGTAGCCAACGTTCCAGATTGTGTAAAAGATGCTTGACAAATGGCACAAGTGTACGGTTTCAGACCCGTGTGAACTGACATGTGACGTTTCACATCTGCAGGCCTACAGTAGAAAATAACTGATGAAACATTTCCTGTGAAGTTTAAGTAAAAAGAAATCGTAACAAATGGCTTTTCACTGAAATATCTCCATATCTGAATTTAAAAGTCATTTTTGACTACATAAAAATATATGCAAAAATATTAAACAAAACTTTGTTAAAGCAAATACCTCGTGAATGCTTTTCCACAGACACCGCATTTTGTCAGTTTTCTCTTAGCATGGACATTATCGTGCATTTTCCAGGTGTGTTCTGTCCAAAAAGTCTTGTCATATTTAGAACAAGCATATTTAAAATCTAAATCGGCAAGTTCAGTCTCTTCAGTTATGTTACGGTCAGATTCCACACAGATATCTTCAAATCGTTCAGGTTTTAGTTTTACATTAATTTCTTCTATGACATGAATACTCTTACGATTAGTTACACTTTGTATTGAGACATTATTAGAAATACAATCATTTTTTGCTAGAACATTTCCAGTATCGTTGTTTATAATGTCCAATACATCATCGCAAAATAAGGTGGTTTGACTTTGGAACAGCTCTTCAAACTTTCGATGTATCTTGTGACAATCTTCTCTAAATAAAAATGTGTCTAGCAGCCGTTTCAAGCAGATTTGACATATTTGTTGAGGGTAAATATCATTTCTGGTAACCTGAAATGGCAGAGATGGCATCAAAATTCCCATACAGGAGTAGTATATAGGCTTAATCGTTTGTATGTTGAAGATCCAGATTCAGGCCAAAAAATTGAAAGTTCAGTTGAAATACAAGAACTTTCTGAACATTCTGATATCAATGAGGTTCTAGTACCAACAGAAGCTATTCCAAATTACGTTAAAGCTATTACCCTGACCAAGCAGCTCAAAGGTTTTGTCAAGAATCAGGGTACATATATATGTATGTACATACTTTGTACATATGTAAAAGTAACAGTAACAGTAAGTTCAAAGTTTTTTGTTTATTTTAAAAACATTTATAAACATATAGCCCTGAATAAACACTTTCAGTCGGTTCAATTGGTGGCCATCCACAAGAGATTTTACTGTATATTGTTTTTACTCATAATATGAGCTGTTTTTTTTTTGTTTGGCATTGGAAGTTATCCATTTGCCACAGATGTGTGTTACTTATATTTCTCTAATTATGGACAAACACACGACGTCACAACATCCATGGCGAAGGCGAGATTCGAACTCGCGGCCCGGCCGGCCGGCTGATCAGTAGCACGACACTCTGACCAACGCGGCCAACCGAGGCCCCAAAGTATATTATTGACAAAGCTAATTGTCTTGTGGAGCTAACATCACAAACATCTAGGGATGTTAGGGATTGGAATTGTATGTTCAAGCTTTTTTCCTCATTAGTAAGATTTTTATTGGAATATGGATCACCCATCTGGGGCCCACATTCTGGGATTCACAAAAAATGCATTGAAGCCATACAAGATGGGTTTTCAAGATATCTGTGTTATAGAAAGGGGTCAGGAAAATGAATATCTAGATATCTGGGGGTTAGATGGTAGAATAGATATATAATCTAAATCTCGCCTCCTGTAAGAATATTACAAATAAAAGACGTTAATTATTATTAATTATTATTATATCTGAATTGTTTTTGCTTGAAGAATATTTTTATACGACAAATTGAACACATACCTGGATAGAAGTGCATTTTACAAGTTTGAAGCTTAAGGTTTCCTTCTTTTCCCCAATATCAATCACATCGAATAAAGAAATAATGACATCTGCACCACTATACACATGCAGGTTCTGCATAATCGGTCGGAAGTTAGATATATTTGCTTTTGGTTCTCCATCGGATCTACTGAATTTAATGTTGCGCTATTTCAAGTGGAAAACTTGGAAATCCCTTAATGCCAGTGCACCGCGGTTGGAATAAGGATCCCAAAGATACTTTGTTAATCAGATTTTTCAACTGCCTACCCTTTTCCGTTGCAGTGTGATTTAAGGGATTTTTTTTGAAAAAGTAGCTATGCTGGGGTTTTTGAGGGTGTTCCGGGGAAATCCTGTCCGACCCATCTGGCAACGGTGAATTCGCTTAACCTTGAAAATACAAGTTTGACTTTTTTCAACGTCCAGTTTTTTTATTGTTTTTTATAATCTTCTTGTACCTAATATGTGAACAGAAATATATTTATGCTGTAAAATTCCTCGAGTAGATTTGTAATCGTAATAGCTAAGCGTAATTTTAGAGGTTTTAATTGAGAGTTTTGCTGGATACGATGTCCGTGCCTCAAAACCAGATAGAAGAACTTGGAAATTTATTTTTAAAAGATGTGGAATCAAAAGGAAGCGGTTGTAAGTACCCCTTAACGGATATTTCCGGTCTAACATTGAACATTTCGTTTTTTTGTAGCTGTCCACCCCAAAGATTTGGCAAGGGTGAAAACCAGTGACGACTGGTTACGAAGGTTCATCATGCACCAAGAATACGATACTCAAAGGGCTCTTGAGATGCTCTGGAATTCAGTGAAATGGAGAAAAGAAAATGATGCTAATGGCAAGTATTCCTCATCATAAAATTTTCAGACGACATCGATCTTTGGAACTGAATAGGAAGTAATACTTTTCAGATAATGACATTTTAAAATGAACTAAGTTTATTATTATATATAGTTATTAGTTTTTATTAAACTCAAGTTTAACATATTCCTTGAGGCACATTTCAACCTCAAAAAAAATTTTTTTTCACCGTGTTTTAGGGTTTTTTTTGCTTACAACTAGAAAAGCAGTTGACTTTTGAGGAGGATCACTCAGAACTGATTTTATTGGGATGATCCCAAGAACCTAAAAAAGTGAAGCAAAAAATTATAGTTTAAAAAACATGTTTTAATGGCTAAAAAGTAAAAATAATTTTCAATAATATGTTACTTTTTAGTTTGATCTGCTGTTAAAGAATGATTTTTAGTTTTTTTAAACTAATTTATTTTCCTCCTCTTGTAGGAATTGCGTGAAATTTCTTGTATTGTCATGTTTTGTTTTACAATTACTGTGTTCCTAGTTTTACGTTTTTACTGTTCAATAACATTTACTGAAAAATAAAAGAATTTGAATTTGATCATGAAGAAAAATTGAGCTGGAATGGTTCCTCATCTTCAATTATGCTCTTCCAGACTTGGATGAGTCAAAGGTGAGAATGGACATTCTGGACTTGGAAGGATTCTTTCCACATGGAGCGGACATTGACGGATGTAAGCTTTTCGTATTTATATGTAAGAAACATACCAGACGAACCATAAAAATGGAGGACTTGCAAAAATGTATAATATACTGGTTTAAAACACTTGAGAGGTATTTAACTATTTATTCAACTGTATCATATAGGAACAGCATCGTATCTGGTTAGAAAGTATTTTTGATCGTTAGGTGCACCTTATCTTTAGGCTTAGGCATTCTTATTGGAAGATAAACTGATGATAATGCTGAACTAAATATTGCTTATCTACTATTATAAATGTGAAACTATGTTTTGACGGCTGATTTGATTCGTATGAATCTTAGAATATAGATATATAGGTTAGTCGTTGGAGTTAGACAGATTATGCTACTTTGTGAAAATTAGACTTGAAATAATGCGTAAAACCTATTATGGGGAAACTATTATTTTTTAGAGCTTGCTCTGTGCTTTGATACAGCGTAAATGGGCACTTACAATGAAATTTTGTAAATTCCACCTTTAAGGAGGTAAAGATCCACTTTTCAAGTTTCCAATAGAGTTTAGAATTTTTCAAATTAATAAATAGAAGTATGATTTGAAAAAGAATAATGGTATGCAAATGTCTGAATCCAAAGAAATCATGCACAGAGTTCCCAAGGTAGCATTTTGGCTCCTACATTATTTATATTTTTTGTAAATGATTTAACAGTAAAATGACCAAATATCTCCATTTTTTTTATATGATGATGATGATATGGCTGCTTTTCTCATAAAAGCGAATGATAATGCTTCTCTTAGAGTGCAGATTTTGCATTAAAATAAAAAATTCAATTCTAACACATTTTTCTACCTCTTTTTAATGCTTATACTTCTATAGGTTACTATATTTCGGTTTTGATTACTGTAATTAATGCATTTATCAATGTTTAGACTAAAAATAAATGGTTTTAAAACAAACTACGCATTGTTCAAGTAGTAATCTGTAGAATTGAACTTCAGTTTCCTTTCATTATGATAATTTATTTTTTTTATATGATATAAAAATGTTGAATAATTTGCATACTAATGCTTAAACTATTCATGATTATCTAACATTTTTTTAACACGTTTTTATTAGCTTGATCTGTGTGTAACAGAATTTTTCAACATAATTTTCACCAATTTCAAGTGTTAATCGGAATACAATAATCTTGGAAAAAAATTCGAATTTGAAAATTTTTAAACATTGGACTTTTGAATCTTTTTTTAAAAACTGATTTGAAAATTTGTAAAATAATCGGATGTCGGAAATTTGGAAAGTAATTTGTAGTTTTGAAAATTTTGAAAAAAATTGGAATAAAATGTATCAAAAATTTGAAATTTAAAAAAATAGATTGGAAAATTTGGACAATAATTGGAAAATTTGGAAATTATTTTAAGGATTTCGAAGTTTTGAGAAGGATTTGGAAATTTCTAAATTTGAACAAATTTGGAAGTAAACTTATATTCATTGTCAAGTATAAAATATACCAAAATTCGAAAATTTGGAAAATAATTTGAGGATTTGAAAATTAAAAAAAAATTGATATATCGAAATTTGAAATAAATTGGAAGTAAATTTAAATTTATTGTCATGATGCTCTTGATTATAAGCACTTTTGTTGTCTTTTTAAGACTGAAGATGCAGAAAATAAATTATAGTTTATAAAAACTAAAAAAAAAACCTTTATTAGCAAACTGATCTGTTACTGCAATAGAAAGTCATCAATTATGACTAATCAATATAAAAATTAAAATATTAACAAAAAATTCAAGTATAGTAAGTGCTTGATATTAAGTGTTAGAATTGTTTTTTATTTACTTTTTACAAAATAGCAGTTATTGTGAAAACATAATTGCACCTCACGTTTTTCTGCTAAAATTTCGCATTTATAACATCAGTAGAAATATAGAGAAGTAAAAAGTTGTTTTTTTTTGTTGTTGTAGAATGGTGCAAGGTAAAATGATCACATTGTTTTTTGATTTTGAAGGATGTGGCTTGAGCAATATGGATATGGATCTAATGAAATACCTCATTGTCCTTTTTAAGGAATACTATCCTTATTTTTTGAATTATATTCTCATATTTGAGACGCCCTATATTTTATCAAGTGAGTACCTACTTCTACATATAACCACTGAAACTGCTCCTTTCTTTGGACAAAATTTAGGTTCATAATATTCTGATACGACATATTTTTGTAAATTTTAACATTATTATACTACAACTTACCATGAAAACAAACACGTTTCGGAATATCTGCAACACCGATTTTCGCAAAATGGACGTGAAAATTACCATTACGTTTGTTCAACTGTGATTGATAAAATGCAAAATAGCAGACATGTAATTATAGTACGGTGTGGTTAGTTAAGAGTAGCACCACGTCTCATTGCCCGCACTAGCCGAGCCAATAAACCAAAGGATGGCACCACAGAGTCCGCCAGAGGGCGACTCACCGGTCTATTTTTAAGTGTCATACGTTTCCAATATTTTGAATGATGAAAGAGTCGCTGCGAATTCCATCTGTCACCTTTCGATAGAATTCAAGAAAATTAAAAGTTCGCAAAATTAACTAACCTTCATATACTCTTCGGAGAACTGTACGTACCAAAGCAGTTTATTCGGATAAGGTGTTAAAAGTTTCTTCAATTTTAACGGGGAAAGCTTTATCAACAAATAAGTCGTAGGATCATGATGCGTCATCGCAAGTTGCAGGAAGAAGAAGCGGTGTCAATGCCTATACTTTAGAGTTTCTAAAGATATCTCCCCATATTTTCAACAGCCTGTAACTAGTACATCTAACAGCACAAGTATGACAGCCGTAATTCGCAGCGAATAAGTAACGTCTCGCAGCCCTGGGATCTTGGACTATAAGTAAATCTTCGTTTTGATATTCCTATTGAACTAGCTTAGGCGTCAGGTTCAGGCATCTAACATGCGACAGTAAGCGTAGACGATCTGATAGACCATCCTGCGGTATATCCTGAACGAGAGCCTGTCGTCGTTCGGCACGAAAACGGCGCTGCTTTCCGGTGACGTTCCTTTTGCCGCCGGGGGCCCCGCGAGTCTCCGTTATTGCTACGGACGCAGGACGTACCCCAAAACGATGCCGAGCATCAGCACCAGGAAGATCGTCGCCAGCTGGTAGTATTGAGTCAACTGAAGAAAAAATATATACGTATGTATACAAAAGAAAGAAAAGGATCATGCGGAGAAAGGTATATAACAAATTTAAAATAGACAAATTAAATAGACTGTCGAAAGTTTGGCTTGTCAGGTAAAAGAGTACGCCTTGCATAATTTGTCCCCAAAGACAAGTCTTCCACTTAACTGGAGAAATATCTTGTAAGGATTTTGAAATATTACATACAAAGTAAGATTTTTGAAATGTTTCCGAAAAACACTGTGCTGTATGGGAGGTACAAGATGTATTGGAAAACCTTATTATAACATGCTCTGATTAACATCCAGATGAAACTCACCTTGGTGCTTCTGTGGAGTTCAGCTTGGCATGACGCCAGTTTTGAAATTGTAGCCGACAATAATTGTATTTTGGCTTTTATTTGTCTTGGGGTTTTAAACGGATCTTTGGACGAAATTACTTTTATTAATCTAACTGATCTAGCATTTAGTTTCCTAGGATGACCACTTCTCTTAGAGGCTTCCAAGATACCTTTTTGTTTATATTTGTTCAATATTGCCCAAATTGTTATTGTTGAATACTTCAGCTTGAAATTTTTGGTAATGTTGACTTGACGTTGACCATCTTTGTATAACTCAATGATCTTAGTTATTACATCGAAAGAAATTTCTGGACCACGCGGCATGGTCTCAAAATCATTCAACTTTTCCACAATACTTGATGAACACAAACTAATCCTCTTCTGACACGAAACTGTACTAAACTAATGTTGAAAAGAATTTGACTACATATTTTTGTCCCTCATAAAAAATTTATAAATAAATTATTTCGCGATTGATAATTTTATTTGGTTTACTCATTAAAAAAAAGTAGTACGCATGCAGAATTTGCACCGTATTTCACCTTGAAAGCTTTTAAGTAGCAGGAGCAGCATTTAATACAGTGAGTGCTAGAAAATATTTAGATGACAACTTTGTAAAAGTTATGCGGTGGTATTTTCAGGATTTTCGTTTCATTTAATTCCAAATTCGAAAGAAGTCTTATGGCGGGTCTTTACGATTTATCTCTAAATGGAGCATAAAAATTCTATGTGAGATATTTGATGACCGAATAGGAATAGGAATATTATGCTTTAAAGACGTTTTTCATTTTTCGTTGTTGTATTTTGTCTTATTATCACTCGAACTTTCCTAAATGAATTGTTTGTTTTATCTTCGTGAAACGACCTGATAA